TCAATCTACAGACTGTTAGTCAGATTCTTGAGAGATGTATGGAAGTGATAACTTACAAGTTGATCCCGCCGATGGGTCTATACTGTGGAGTCAGTGAGGGGCACATTTGCTTGGCTGTAGAGACATTCGTACCTTTAGGGCATCTATAAGTTGTTAGTAATATTGAATCATGTAATAAAGGCAAAGATGACGTACATTCTACTCTGTAACGTGTTGTCATGATTGAATGTTGGAGAAAGATGGTGCGTGTTCGGTTTCCAATGTTAGCTTAACTGGTGCACGTCCCTTTGGTGACTCACGCGGAGCTCGGATTACACAGTCACGGAGTACGGAGTACTCCGTACATAATAAAGAGCAATCTCGGACCTGGAATATTACTCTAATTGGTTAAATTGACAATTTTTAATTGCTGACAATCCACTAACGCAAATCTACTTTCCCAAATCAAGCTTATTCTCGTACTAAATGGCTAGACCTGGACCCCTGCTCGTAACGCCTGCAATCACTATTGGTCTCCCAAAAGTGCCTCGAACAGAAAATTTTGTCGCCTGAACAAGCATCATCAATTTGAAAGCCTTTTGTGATGACTCCGAGGGCCGAAAAAACCCTCAACACTGCCACATTGACTAGCTAACTCATATCGGAACAGCAGATGCTTGGTTGCAAATACGATGCCCGAGATCGACGAGCACAAATATAAATATGTGCGATGGCAACCTTTTTATACTTTTTCAAGTCACACAATCATTGAATATCAAAGACCCTTCTAGTGGAAAAAAAGCACCGGCGAATTCTATACTCCAAACGCAATGCAAGCCGCATCTCCATCAACCATGAATACACCTGCACAGTATGAGGATCCACCAAAGTATTCTCCATCGGAGCAATTCAATTATTTCATTGACGAAAAGGCCAACACTCCCCTGATCCTCCGACCCGAGCAAAACGAGCCCGGGTTTGCTGTTGCATCTGCTCTCAGCCGAGGCCTACAAGTACCATCCAGATCCAGAGCCTGCACATCCGGATTCGAGTATCCAGACGAACTGTCTCATTACGGCGTCTCCAAAGAAGACTGGACACAATTTACTCAAGTGGTCTGCGACAAAGCTAAGCTTTCACGTCAGCAATGGACCACCGTGGTTGGAAAAGGCCTGGGTGTAATGGCAGTGGGTGGACTGATGGTCGGCCTTCTGGGCGCCATACCTGCGATATTCGTTGCCCATCTCACCAGAAGTCGAAAAGAACAACGGAATCTGATCTCGGCAATGGCTGGAGCCCGCGGTGAACACCTTGCTCGACATATCTCACAATGGAACGAGACTGTCTTTCAGCCTAGGGGTATCTTGATCCGGGTCGATTTGCCGGATGAATACTTGAATGACATGAAAGTGATGGATATTCGCACAAGAGGTCGTTCTGAAAGTTCTCTTAGGGAGACTCGGGATAAGGCTGCGCTTAAGGCGAGAATTGTGATCATCCCTCTGGATGGGTTGGCGTCAACGAAGCATTCCTCAAGTTGGGATAATCGAGGTTGAAGAGACGCACAAAAGAAGTCGAGAACAAAAGGATATGTCTATTTATGTATTTCAGCGGGATCAGGAAAAGGTTAAGCACGGGTTATGATAATTCAAAACGGTTTATTCATCATGATAGTGTCATTATTCAAAAAAAAGGATAAACCTTCTCTAATGACCAAAAAATGGACACTAGAGACATCCAGAAGATGCCAAAAAAAAGGTAGAGTCTAAGATCTAAACCCGGCCCTCTTTATCTTGCCTCTCAACATGTTGAGCCATTCCGTGCGACTGCACCGCCACCTCCATCTTCTCATCCACAATATGGTCACGCTCATCGGCATCCTGGTTACCATACCGGCCAATCTTGTACCACGGCAAAGCAAAGAGACGATCCATACTCTCCAGGGAGCGGCCTGCTGTCTCCGGAATACTGAACCAGACCCAGGCACCACCGATAACGGTAATGGCAGCAAAGCACCAGAAAGTACCCTTGGGGTCAATTCCACCCTTTGCCACGGGAAGAAGCATATTGGGAACGGCCCGCGCATTGCCATATTGGTTGGCAAAGTGGAGAGTCATAGCCATAGAAGTGCAAAGAGCACGGATACGTAGAGGGAAGAGCTCTGCAGTCAGAAGATACTGCATGGAATTCCAGCCCAGCGCCCATCCAAATCCAGAGACGTAGATCATTGCAATGGCTCCCTCACTAGCGCCCTTCTTGCCCTCTGGTACCGTGTAGCCCTCGACGACTCCCATGTCGGGAACGGAGGTCAAGAAGCCGGCGATGTAGATCATGGCAACTGCTTGTAGAGTGATACCAAGGAGAAGGGCTCGCTTGCGTCCAATGACATCAACCAAGAAAAGAGCACAGAGAATTGCGGCAATCAATTTGACGATTCCGAACACAGCGGTGACCAACAGAGACTCGTTCTTGCCTGTAACTCCGAGCAACTTGAACAAATCCGGGGCGTAGACAGTGATACTGCCGGCACCGGACCATTGCGAAAGAAGTTGGGCCATGAAGGTGAGGTAGACTCTGTAGAGGTTCGAGGGGACCAGGAAGGTTTCCTTGATCACACCGATCGGGCCAGACCCAAGTGTGGCTTCCATCTCGGCTTCATGTGATGTTTGAATAAGGGCAATTTCGCGTACGACATATTCGTCATCGGTTGGAAGGCCGCGGATCTTTGAGAGATTGGAGATGGCCTTCTCGAGGTTGCCGCGTTTGATGAGGTATCGGGGTGATTCGTACTGGAGGAAGGAGAGGAGGAAGATAATGCCGGCAAACATAATATGCAGACTTGTGGGGACGAGCTATCATTGAGTCAGTATTGGTAATATAAGCGGTTTAAGGAAGATCACACATACCCATCGGTTGTGAGTTGTGTCGCCGAGATTGAGCTCGCAGCCATAGTTGGCGAAATATGCAAGTACAATACCCAAATAGACAAAGCCTGTGAAGACACAGGTACAGAGGCCACGGATAGAGGCGGGGGCCTTTTCTTTTTGTTAGTTCATGTAAGTATGAGTTGGATAACGAGCAGCTCACAATTTCAGCAAGATATACAGGAGCAACGACAACTGTCTGGCCCACACCAAGTCCAGCAATAAAGCGGCCAGCATAGACAGCACCCAAGCTGCCACCGTTACCCATGAAAATTGCGATTCCCACGATCCAAATAACACAAAGTTGGCGAGTCGCCCAGATACGGCCAATGCGATCACAAACTAAGAAGGCACTGTATAAGAAGAGATTAGGTTAGCGACATGGGATCCGACACAACAGGAAACAAGAAAAAACTTACAAAAGAGCACCTCCAACAGATCCAATCTGAACCATTGCGGTAACATTTCCTTTGATGTTGGTCTGTTCCACTTCACTGTACGAGTCATAGTTGATGTAATGTTGAAAGTCTTTAGAGTTGAATGCGCCTGAGATCAAACCCTCATCGACACCTCGGGCAGCGCCCATCAGGCCAAATGAGATGACCGCAAACCATAATCGCCAGTTGAAGACCTCCTTAGGTTCGCCGAGGTCTTTAAGGCGGAAGATATTGACTGGTTTCTTTGCTCCGCCGGCCATGATGGGCAACACTCAAATATGTAATTGAATGCGGGGGATAATATGCGAGGCAAAGCCGGGGTATTAAAAAAAAAAAAGGGAGAAATGCAAATGTGAGCTACAGCAAACGGACTTTATAGCTATGGGATCCCGGTCTACGGAGTACATGCGGGGAAATCCTGGGGAGCGGAAATTCCAATCCGAGGAATCCTGAATCCTTGTCAAGACCGAGTAAAGAATTCTCTGTAGTCGAAATGAGCTGTGGAATATACACATGATACAACCGGGATAGGCTAAGGCCTGGGGGAAAGTGCCAAGAGAGCTTAGGTCTCGAGTCTCATTTGACGGCGTCGCCGTTCACTTCCCGGGGCTTTTCCAACGGGACATGACCGAGTACCCGACTCAGCACATGGTCGCACACAATTTGGAATGAGATCTGCAGCTTCACTTGGTTACTGCAGGATCACTACAGGCCCTGCAGTGCAGGGTCGCTGCAGCTCACTTTTTTTTTTCATGTCATAGTATCTTTCTTCTCAGATGTTCTTGACTTTCTACCCAGTACACAGTACTAGAGTACCTGAACCGCCAAGGTTATTGTCTCCTCCATAAAACTTTGACGGTGAGTTTCGGTCAACGTCCGAAGAAAAGTGTGTGTGTGTGTGCCGCATGTGGCTTGCAAGGATCATGAGGCCCACCAAGGGAGATGCCAGCCTTTTTATCGCGGGGGCGAAAACTGGAGAGCTCCATCCTTGACTGATACGAAGATACTGATTGGTTCACAAATCAACAGTATCCCGTCGTTGGCCTGGAAAGGGAAGATGGACCATTGCTTGGCGTGGGGTGCGCTTTGACAAGCCGATCACTCTTTATTTCTCGCATGCTTGAACGAATCGTGTCGCGGAGAAGACCGTGCCGAGACGTTCGGCAAATTTTAAGTCTCGGTGAGACATATATCTGAGTTCTGTAATTTCCTGGCGACATTGTTTATTATTAATATCTGCCAACTCCCGATGCTAGGAAGTGACTCGTACAGCTCTAGACCATTTGGTCCGTTCTTCGGCGTTCATTATCGCAATATCATATTGGTCCTTGCAGGGCATATCTCTTGAAATCACGAGCACATTTTGATACACATTCTTTTACGGACTATTTACTCCGTCAGTATCACGATTAAGCCGAACCACGATGGATCTAGAGAGAGCTATCAAAAAGACGAGTCATCTAACAGAATTCTACACGTGCTAAAGCCAGTAAAGCTCTAAGATGACCTATGTCTTTGCCCGAGAATCGGAGTTCTAAAAAGGTAATTTGAATCAATTGAATGTTCGAGACCAAGGCTAGTGTGCAATGATGCGGAGTCGTTGGTTCATGACATCGGAAAATAAGATACAGGCCAAAGGTGATTGGCCGGGATAGAGAGGCTATGGCCGCCAGCGGAATCCAGGATTGCGCCAGTCCATATCCTGAATCTGTTGCTGCGATAGTCCCGCCAAGGCGCTGTGGACATCGACACGCGCACGGCGCCGATTGTCCCATACGATATAGGCCCATAGGCCGGCCCCAAGAAGTAGGGTAGTAGTTGAAGTTGCCAAGTTGAGCCCATTACCAATAGGATAATTGGGCCCATCAAAAGGCAAGAATGACCAGGTGCTGATCAGCCCGCCGATATTTCCGAACATCACCGTAGTTCCAATAGCCGAAGATCTCGCGGTGTCGGAGATCACATTCGCCGATGCGTGTGCAGTACATAGAGCGCCGAAGGAGAAGGCTCCACAGGCGATAATAAAGGTGGCCCCATATCGTACCATGCCGTCTTCGCTAGCCAGGAACATTATATAACCTATAATCCCATAATGATTAGCCTGGAACTAGGTATACTCTGCAATCCTTATATGGTTGCTCAAGGATTTCAGACTTACCGGTCATCATTAGCGGCGGGCTGATGATGAAGAAGATGAGGCGATGATCGAATCGCCAGCTAAGGAACGGGAATAGCAAGGTGAAGAATGCGCCGACGACATAAGGAGGCACTGTGTGCAACTGTTGAGATACCACAGTGGCATTGGGGTAGATGGTTTTGACAATGGTAGGCGCAAAGAATCCAAGACCCTGAACAGTAATGTTGTTCAACATGAAGATTAACGCGGTTACGAAGGTCACTGGGCTGAAGATACCACGTAGTGTCTTAGCTAGATCAAGCTTGTCGAGGACCTCCGTCGTACCAACACGTTCAGATTTGACACGAGCAATAGCCAGATCCTTCTCTTCCTGGGAGAGCCACCTGGCTGTCTCAGGTCGGTCAGTCAACGTGAAGAATGCGACGACAGCAATTCCAATTGTCACGATGCCTTCGATCGCGAAGATCATACGCCAGCTGTGGAGAGAACCAAAATTATCGAGCAGGAGAATACCCGAGGCCAGAAGGCCACCAAACGCCCCAGCGAGGGGAGCCATAACGATATACAACGACAGACGGAAGGCAAGTTCACTTCGTCGATACCAACGCGAGAGGTAATACGCGATTCCAGGCATGAGTCCTGCTTCGAACACGCTAGAGAAGAGTTGTCAGCATTGCCGAGTTTGCCAAATCTAGTAAACATACCCCAAAAGGAAGCGGACGCCAGCTGCGCTGTTCATATCGGTAACAAAAGCCGTCGCGACCGAACAGATACCGAATCCCAATGTGATTGCTGGAAGCCACCATCCAGGCCCGACCCATTTGCACATGACATTACTGGGGATCTCAAAGATAATATATGAGATGAAGAAGATCGAGAGCACAGCGTTGTAATCATAACCCTCGAGTTTGAGGTCCTTGTCGAAGCCGGCCAATTTAGCGTTGCCTATTCCAGGAAGAAAACGGATTAGCGCTTGGACTGGAAATAAAACCCCGGGAATGATAAGAGGGAGTGGTCACACACCAACATTGGCTCGATCGATGAAACAAAAGAGATACATGACTGCGACAGTTGGGACGATATATAAATCAATCTTGAGTCGCAATCGTGACTCGGCGGCCTTGTCAAATTCCACCAGGGGCTGGCCATATTCATCTGTCGCGAGGTGGCCCCTTTCTGCTGCATCATGGGCGACTTCCCCCATCATATGCTCTTTATGGTCTGACATGACCTTTTCATCGACGACCGTAGTGCCTCTCTCGGCGTCGGCCATGTTGGAGTGCCGGACAGGTGAATTGAGCTTTGGGTGGATCAGGGGCGGTCAGAAGTTCTGAGACAAGGATCCAGGCTCAGGAGCATAGGCCGAGGGGGCGACCGGGTAATTTATAGCTCAACCAGCCCGATCGAAACAGCCAAATGGTGATTCTGGGGTTGTGGGGGATCACGGGTCTAATCCCGAACTCATCTTCCATTTTTTCATCTGCTGCAATCTCAATCTGCCGCTGCCAAGTGAAGATAGTTAGTCTGACACTGGTAATAGTCAGGAATTCCTTGGCAGTCGGGATTAACAGTGGGAGAGCCAAGTATCATTGAGGTGGCTTCTTGGGAGGTCCAATCATAATAATTCATAACGGGCGAAGGAGTTAGACTCTAAAGTCTAAGCACACGCCTGGAACTTCCCCACAAAGTTGTCCGAGGATGATTAGAGGTCTCCCCAGACTTGTGGATCCCACCCCAGACTGGCTCTTTGGTTTTTGTGGGGATTGTACTCCGTAATGTAGGTATACGTACCTAGTAGCCCACAGGAAATGCCGACCCCCTCATCCGACTATCTCTTGGGTGTCATGGTGACCAACCATAGCCCCAGAATCTGTCAGGCGCTGTGATTCTCCAAACGCCAAGTCCTCCAAGAAAGACAGTTCACGTCAAATGAGCCGATCGGAAGGTATCCCGAACCTGCTCCGAAGATTCTCCTATCGTAAGACTTCAGGCTATTATCAAGAGCGTACTCCGTACTCCGTGGTAATTTGTGCATGACATCTTCAAACGAGCTAGGGTGGAGACTTGCATGCCTTGTTTATAAGGTGCAGAGCAGAGCATGTGACCTGAAAATGGCAATTCCGGAGTGATCGACCTTGAGATGCCTCTTGAGTTGTTCCCAACTTCTTAGCAAGGAAGAATGGATTCAATCTCCGGCGTTCGCAGCCTTGGATTATGTATAATACAATGTCTGTGGGGGTTTAAGCCCTAGAAGACTCCGGGGGTGATATGATGACACACCACCACGTGACTCGGATATAGACGGATAATTTCTCGGATTAAACGGATGAACTGCACAGGAGTTCTGTGAGATTTAATAAATACGTACTTATCGATGTCTGAGGCGTCGGATAAACCCCCAGCGGGTTGGAGAATCCCTCGCGCATGCCAGGAATGCCGCAAGCGTAAAATCAAATGCAATGGCCTGACCCCGTGAGATCCTTCAGTCTATGTTCGGATAGTGAATACATTGAGCTGATATAACATCAGGTGCAAAACTTGCCAATTGCGCAACACACCCTGTATATACAGAGACTACATTCGCCATCGGCGCAAGAAACATGAGTATGACGAAGTCGGCGAAAGGCATTCAGTTCGTCATGGCTCCCCAAGTGGAGTGCCGCCATCGGGGCGGCGTACAACCTCTGTCATGAATGACTTCCCAAATAGTGTGTCTGCAACACATATGGCATCGCCATCATGTCAGATGCAGTTATACTATGGCCCAACCTCTCACTTCTCTCTCATGCAGCATATCTACCGAGATCTCGTCTCCAATCCTACCTCTCAGCCTGAACCTTCTGGTGGAGTCGAGGAAGCTGGAGCTGGCTTGGACTTATTCAGCTTCCGTCGCATTTTTTTCGGAACCCCAGATTTTTATGAGACTAACAAGGCACTCGGGACAGGGGATTTGTCCATGATGTTCTTGCCGTATGACATAGCTAAGCTTTTTTTGTCGCGGTATCTCTCCAGCCTTTATCATCTGATGCCACTTCGCCCCAAGTTATATTATGAGCAATGTCTGGACCGAATGTACAGCTCTTCGCCCACAGACCATCTAGATGCTTTCACTCATGCGATACTTCTCCTTGTCATGGCAAGCGCGGCACTCGGCACGGAACATTTTGCTTGGGGTGATGTGTTGTTCGAGCGCGTCAAGGCTTCGTTGAGCGCATTTGATGACGCGGTAAACCTTCAGACTATTCAAATATCAATGCTTATGATAAGTCATCATCCTCTTGTTTCTATGTTTATGGACTGACGTATGTGGACTTTACGCCAATTACCAGAACGAACAAGGTCGACCTAACTCAACGTTCTTGCATTTGGGTTCTGCTTGTCGCAAAGCCTTGGCAGCAGGTCTGCATAAAGATGTCCCTCATGATGTTGCCCAAACCCCGGAAAACATTGAAGAACGACGGGTGACTTTCTGGTCTATTTACATCTACGAAGTGTACATCTACCATTTTCAGTCCGCTCTTTGCTAAAGTCATTAACCTCATTTATAGCTGGTTCTGCTATCATGCGGGTCGTCCTAGCTCCATCTCCCTCAAAGATGTCGCAATCGAGTATCCGCAGGATCCATTTATTCGATTGTTGGTGCAGCTTTGCGAAACCATCACCCGGTCTGTTAATGAGATATATGGCCAGCGACATGAGTCTCTTCTGCATATGTGGAGAGTTGCTCGATCCATTGCGGATGATATCCGTGGTCTTGAACCACATCTGAAACAAGTTTTGGGCCACGGGCTTGACGATAGCATCCAGGCGGGATCCCTTGGGGTTCGACAAATAATCTTCATTACCCGTAAGTCAACCATTGAGATATTCTCTAGCCCCATACTGATCGGATCTAGTATATAATCATACCCTCCTTCTCACATTTCGCCCGTTCTTAATATTTCGCGGCCATTGGCAGCGCGAGATGAATATCACAGTCGACCAGTCTAGCACCAATGTCACAAATCGACCGAGGCAAACGCCTTCTTGGCTCAACGAAGCCTGCAATCTTGCCATCACTGCCGCCCAAAAGACCCTCCATCACCTATGTGAAGCTTCAAGAGTCAATAATCTTGTTCTGGTAAATAGACCACATGTTATTATAGAAACTTCCGCTAACCATTTCATAGGAATTGCGATACCACGGGTATTTTTTCGGCAGTTCTGTATTTACTCTCATCTACGAGTTCCTCCATAATCCGAGTGTCGCGCCTGTCTATCTGCCATGGGTCTATGCTTCATTGCAAACCTTGTCAACCATGCGAGCTGGGGACCCGATCGCAAGCACGATTTCAGCCGTGCAGACTGTGCTTCGCAATCTCAATCCATCATATGAATGGTTACCTTTACTAGCAACAACTGGGGGTAATATTGCGCCCCCAGGAGAGACAGCCATACACCAAGGCCTCACCCCCGACCGTAGACATCAATCACAGCTCAACAACCCTACAATCCCACAGAACCCGTCACTGGGAATGCGACCTGACCTCCTGACATCGCCCTGGAACTTCCCCCAGGTGGAAAAACAGGAAAACCCGGAAACCGGAGGGTCTGTGGGCTCTGGGGAAGACTTGCTTGATTTTACTCAGTCTGACATGGGCTGGAATTTTGATTTCTCTACCATGGACCTGGAGGCGTTCTTTTCGGTTTATCAGTCGAATGATGCACCAGTCCTTTGATGGGGCCCTCACACCAAACAAGTTCATAACCTGAAACATAAATCTTTAATACTGTATCCATCTGGTCTCGACTAAGGGGTCATCTGCGGACTTAATCTGTTCAAGTGGATCTATATCCGAAAGGTGGATCTCATCGAAGCTTTGGAAGCTGCAAAAATAGAGTCCTAGCGAATGAAGAGTCGATGTGGACCAAGTGGGTCGTTAATATATCCGTGTGTATATTTCCGAGCAGCTCGCACCAGTGATATCCTCGCTAACACGATATTTTTCGCAGTTGTTTTACCTGTTTGGAGTCATCTCCCCTATCTATAAATTCCGGCACAGCGATACATACGTGATGTGATCTGGACCTGACCCACTTCCGGCAATATGGATTTAAAATGTAGATTCGATAACAAATCCGCGGTAGTATAAGAGTTCTTCTGAGCCTCGAGATGATGGTATTTCCCTCCAATCTCACTTTAACTGGTACCATCGCCAACAGTCATTCTTTTTAATTTCAGGAATATACGCCTCCGTCATGGATACTCCATCCTCCGGCACAGCGACACCAGTCGACCTGGAACATGGCGAGGGCCAGATTCGCAAACGACTTACAGTCACCTTCCGCGATTTGAACGTCCGAGTCACAGCACCAGATGCTGCTTTAGGAAGCACTTTATGGTCAGAGGTGGACCCGCGACAGGTTGGGGCACTGCTGAAGCGCGGCGACCGTCCAAAAAGGGTGGGCATATTCAATCATTACCATGCAGTTATCATATACTGACTTGGCTTCTAGACCATCCTAAAAGATGTTGCAGGTCAGGTCAAGCCCGGGGAAATGGTATGCTCTCATAAATCGATAATATGAATGTCGTAACTAAACAATATAGCTTCTTGTGCTGGGACGCCCAGGCTCCGGATGCACTTCCCTCCTTCGAGTGCTCTCCAATGACCGGGATAGCTTCGATGAAGTCACTGGCGAAACCAACTATGGAAGCATGGATCACAAAGCTGCCAAAAGGGTTCGTCAGCAGATCATGTTTAACAATGAAGGCACGCAATCCTGACTTGAAATATATGGAGCTCAATGCTAACTGCACTGATGACAGACGACCTTCACTTCCCAACCCTTACTGTCAATCGTACAATGAAATTCGCCCTTCGAAACAAGGTCCCCAACGAGCGCCCAGAGCATCTGAGAAACCGCAAGGACTTCGTGCAAAACCAGCGTGACGATATCTTAGGGTCACTTGGAATTGGACACACGAAGAAGAACTTGGTAGGAAACGAATACATCCGAGGTGTATCAGGAGGCGAGCGTAAGCGCGTCTCTCTTGCTGAGGTTCTGGCTGGGCAAAGTCCAGTCCAAATGTGGGACAATCCTACTCGGGGATTGGACTCGAAATCGGCGGTGGAATTTGCTCGTATGCTCCGACGCGAAGCGGATCGAAACGACAAGACGATTATTACCACTACATACCAAGCCGGCAACGGCATTTATGACCAGTTCGATAAGGTCCTCGTTCTGGCTGAAGGCCGTGTCACTTACTATGGCCCTCGTCGTATTGCAAGGAAATACTTTGAAGATCTTGGATTCATCTGTCCCAAGGGTGCCAATGTCGCAGACTTCCTGACTTCAGTCACTGTTCTTACTGAACGGACACTCCGACCAGGCTGGGAAGAGAAGGTGCCCAATACACCCGAGGACTTCGAAAACTGCTATCAAAACAGTCCCATCTGCAAAGATCAAATGGCCTCCATTGTAGACCCCGAGAAGCTGAGCTACGAAGCTGAAGATCTTAAACTGGCTGTGTCTAGTGAAAAGCGCAAGCAGCATATTCCTCGGAACAGCAGTGTTTATACAGCAAATCTCTGGGATCAGATTGCCGCTTGTGCTCTTCGCCAATTCCAAGTTATCTGGGGTGATAAGCTCTCACTGTTTGTGAAGGTCGGGTCGGCTATAATCCAGGCCTTGGTCTGTGGAAGTTTGTTCTATGACTTGCCAGAGGTAATAAATATACCCTCCACCCGAGAAGATTAAGAAGACCAAGCTGACAAATGAAACTATTAGGATTCGAGCTCAATCTTCTTGCGCCCCGGTGTTTGCTTTTTCCCGGTGTTATATTTCCTCCTTGAAAGTCTGTCTGAGACAACTGCTTCCTTTATGGGCCGGCCAATTCTTTCTCGTCAGAAGCGATTCGGATTTTACCGCCCTACGGCCTTTGCCATTGCCAACGCCATCACTGATATCCCTGTTGTCATGTTCCAGGTGACCTGCTTCTCACTCATTCTTTACTTCATGTCTGCTCTTCAGATGGACGCAGGAAAGTTCTTCACATTTTGGATCGTCGTTATTGCGCAGACGTTGTGCTTTGTACAAATATTCCGAGCCGTTGGCGCTGTTTGCAAACAATTTGGAAATGCATCCAAAATCTCCGGCTTGCTTTCCACGGTCTTCTTTGTCTATGGAGGTGCGTATTTGAGTATAGCCATTGATACGAAACTTCCCAAACTGACAAGCTGCAGGATATATTATCCCATTCCACAAGATGCATGTGTGGTTCCGTTGGATCTTCTACCTCAATCCGGGAGCATATGCCTTCGAAGCACTCATGGCAAATGAGTTTGTTGGACGCAAATTCACATGCATAGAACCCGACTATCTCCCATACGGCAACGGGTACTCCAACTCAGCGTCTCCCCACCGTGGATGTTCAGTCCTTGGGAGCGATGATGAAGGTATTATTGATGGAGAAAAATACATTCAAGAGCAATTCAGTTACTCAGTCCATCACATCTGGAGAAGCTTTGGTATTCTGATTGGATTCTGGATTTTCTTCATCTTTATGACTTCTTTCGGGCTTGAATTCCGGAACAGCCAGAGCGGATCGTCTGTTCTACTTTACAAGCGTGGCAGCGAGAAAGCTCGTGAAAAGGAAGAAGGCGAGAAGTCAGAGTCTCCAAAAGAGGCAGATGCTGGCGCACTTTTGGGCTCGGTCAAGCAATCCACTTTTACATGGAAAGACCTTGACTACCATGTACCTTTCCACGGTGAGAAGAAACAGCTTCTGAACAAGGTATTTGGATTTGTTCAACCCGGAAACTTGGTCGCCCTTATGGGAGCTTCTGGAGCCGGAAAAACAACATTGTTGGATGTGCTTGCTCAGCGAAAGGATAGCGGAGAGATCTACGGATCAGTTTTGATTGACGGCCGCCCAGTTGGAATTAGCTTCCAACGCACTACTGGTTACTGCGAGCAGATGGATGTGCATCTTGAGACAGCCACCGTCAAGGAGGCATTGGACTTTTCGGCCGTTCTTCGCCAGCCATCGACAGTTTCACACGAAGAAAAGATCGCTTACGTCGAACATATTATCGACCTTTTGGAGTTGCGTGATATCAGCGAAGCACTCATCGGAGGTAAGTTTGCTTGATGTTTTGATGCTACTGGGTCGCTATGCTAATAACTCACAGTACCTGGAGCTGGACTCAGCATTGAACAGCGCAAACGCGTGACCCTCGGCGTTGAGCTTGTTGCTAAGCCCACATTGCTGTTCTTGGATGAACCTACCTCCGGTCTTGATGGCCAAAGTGCGTTCAACATTGTGCGTTTCCTTCGCAAACTGGTTGATGGCGGCCAAGCCGTGTTGGTAAGTTCTCAATATATCACAATATATTTCCATCGTACTAATTTCTAAGTGTACAATTCACCAACCATCTGCGGTGCTATTCGATGCATTTGATGGTCTCCTCTTGCTAGCCAAGGGTGGCAAAATGACATATTTCGGAGAAAGTGAGTCTTGACCGTTGAGGCAACTGGTCAAAACCAAGCAACTAATAATTGGTTCGTGACAACAGCCGGCAAGGACTCAACCAAAATCTTGGAATACTTCACTCGGAACGGAGCGCCATGCCCTCCGGATGCGAACCCAGCAGAGCACATCATTGATGTTGTTCAAGGAGGTGGTACTACGGACCAAAAAGATTGGGTTGAAATTTGGAACCAGTCAGAAGAGCGCAAGCAAGCGCTCTCCCAGCTTGATGCACTCAACGAGTCTAGCAAAAATATTTCCGACTATGTTGAAGATACTGCTGACTATGCGACCTCGCACTGGTTCCAATTCAAGACGGTCTCTAAGCGCCTCAGTATTCATATCTGGCGCTCACCAGTACGTCGCTACAATGGTATTCCAAATAAGATTACAAAGCTGACTTTCATATAGGACTACATGTGGAACAAGATCATTCTTCATATCTTCGCGGCTCTTTTCAGTGGTTTTACCTTCTGGAAGATCGGAACTGGAACTTTCGACCTTCAGTTGAGACTCTTTGCGATTTTTAACTTCATCTTCGTTGCTCCAGGCTGCATCAACCAAATGCAGCCATTCTTCCTACACAGTCGTGATATTTTTGAAACTAGAGAGAAAAAGGTGAATGCACTAGTGGAATCATAGTGGCATGCACGTATCGCTAACACTGGTTTCCATATAGTCCAAAACCTACCACTGGAGCGCCTTCATCGGAGCGCAAACTCTGACGGAAATTCCATACCTTATTATTTGCGCCACACTCTACTTTGCATGCTGGTACTTCACTGCAGGCCTTCCGCTAGAGGCCAGTGTTTCTGGGCATGTCTATCTTCAGATGATTTGTAAGCCACACCGAGTCTTCGAGGATCAATTAGTGTATCTAACATCAAGACAGTCTATGAGCTCCTATACACTTCTATTGGCCAGGCAATTGCGGCGTACGCACCGAACGAGTATTTTGCGGCTGTGATGAACCCGGTCTTGATCGGTGCCGGCCTTATCAGTTTCTGTGGCGTGGTGGTTCCGTACGCCTTGATGCAACCATTTTGGCGATACTGGATTTACTACCTGGACCCCTTCAACTACTTGGTTGGTGGGCTGTTTGGCGAAGTGGTCTGGGATATCAAGGTCAAGTGTGAACCGTCGGAATTCGTGCAGTTCACCACGCCGTCTGGGCAGACCTGTGGCCAATACATGACCGATTTCCTCGCCACGCAGACTGGTTATCTAGCTGATGGAAACTCGACTGGGACATGCTTATTCTGTCCGTATTCTGAAGGTTCTGATTACGCGAAAACGTTCAATCTTCAAGAGAAATACTATTCGTGGAGGGATGTGAGTATACCCTGACTGACTTGGCATAGTCTGCGATGCTAACTGTTTATTCCTAGACGGGTATCACTGCCCTGTTCTGCATCTCATCATATGCCTTGGTGTTCTTCATGATGAAGCTCAGGAGCAAGAAGACGAAGAGTGCCCGTTCCGAATGAGTGATCGCCACCAAGCTGACCATAGGGCCTTGGTTAAGCTAACATCCGCGGCATGCATATATTTGCTCTCAATTTCTTCGGGGTACAATTACGAAGATATGGCCCATTTGGTACTCTGCTTCTCTGGCTCATTTCTCTCGGCATTGACTACTCTTGTGGTTTTAGACCATGTTTCTCCAGCATCTCATTAGATTTTCTCTCTTTTATTGTGAATTTCTCTCCTCTATAACCTAGATTCTAGCGTATTAATTATATTATGTTTTGTTTCGTCTATCTGGGTGGTACTTGAGCTACATATACTAAACTACCACATCTACGTCAAGTGAAGAAAACTGCTCGTCAATATTATGACTTGGGCTTTTATTCTAGCATATATCACAGCGTGTAGATTCAAACGTGACACAGGACGTGATTTATCAATTGAATTTCTGTTCATGGGTTCTTATATTCGAGCCGAACCGCCGGCATTCTGGCAGCCAACGCTTGATCACGGGGAGATCGACATGCAGGTGCAGAAAGACTAGCGGCATCCGAGAATACAAAAAGGTCCAAACAACCACTGATTCTACACTGTATCAACGCTCCTGCTCGCCTTGAATATGCGGTTTCACATTTTTGCAATATTTCCACTGGTCGCTAATGCAGTCAACATCATCTCATCCAACGATGATGGCTGGGCGGAAGTGAACATCCGCGCTCTATTCGAGTCCTTAGGAGCGGCAGGGCATTCAGTTGTTGTATCTGCGCCCGCCGAGAACCAGAGTGGCACGGGCATGTTATGTCTTCCCCTCTATATCCCCTCTTTTATTGACCCGTCACCACAGGGTCAAAGCAAAAAACACCGACTGTCTTGACTGGGCCGTGCGAGTTCAATAGCTGCCCTTCTGGCAGCCCGGCTGTGGGATTCAATTCCTCAGAGGTCAGTATTGTGTCCACTGTCACTAGAGCGGTTGACTGATCGTACAAAAAAAGCCCCGACTGGGATATGTCAATAGCTATCCGGTGACATCGATAAAATATGGCATCGATTCCCGCGCCCAACAATTCTTCAATGGCCCTCCGGACTTAGCGGTCGCAGGCCCAAATGTCGGCCATAACATTGGCCTCACAGTTTACATTTCTGGCACGGTGGGCGCCGCTGCCTACGCTGCGCATGCTGGGATCCCCGCTATCGCCTTCTCTGGCGCTACTGGCTCCCAGACTTCATGGGATACCCCGCGGCCTCACTATAGTGATGTCTATGCCGATTTGGCAACTAACTTGACAAATCATGTGGTTGCTGCTGGCAAACCGTATTTACCGAACGATATCTGGCTGAACGTCAACTTTGGAAAAGTTTCTGACTCCAGATGCACAAACCCGGCTGAATTCTCTTTCGTCCTATCTCGCATCCAGATTGCACTTCCATTTATTACCCCGGATGATGTGACCACGTGCGGCCGTTCGAGATTGCCAAGCGAACTTGAAGTATCGCTAGCGTCTGGATGCTATGCAAGTGTCTCGGTCGGGGTGGCCGCGTCGAAGAGCGACGCCAACGCTACAATGCAGGGGGTTGTTTTGAAGAACCTAGGCAATTTGTTGACTTGTTTACCATGATTGGTGTAAAAACGCCAGTGCCAAGAATGTGGAGATCAAGTTCCTCATAACCACGTGTTGTATTTAGCCATGCCGTGTTGCACGAGAGAATATTATGAGGTAGCTGTAATATATGTAAAGACCTCTACTGTATATTAGCATTCAGACTAGCTTTGATTAAGGAATATATATTAACAGAATAAGCGGAGAAATTGCGTGAGGAAGTGGTTGAGGCATTTTACATCGGAGAAACCAAGGAAGATACGGCGAATCACCGGAGCTATCGATCCCACGCTCGAAAAGCAATCTATTCTGCAATGCAAGTTTCAAGCGGGACTGTTATCGTCCACTATACTTCATCGGGATTCAGCACCGTTTTCACCGGAGTAAACCTCTTGAAGAAAGCGAGATCAGCGACAAGATAAGAGACATGTCGATCTTACGGGATGAATACTACGATATAAATATTTCGAGGAACGCTATTTGCTCATAACACGACCTGACTGTATTCCCTTTCTATTTCAACATGATCCCTCGACTTATTGCCGGCTTGACTGCTCTCATTGTGCTGCCTGTGACGGCTAACCCGGTTTTGTCACGTCGAGGAACAGTTGCATCCGACCAACTTCTCGGATTTCCCCAGACAGTTCCAGCTGGTGCCACTGGCGACCTCTACCTGGCCTACCAGCCAGATCTATATGTTGTCAATGGTTGCGTGCCTTTCCCGGCCGTCGATGCAAACGGGAACACCAAGTAAGTGAGAAAATTGCCTTTAAAGAATTTCCAGACTCCCATATCTGATAACGGTGATGTAGTGCCGGTCTCAAACCAACTGGAGATCCAAGTGGTGGATGCAATAAAAGCACGGGGCAAATATACGGTGAGCTTCTTCAGAAGTACCCATTGAATTGCTTGGGATATGTTGACTAAGGTGCTTCCGTTTGCAATCCATAGTGAGAGGCGGTTCTTCAGGCGACCGCTATGCCCTGATGTATTCCTGGTATTTCCCCAAGGATTCGCCTTCGACTGATCTTGGCCATCGCCACGATTGGGAAGGGGTTATTATCTGGCTTTCCGACGCCACAAGTACCGCTGCCTCAAACATCCTGGCTGTTTGCCCATCAGCACATGGTGGCTGGGACTGCAGTACAGATGGGTATACTCTTGATGGCACTGCATCTCTGATCAAGTACCAGTCCGTTTGGCCTGTGAATCATGCTTGCGGCCTAACAACCACCATTGGCGGTACACAGCCGTTGGTTGCCTGGGAGTCAATGTCCAGTAAGTTGCCCACTAAGACCCCCAAGGCCTGGAAGGTAGAAAAGTCTAACCCCAAACACTCAGCTGTCGTGCAAAATGCCTTGGATACAACGGACTTTGGATCAGGGAATGTTCCTTTCAATGAGGGCAATTTTGCCAACAACCTAGCAAAGGCAACATTCTAAGCTCAAGACTAGAAAAGTGTGGCGCCTAAAAGATTCCTTGATCTACGGCCCGCTGACGGGACCGGACCGATCCGATCTTATCCAATTTACCTCGATCTTGGTGAAGGTTTATGGATTGTCCTGAATGGAGTAAGAAAATGAATTGGCCAATGAGTTGGTCGGCGAACGGGAGTATTCTTTTGGCTGTGAATGCTTCATATCTTTGGTTCTAGTTATGAAACGAAGGTTGTGCTCTCCCTTAATCCCGCTTCAACCCAACTTTTCCAATCTTGCGTAATCCCAAAGCACCAACACCACAAGCCGCCAGCATTAATCCAAAACAAGTCCAGAAGACAGCTCGGTACCCAATCATTAGTGCTTCCGGGGAAAGTTTGTTAGAATACGATGACCCCTGAGTGACACTGGCAGAAATGATGGCGAAGATAGTGAGCCCAATGGAGGTTCCGAATTGCGCGACGGTGTTAAAAACTGCCCCTGCGAGACCTTGGGTTTTCGGAGTGAAGGCATCGGTGATAATGAGGTTTGCGATAGTAAAGATGACTGAGTTGAGAATTTAATTAGTGGACCATTCAAAGAGATGTCCTTTGGTCATGATGAATGAGGAGGGAGAAAGCAAGAATCGAACCCACCATCAGCTGAAAGGGGACCTAAGAGAACAGCCCAGAACGCACAATACCACCACGACCAGTTCGGGTTGATGATAGCCATCAGTAGTGGGGATCCGGCACTAAGGAACGTGCTGACAAGCACCAAATGATCCGCATGGAGGCGATGGACGAGCAGTCCGGTCCCAACATTGAGCACTATGCCGATAATCACATTTGGTAAGAAGCGAAGAGAGGCCTGGAAGGCAGATAGATCTTGAACTTCCTGGAAGCTGTGAAGGCTGTGAGAACAATGCATTCAAGAAAGCAATTTTGCAGAGACTTACAATAGACTCAGAATAGTTTCCATTCCATTTAGTACAGCCCAAGAAAGGAGCACCATGACACAGACCGATGAAAACGCTGTATTTTTCCACAGAGTGTTCGGAATCAATGCAGATTTGCCATTCCTCTCGCGGTAGTTCATCCAGCCCAAGAATGCAGGTATCATAACTGCGGCTGCACAAAGCAAGGCAATATTTTCCGCTCGGTGAATGTTTGACGGGCTATCGGTGATGGTACTGCAACTAATGTTAGCCGTTTTTCAGGATATTATTCACTCCATTCCAGTAAACTTACGCGAACACGTAAGAAATAATCCCCAGGCAAGAGCTCGACAGAAGAATTCCAACCCAATCAATTTCTGAGCGAAGTCTGCGCCACGAAATCGGCTCCCGTGGTGCATCCTTCGGCAACTTGAAGAAATTCACAACTGTAAGGACCATAGAGATCCCTGCACAGAGATAATAACCAAATCTCCACCCCAGTGATGACCCTTGAAAAAGACCACCAAGCACGAGTCCCATCGAAAATCCTAATGGTTGTCCTAGCCCAAGACAGGCAAATCCAACGTTTCTTCTCTTGCCAGTTGGCATGGCATCAGTTAAAATGCTGAATGCCGTGGGGAGGCACATCGAAGTTGCGATGCCCTGGAATGTGCGGAACAGAATCATTTGGATACCGGTCTGTGCTACACCACAAGCAAGAATAAATGCACCAAGTAGGAAACAGCCGGTGATATTGATCATTCGATTCCCCATGAAGTCAGCCATTGAACCTGCTAGGAGGAGACAGCATCCATTTGCGAGACTGCATTATTTAGCGAAGTTTGATTGTAGAGAACCAAATTCAACTTACGAGTAGACAGAAGCGGGCCTAAAGCAAATCGGGTGTTTTTGTCAGATTGGTTCAATTTAACCTCTATATTAGAAGGGTTCACTCACCACAGCAACAGATTATTGGGTAAATTCAAATCCTTTGCAATAGTAGGCAGCCCAACAGTAAGTAGTCCACCACTCATACTACCCACAAACGTGATGCCGCTGAGGGTAGTAATCAAAATGACCGCACTGCTGCGAGAAAGATTCACAGTTCGAGTGTCGTAAACGTCCTCGAGGGACGGCTGTCCATCGGGAAATTGGTGTGTCAGTGACGTCTCGAGAGACTCATGGAGCTGCGAATGCAGCATCGATAATTGAGTTGAGTCATCTAAGTCGAGACCCGACATGCCCGCTTGGGTTTGTACTGCTGCGTGAGACATTGTTGCCTTGCAGCTCTGGCTTTGGGCTAATGCGAGAATAAATAGGAAATATGATCACTTGTGGTGTCAGTCCTGGGAGAGACAAAAGATAAAATTGTGACCTGACTCTGAAAGGTCATGCTAATCGACCCCAGAAAAAGTGAAACGCCGTTAGTCAGCGCGCCCTTGGAGTGACATGGCAGGTCTTAAAAAATATGCTTATAAAATGGATCGCTCAGACGAGACAGCCTATCACTGTTCTGGAGCATCCGCCGTTCAGGGCATACTTCGAATGGGACTGAATTTCCCATTAACACGGCCGATAACTCTCTACATCAGGATGATGGAATTTTACAAAATCATGACTTGCGTGAAAGAAATAGGCAGCAGTACAACTATGTGTCTTCACGTTTGGACATCGGAAAATCAGATAGGGGTGGGCATCGTTGAGTTTGAAAAGCGGGAAGAGTTTAAGACAGAGGGCCGCATTCTAACCTTAGGTAAAGGAAGCCTGACAAACAAGGTACCAAGGCATCTAATCTGTCTCAACTGTGTCGAAGAATGGGCAACAAACTGGCCCAAAAATTGGTGAATATATTTTTTGCGTCTTAAGACGGATCGAAGACCGAATCGTACATAATTATATGACTCCACTCAAAAGTTGGTTCAAAAGGCATACAAAATACTTGGAAAGGCTCTCATTGATATCAGTCACTATGTTTCATCAATAGCACTAATTTCCTGCTCATACTTGGAATCGCTCATTCAGGTTCACGCTTTACGTGACCCTTGTGTCAGATGAAATTAGACAGCAGTTGGAAGACACTGAGAATACCACTGGTTTGCCGAAGAACAGGCTGCCGGCGACGCGCATGCAGTTGGTCCCGTCCAACCAGCTCCTCCGCACTGTCCGTAGGGAGTTTGGCTTGCTCCGCCCCCACCAGCAGTAGTGGTGGTTTTGGTAGAAGTCACCAGTGTCGTCGTTGTGGTGGTAGTGGTGGTGGTAGTCTTGGATGTTGTAGCTGTGGCTGTGACGGTGCCATCAGTAATAGCACCTGTCCCTGTCACTGGTGTACCAGAAGCAGTTATTGCTGAGGTGGTTTGTGTGATTGAGACCGCACCACTGTAAAGAGTTGGTCCGGGGACAATCTGAGAAAGTGACATTAGTAACGCACGGGAATTGGGCGAGATATTAGCCAGGCCTAACATCCACCAATCACTTACATATGTTGACAGAGACGTGTAGATGTTCACAAGGATGCCAGGGTCAGTTGGATTGTACAAATCAGTACCCAAGACACCTGCTGGCTTGTCTGATCCTGAGCCGATGATTTGTAGGTTGAAGCATTGGGGATAATTCTGGGTCCCGCCCTGAGTTCCTGCGCCATGGAGTGCGATGCTTCATAACAAGATTAGCAAAACTTCTCGAGAAATCAAGGAAATCTACCTACATTTCATGTCTCAAGACATAATGTCCAGGTGCGATGTCGGAAGGAATCTCGACCATCCATCCCGACTCGTGGGCTATGAGTTGATCATCGGCCCAAATTCCGGGGACATTTGTTCCGTCAACTAGTCCGACGCCGCTAATCTTGAAGAATTCGAGGGTCGTTTTATCCACAGTTTCACAGCCACCCGCACCACAACTGGCGAGGTAATCAATGATCGGTCCATGATGTGATTCTGGCCAGTTGGGGGTCCATTGGAGGAAGACTCGGTCACCGGCAGCTACTACCGCGTGACCTTTAGCATTAGTAGCATCAAGATGGCAGATGATATCCGAGGTATCGTATGCATCTGGTTTCACAGAGTTAAAAAGAGCATGGCTTTTGGTCAAAGAGGACAACCATGGCGTAACTTACCCGGGGCAACGAAGCCATTGGCAGTGTTTGGGGTACCCCAAGCCACCACGACTGGAGGCGAGTCTGTATAAGGATAACTTCCTATGTCCCATCCATCGAAGGAGACACCGTTAATAACGATGTTGGTGACGTGACCATGGGCCGCAACAAGCGACGCAAACAGAGCGGGAGCGAGAATGCTATACATTGCGGTTGTATCCGAAGAAGCAGGTTGAATAAGTTTGTGTCTGAAAGAAACAGATATGCTGAGTGGTAAATCAGTAGCAAATGTGAGACTTTCCTTGTGCTTGTCTTGTCTTCTGGTGAACCTGCGCAACGGTCATATTTATAGAGAGCGAGAGGAGTATAACTCGGCATCATGGGTTGTACTTCCGGGGTAATATCCCTGAATTACCCCGGATTGAGAATTTTAATTACAAGGAAGAACCAACAAAACCAATCAGATACATTATACGCGATTTCGGCAACACTAAAGTGATCATTCTGCACGGATAAAGACAAGCCACGGGGTAGTTGTGCAGGATTTCACAACGCCACCAGCGGATGTCGTGCTGACTCCGTGTCAAGATAGCTTAGGATCAAAATCCATCAAGAAGAATGGAATCATAAAATTAAGATGAGGGGTCAGGCACACCGGGTTGTGATTCAAAGCTGACACTGGCCCGTCTGAAGTGTCAGTAGGCGCCCTTGGCAATATCTTTGGAAATGCACCATTGAAAAAACATATGGTATTGTTATTTAAGAAACCTGCCATTCTGTTATGCATTGAAATTGTTTATTGTTGATCTAATATTTCGTGGTCGAAATTCGCAATTGAGTCAACTGGTAACAAAGGAAAAGGGAAAAAAGAGTAGAAATCATGGATGCGAGGTACCTCCACGGGCAAGATGATTTATGTATGTAATGATATATTAACAGCCATGAATTAGGCGCCAAGACGGAGACGATGACCGAAGGCAAGGTAAGGACTCCGCGAATGTCTTGCGAGTTGCCGCGTTGATCCACGCTGAAAGTAATTAATAGTGCTATGAGGAGCAACGAGCTCGAGATAAACACTCCTCACGTAGGGGAGTTTGATACTTATTCAGGATAATTATAAGCTTTTGCCTTGTGCTATATGACCGTTAACAAAATGTGGGGCTGGGGTTGTAGGTGCAGATGTAGCTACAGGTAGCTGGCTTGATACTTTGAATTAAACCTCAGAGCTCGTAGATGAATTTGTGTTTATTAGAATGTTTGACCATCTAACCCAAAGGCCGAGGAAGTAGTAAAAGCCGGGACGTTTTGTAATATTATTTGTGTGCGATGTCGGTAAATCCATGTGCCCAGAGTGCAATTTTTCGGAAGAACAAAGGTATTCGAGGGTATACATGTAGTTGACGACAGCTAGGTTTAACAAGCAAGCCAGAAAGCACATTGCATACCAACGCAAGTATCTTGGGTATCTAGTAGACGTAGCGGAAGTTCAAGTTCTCCCGGTCCGTCTTATCCTCGAATGCATGAATGAGGGTCGGATCGGCGGCAGTGAGACCAGAATCAGCTAACAGCTTATCCTTCTTGGCGTTCTCACGCTTGAGATGGAAACGGAGGTAGATGACGGCGGAAACCATACAGGCATAGCAAGCCAGGTGAACACTCCAGGCAATGTGGTATCGTGGTTGATCTTTGTCCAGGAACACTTGAGGACCTTTTATCTGTTAGTTGGGAACCGGGCTTCTCGACGTGGAGCCTGAGATACTTACCAATTGCGTTACCAGCAGCCCATGACACGAATGTTGCAGCTACCACGGTGGACTTCTTGGTTTGACCAGCAATATTTCGCGACACCATAGATAACGTGAGAGTTTGGGCCGACCAGAATGACATCGTGATATAGTAACTAATAAGAAGGCCCACCTTAGTGGGCAGAGTGGTGTTTTCGACCGTCATAAGGACAATAGTTCCGATGAAAGACCTGCAAGCTGTCAGTATAGCCTCGCTGCAAAAGAGCTATGGGAAATAAGTACGGAATGATGAAGCACAGCATCACGATGGTGTTTTGCTTATACTTGGTCACCAACCATGCAGATGACAACAGAACGATAATAATGTAAGCACCAAGCACCATGGCAAGCAACTGAGTTTCCAATGTACTGAAGTGGAAACCCTTGATGATGATGCCGAAGAATGCGCCTAGACCGCTGGTAGGGAGAGTGGTGAACATTTGAACAGCACAATAGCACCACATCTGAGGATCGCGGAACGCCTCCCACATCTGGTATGCGTGGAACTGTCTGTTCTGAATTCCCGTCTGATTAGAACGAAGACGTTCCACCATAAGACGTTTGTCTTCCTCGCTAAAGCACTTGGCACGCATAGGGGAGTCAGGCATCCACCAAATGACGAAGAGTCCCCAGACAACGGAGATACATCCATATGTCAGGAAGAGTGCTTGCCAAGACTTGAGCACCGTGTCTCCTGCAATAAGGCTGAAGCAGTATGCTAACAAGCCACCGACAATCTGCTGTGCACCGTTCATCATGTACCTGTTGTACCATTATATTAATATAAACTCTCTGTTATAGACAAGTTTTCACATACCAGTATGTCACCGTAGCCGCTTGTTCCTCTCGCTTATACCACATCGAGGAAAGGGTCACGAAAATTGGCTGACAACAAGCCTCAAAGATACCCAGAAGGGTACGAACAATGACCAACCCAGTGAAGTTCTTGCAGACTGAGTGGAGTGCCAGAATCATACCCCATAGGCAGATGTTGATGCCCAAGTACTTGCCGATTGGGACTCTTTGGATGATCCAATTCGTGGGGTATTCGACGATGAGAACAGCGATGTAAATACATGTAGTCAACCAAGAGTACTATCGATAGGAACAGGTTTAGCATGGTTATGGAGATGAAAGCTTCAGAAGTATCGCATACCTTCTGCCCATCCTCCAAGTTCGTGTCCGTCCTAATCCCCATAATAGCAGAGAACGACATCGTTCCCTTGTCCAGAGCCTGTAGGAAATATGTGCAAATCATGACGACGAGAACACGGCGATCAATCAGACGCTTGAGGCGCTTATTCGTCTCATCGTCGATTTCCACCTGACTGTGGGCGGCATATGCTTGGATTTCCTTGTCCACACGGGTGATATCCATGTTATCCTTTGCGAGATCATCGCCAGAGAGAATCTTTTCGACATGCGAGATGTCTTGCTTGTTCTGATACTCTCCCATATCAACTTCTGGGTGTTGTGTTTGCACTACCTCGATTCCCTCACCAGACGCTGTAACATCCTGGTAAGGGGCTACCTCAATCCCCTGCTGGGAGTCGTTTTTGCCTTCGGCCATGTCAAAATGAAAAATCGAAGGTGCAAAAGCGCAGTTGATCAGGAGACACAGGGAATAGGAAATTGAGATATTCAGTCGGACTTATAATTGCCGTGGGCCCTCGCTGTCAGGACCGTGCATGATCCCAACTAGAACCTTGAAACTTGCCCTAACCACATGTAAGATGATTAGCCGACAGAAAGAGTCATGTGGCTTGTTAATTGCAAGGAATACCATATTAACCGGGAGTCAAATCGAGTTAAACCGAGTCAAGCAGTCACCTCCGTCTTCGTTTCCCCGGCTTTCTTGGCAAAGGAGGAGACATCACGCTAGTGTTCTCCCCACGCTGGGGGAGTCCGGGGATCTACTACCCCGGTGGCCGAAAACTACTCGCTTATTCCGGTGGGTATGGATAAATTCAGTTTCAAAGTACGTTTTTCATATGTACTTCGGTCTTCTCTCACCCGAATCACGCTTTGTCCGCGCGGGGAGGCTTTGTGGCGTTTGACTCTAAAGCTCATTTGTGGAACAACTTTCACCAAATACTTATGAGTATCGAACCTGCCGGAGCAAACATATTATTTTGTTTCCCAGAAAAAAAAAGTCAAGGATAATCTTATTCGTTGAGAACACAACAGCCAGTCTCTCAACATCACACAATGTCATCCTCTAAGCCCACGGGCCCCGAAATTCACACTGCCGTCAACCTGTTGATTGACAATTTGGTCAACATCAAAGACGAGACGGGAAGATTCCTGCTACCTCTTCCTGATGGGCGGATTATCGATACAAAGTCATGGCAAGGTTGGGAGTGGACACACGGCATTGGGTTATACGGCGTGTGGAAGTACTACGAGCTGACGGGCGACGAGAGATTGTTGCGCATCATCGAGGACTGGTTTGCTGCTCGCTTTGCTGAAGGTGGTACCACCAAGAATATCAACACGATGGCCGCCTTTTTGACTCTCGCCTACGTTTATGAGAAGACGGGCAATGTCATCTACCTGCCGTGGCTCGATGCATGGGCTGAGTGGGCCATGCACGAGCTCCCCCGCACCCGCTACGGTGGCATGCAGCATATCACCTATATTACAGAAAACTACCAGCAGCTCTGGGATGATACTTTGATGATGACTGTTATGCCACTCGCGAAGATCGGAAAGCTTCTGAACCGACCCCATTATATCGAAGAGGCGAAAAAACAATTCCTCATCCACATCAAATATCTTTTCGATACAAAGACTGGTCTCTGGTTCCATGGCTGGACGTTTGAGGATGGCGGAAATAACTTTGCAGATGCGCGCTGGGCTCGCGGCAACAGCTGGGTCACAATCGTCATCCCCGAGATCATCGAGTTGCTCGACCTCCAGCCAAATGATCCTATCCGTCTTCACCTGATAGAAACTCTTGAAGCTCAGTGCGAGGCCCTTCAGCGTCTTCAGTCGTCATCTGGCGCATGGCACACTCTCCTTGACCACCCCGACTCATACTTGGAATCCTCTGCGACCGCTGGATTTGCCTACGGTATTCTTAAGGCCGTTCGCAAACGTTACATCAGTGCCCAGTACCGCCCCGTTGCTGAAAAGGCCATCGCTGCGGTGATGGGATACGTTGATGAAAGAGGAGAATTGCAGAATACCAGCTTTGGCACCGGGATGGGTGACTGTCTCGACTTTTACAAGAAGATTCCATTGACCTCGATGCCTTACGGTCAGGCTATGGCTATTATGGCTTTGGGCGAAGCCTTGCGTGATCTGTTGTGAGAAACAAACGTCTTGATGACTGACATGGTGATGGCATGTGGGCATGACCCGAATCATAGAACTATACATAGGAAGTTTTCTTGCGTCCTGACTTGATAGATGATGAAATGAAATGAAAAGAATCATGACATGTAGTACTGAATGTTCGTTTGATCACTCAACTGGCCAGCGGCCGTGTACCTTATTGCCCAGCCCAGCCCTTTCCACTACCTCCTTGCTTCTTCTTTGTGCTTCCTGCACAATTTCTTCCTCATCCATCGTCATCAGGACTCCACTCTTGACGACAACCTTCCCGTTTACTACAACAACATCGACATCGCGCCCAGTTGCAGTATACACAACCGCGCTGACTGGGTTAAACCAAGGCTGGCTGTGGATTCCTCGAACATCGATAGCCACAAAGTCAGCCTTCTTACCGATTTCCAGACTGCCGATCTGGTTATCCAAGCCCAGTGCTTTGGCGCCATTGATTGTAGCCATCTCCAGCACGTTTTCGGCTGGAACTGCCGTGGGATCCTGCGAGGTCCCCTTGTGAATAATAGCTGCGAGTTTCATCTCCTGCAGGAGATCACACGTATTGTTACACGGGGCGCCATCAGTACCCAGGCCAATATTGACGCCTGCCTTTTGGAGGTCTGGTACCCTGCAGATGCCGGACGCAAGCTAGACCTCGTCAGATCCCCAAGTCCCATGCTTGTATGAATCGAACTGACAATGCAACTTACCTTCGCATTAGATGTTGGGCAGTGTGCGACATGCGTTCCCGAAGAAGAAAGAAGTCTTCATAATATAATCAGTCTTTGTTGAATCAATCCACAGATATTCGATTCTCACTCAATGTCTGAGTCATCCAAATGAACCATATGAACGAGGACTGTGGAGTCACTCAGCAAGCCAACTGATTTGCAGTATGACATCGGGGTGTGCGAGACCGATGCGAAGAAATCACGATCGGCCTTGACCTCAGCACAATGCATGGTAATAGGTATACCCTTTTCTTTGGAAATGGTCGTCATTTCCTTATAAAGTGTGTCCGATACTCTGATTTATTATTAGCGAGCGACACCCAATGGCGGTTTCGTCTCATACCCTCCGGGAGTCCTGGCACCAAACCAGACTCTAATTCTATCGTCGGCCGCACCATTCCACTTCTCCCACATCTTCACAGTCCCAAGCAATGAAGTTTCGCGGTTCTCAACAAGGCCAGGATGCATAGCCCAAGCATCGTCTTTGGCATATTTCGCAATGTCCATGACAATCTTACCTAGACAGCCACGAATGCCACTCTCTTCAACAGCACGGCATAACCCGTCAAAGCCATATCGATCCGCAAACTACATTCATGTCAGTCACCGGGCATTCAAAGATATCCAAGGACTCCAATACCATGCTCTCCAAAAAGCAGGTTGTCCCCGATTTAAGCATCTCTCCGATACTCAGTCGTGCTGCAGCATACCCGTCCTCTGCCGTAAAGTTCCCCTGAAGAACCCAGATTCTCTCGCATAGCCACGACACCAGCTCGAGGTCATCGGCTGTACCTCGCAGCAACGTCTGTGCTGTGTGCATGTGGGTCGAGATCAATCCTGGAATGATGATCCGACCGGAGAGATCGCACTCTTCATCGGTTGCATACTTTCTTTTGAGGAGATTTGTCTTGCCAATATCCACAATGACATCGCCGACTACGCGGATTGCTCCGTCGGTAATTATGCGGCGTGAAGCATCCACGGTCACAATTGTGGCATGAGTGTATAACATGGCGGATTGTCGGATGGGTCTAAAAGCAGAGCCTAGCTGTTGCAAAAGAGGTTCTTGGTCTAGTTCCTAATTAACGCAGCTCACAGAGCATTTATATCGTCGAATTTAATACCCCGGCATGAGAGGAAAATTAACGGAGACGGAGTCTGCCGATGTACGAAAAGATCCGCTTCAAGGGGCGCGATAAGATAACAAATGAATCTTGGAATTGACACATTTTCCATGACATGGGGAGAGCTCCGATATTGTGGAGTATATTGGAGAAATGGGGTACATCCATTGAATCGAACTATTGTAAGTTTGCTAATGTCAACATTCAACCAGTTTATCGAAAACTAGACACTAAACTAGGAACTAGAAACTCTTCTTCAGCCACTGAGTCTGCGAATTGCAGTACCCAAGTAGACCAGCCAGACCCCATTCCACACCCACGCCACTCTGCTTGTGGCCACCAAAGGGAGTATTCGGCCCCAAATCAAAGTGGCTGTTTATCCACACACAACCCGACTGGAGTTGATCTGCCATGCGAGTAGCGCGTTCGAAATCCTTACTCCAGACAGAAGAGCCCAATCCGGTCTCCAAAGCGTTCGCACGCTCAAGCACATCGTCCTCGTCAGACCATTTCAGAACGGGGAGGATGGGAGCAAATGGCTCTTCCTGTACCACACGCGATGTCTCCGGGGGATTGTCAATAATGGTCGGGTGGATGAAATACCCAGAAGAGTTCTCGATCGTGCCTCCAAGCGCAGGTTTCAGGTTTTCAGTACCAATGCTGCTGAACAGGTCTTTGGCTTTCTCGTATTGCATCTCATTTTGAACAGGCCCGAAGAAGGTATCTGCCTCGGTGCCTTGACCGACTTTGAGGGTCTTGACAAACGCGACTAACTTTTCCAAGAACTCATCGTAGATCTTCTCATGGACATAAAGTCGTTTGATCATCATGCAGATTTGCGAGCTGCAGAGATAGGAAAGAGTTCCAATCTTGGGGATAACGGCATCGATATCAACATCGTCGCAGATAATCGCCGGGTCATTGCCACCCAGTTCGAGTGTAACTCGCTTGAGAGTGGTAGCACATGCAGCCATAACCCGCTTTCCAGTGGCAATCGATCCAGTAAAGCTGATCTTCTCAATTTGAGGGTGAGCAGTGAACAGTGGGCCGAGGGACTCATCGCCGCTCAGACATTGAACCACGCCAGGAGGGAAGAAGTCAACGGCAAGCTCGACCAGCTTCAGGTCGCAATAAGGTGTGAAAGGAGATGGCTTCACAATAATGGTGTTTCCGGTGTATACAGCAGAGACTATTTTTCCGACGGCCAAAAGGACAGGGAAGTTCCAGGGAACAATGGCGCCCACCACGCCGATGGGTTTGTGACGTTGAATAATCTTCCTATCTTGGGTTTCCTCGATGACAGTGTCGGGAATCTCAATGGAAGCGAGGCCGCGAATCCACGTAGTTGCCATACCCACTTCCATAGATGATTGAGTCAATGGCTTTCCTTGTTCCATCGTGAGCGTTTGTGCGAATCCGTCGACATTAGCCTCGATGGCATCAGCCCAGGCATGCAGAGCTTTACGTCGCTCTTCAAAAGAGGTCTTGGCCCAGCCCTTGAATGCATCCCGAGCCGCCTTCACGGCCTTGTCAAGATCATCCTGGGTGGAAACGGGTACGGGTGGATTAGGCTGAGTGTTGGCAGGGTTGATCCCATGCCGGGTTTCCAATGTCGTAGTCAACTCATTATTGATCACATTGTGGAATGTCTATTTCAGCAAAGATTAGTCGTGCCATTGGCCTCATACTGCTTTTAGAGAGACCCACAGAAAAATCCAGCGGTTTGGGGTCAGTCATTTTGAGCGGCTTCAACTTTCAATACTAGGAGACAATGGTTAAATTGGTGGAAACCAGCGATTTAAATACCTCTTACCTATCGCAATATCTGAGCCTCAGCTGTAATATTTGGGTTTCAGCCGCACCATCTGAGCTGAAATGCCACGTATTTAAAGGGTGTTTTGGAAGCATCCCAAAGTCGCAATTGGTTGCCCGACGGGCCGTTAACACAGCCTAAAACCTTGCATATCCCGTATGCAGACTGCACTGCATTTCTTTGTCCTCAGAGCCTCTCTTATTGGGTATTTGAAGTACATTTCCACTTCCTTTGAACATCCTTACTCAAAAAAATGACATCTTGGCAGCGGGGTACCGACATGCCCCTCACTTCCCTCCTAAAACACCAATGAATAACCGCGGGGACCTGTCAGCGCCGAGGTTCCGGCATTCCAAGACGGGATTTGAGCGCGGTGCTTGACCATTTCACGACCCAGGCCTTCCGCGAGACAAGTCCAGATCAGCTGACTAGACGCATCGCCATCTGGGCCCTATCGTTGTGTTGTAGATAGTCTTCAAGCTTTTCCGACATCAATGAGACATTAATGTAAAGACATCGTGCGCTTGTTACCTATGTAGGTAGCGCCAGAGCACTGAGCCTTGGGAAGTAACTGTTGAGAACCTCAGTTCATTCGCAGTAATTAACGAGATTTGGAACGGATTCAACGCTAACCCTTATTCGTCATTCTTGCATGCTGATAATCTTGAACTCCTACGGAATCGGTATTAGCGTGGGTTTGATGCACTTTAACAGCTTCGTCGCCTATTCCTACATATAACCTGCATCTAGGTTATATCGAAGGATAGGATTCCAATTCAGACTGCATTTCAACTGCTTTAGTATGCTTCCTCCGGCGGAATCCGTTACTCTCCCCATTTTTCTATGATTCTATTTATCTTTCTATTACAAATTTATATTTAACATATGCGGGATTTTTCTCTGTTGACACAGGGGGAGGAAGCCTATAAATATGGGCTTCTTACTACGGAATAGGCATTGAGAGATTGTAAAGTTTCTACCATTCATTCTTGGTATACTTCGAGTATCAAAATCATTCTTATAAGAATCCTTATCCCATATATGCTTCGTACTAGTTTCATACTGTACATTTCAACAGTAACGAGCTCATCACATGAGGGCCTCGTAATATAAAACAACATATAAATACGGCAGCTTTGAATTCTGTTATAATGTACAGTATAGAAACTATACTAAGTATGTATAGATAAGTGTTCTTACAAAGATGATTTTGATACTCGAAGTATAGTACAAAAGATAAATTTTCAACTGTCTGTCTAGCTTCTCAATGCCTAGCACGAAGCCTATACCTATAGGCTTCATAACCCTATATATACAGATGATAAACAAAAATACGTAACAGAAACATGAATGGAGTCATGTAGAAATGGAGAAAGCAACGGATCCCGCTGATGGAAGCAGTTTAAACGCAGTCTGGATTAAAATCATATGCCTCGATATAAGCTAGATGCAGCTTACAGGTAGGAATAGGTGACGAAGGTATCAAAGCCGCGCTAATCTCGATTCCGTAGGAGTTCAAGATTCTTATCATGCAAGGATGATGAATAAGGGTTAGCGTTGAATCCATTCCAAATCACGTTAATTACTGCGAATTAACTGGAAATCTGAACTAATTTCGGATATCCTAACAATAGTGATAAGGATTAAGTCCCACACCATAAGGCAGATAATGAAGATGCCAAGGTGAAATATCCATGTCACATTTCCCCTGGGTGGGGCTTTCCTATTATAGCCGCTTTCCAATATAAGAGCGCTTAATGAGGCTCATTAGTCAAGAATCACTAGTACCTAGGTAAATTAATCAAACACGTCTGCAAAATATCCCTTACATGGATCTCGGCACACATGATGTTCGACTTGATGATGAACCTGGAGACTTCGTCTGGATATCAGGTAGCCGGTGAGAATGGGTAGACCGAGGATTTTACTTTGTAGACAAGATTACGCCGAGGCACAATCATGAACCTTTTTTTGTGGGATTGGCCTAACACTTACAACGTTGTATACATATTACTAACACATAGACACTGTACATATTTATAGGTGGGTACAGCTTCGTCATACGGCTCCATCAATGACCAAATTTCTCCATAATAAATTTCTCCATGTAAATTTCTGAATAGGGCCGATGCCCTAGCCCTACCCAGCAACGAGTATTTAAGATCACTCAGGGGAATCCTGATTTAACTCACGAACCCTTCTTGAAGTCATAGGAATTTGCCCCAATCATATGTTATCATTTTGGCATATACTCATTTCAAGAGGGGTCTGGAAGAAGCAATTCATTCCCTCTCGCGACTGCGTCTGTGATTAACATACAGCGATCGTTGCCACTCAAAATCAAATCGCTATAGAACATAACTCTCAGCTTCAGGAACTATCCAGGAACCAGTGGCTCATACAAACCCCTAGTTCCCGCCGCCACCTATCGCCCCCCACTTCAGGGAGGGCTCTGACTGGTCCAGGTAACTACCCCCAAAATATTCGCCCCTGTTCCCCCCGCAAACCACATAGTCTCTATGATGATTGACCTCTTCCCTTTCTGCAAAGAATTTGTTGAATCCGTGTCCATCTACATTGTTTCATTCTGGTCGTCTGATTTACTGAAATTGTGATATTTAATGTGTCATCACACCATTGCATGATTTGTGGCTAATTGGTATGTTTTGATTAGGTCCACAGGTACAGACGTGGCATATGCGATACTTTTCTTCGTGGATACATATCTAGGGCGGTCTAAAGCTACCCAATTGGATATATAAGAGAATAGGACGATCGCATTGCTGGATAGGATCCGTCTCATCCACAGATGTATGATATATATAATATATATTGTAGGTAAGAATGCTCTGATGTATCTAGTTTAGGCCTTGGCGATCAATCAAAATTCTTACATTGTATTTCCCATTGAGAGTTCAGACGAGTTACTCGATTTTCATTTAATACATCATGAACAGGGGAGCTTATCCAGCAGTCAACCTAGTAATGTTCCTCAATGCCTTAAAAAAAAGAACTTAATCTGTAATAAGTCATATAAGGCAACTGTTTGATATCCCCATATATCACATGATTATACTATAGTGAGACTTGCAGAATCTTCCTTTCCTCCCTCCTTACATGGGTTTTACAGCTTCTATTCATATTGTGCTTCATTTTCACGATCTCATCTTCTATGAGTCTCATAGACCCAAATAGCAACGGTACAGTTGAGAGACATACTGTTGAAGTTGGAGGCAGTGCATCACAAGTTAAGGATAGTCCTGGTATTTTCTAACATGGATAACTGTGACCAGCTAGCAACGCGTAACAGCTATAAGCAGATCGAATGAGATTGTATATGCTCGAGATGCAACATATCAAGTCTAGCGGCCACCAAATGAAGACCTACTTCCAGCATCATCTGTTAAGCTCTACACTCAATTAGGACAATGCAACCTCCCAAGGTTGGAACCTGTCATGGGATGAATGTCTTGGCAGGTGCACCGACCATGACATGACATCATAGTCTCATTTGACATACAAGGGTCTGCAACTTGCAACCTACGTCTAAATCTTGTTTATCCCATCATTCTTGAGAATTGAGACGTAGTCTCAATGTATATCCCTGTCTTCTTTTGATCTGCAAGGACAATCTACCAATAACATGTGTTGTTATTTTGGTAGAATTTTGTCTTCTGGCCTGTGCGAGATGACTGGAGACACCTAGAGAAGATCGTCCTTCGGATGACGCGCCGGCTGAGCGCCTTTTCGTCAACGTCTCCTATCTTCGAAGGCGATATGATGCTGATGATGATGCTTGGCGTACGTTTTATTCGACATCGCAGTAAACACAGGAATCACCATATCTCTACAGATTATATAAAGACCCTGAACTTCCACCTATCTATACCAATATAAATCAACTTACTACACTACAATCTTGTGCTCAATATACATTCCATATCAAACACAATACCATCTTCATCAAACCAACTTCGTCAATCCATCACAATGTTTCACCGTCGTCGCCCCGCTACTACAACCACTCGCACCACCAAGCCTACTCTGATGACCAAACTCAAGGGCCGAAACGCGAAGTCGCGCACCGTCAAAACTACAACGACCACACACCAGAATCCCGTCCACGGTCATACTGCTGGTCATACTAGCCACAGTGCTCGTACCGGTCCTACTGGGGGCCGTTTTGGTCACAAGAATGCCTATGGAACACCTTCCCATACCCGCCATCAGCGCAAACCCTCCATGGGTGACAAGTTCTCTGGCGCTATGTTGAAGCTGAAAGGAAGTTTGACGCACCGCCCTGCAGTCAAGGTAAGCATTGAATGACTCTGATTCAACTTGGATTCGAGCTAACATTTTTGAAACTAGGCTGCTGGAACTCGCCGCATGCATGGCACTGATGGACGTGGCTCACACCGTGTCTACTGATTGATACCCACTGTACACTATCACGAGTTACGAATGATTGTTTTAAGCTTTTGAATTTTGTTTTGTCACTTTTTTGAGATATTCTGATTTACCTGTACGATAAGTGCCAAACCTTTCAATTTTATTGTACAATATCCTTAAACCGATCCCACGTTTGTAATCTCCACTCTAGAAGTAAATGTTGCTTAGTCCTCGTGCCATACAGGTTTCAATGAGACGCCCTTTGGGTTCTTAGAGTGATACGAGGTCTATTAAATAAGTCTAGTGTGTCAACTTATTAACCAAAGCCAGTAAAGGATAAATGAGATCTGGATGTCTTCCGCAAAACGAAGGTCAAGGATACCAGATTGTAACATCTGTTCAAATAGCTTATATTGGAAGCAATGGTTTACCCCACCTTAGTTGAACGTGTATATGCGCACATACCAGTTGATATAGTTGCCACAAGGGATATATGATCATATCCGATTGGAGTCTCACAGCTAGAATTAGATAATAACTGAGACAAAGAGGAATAATAACAACCTTTATAAAACCCAAACCTCGCTTTTTCTCTAATACCGGGCCGGTGCGATAACGGCAGGATGCCCCACCAAAATTTTACATAAGTGCGGGACTTCCCCATTACTCACTTGGATACATCTGTGGACCGTTTCAGCTATATACAATGCCGTCCCTTCAAGAGAGCAAATTGGCCTTCATTGGTGGTGGCAACATGGCCTCCGCCATCATTGGTGGCCTGCTGAGCAAAGGCGTCAACAAGCAGAATATCTGTGTCTCCGAGCCGTGGGATGTCAACCGCGAGAAGATGGCCGCGCTCGGAGTGCGCACCACCACCTCCAATATCGAGGCTGGAGGTGATGCCGATTTGGTCATCATTGCCGTCAAGCCCCAGGTTACCAAGAGTGTGTGCGAGGAGCTCGGTGGTGCCTGGTCACCCCGCGCGACTTTGCCCGTTGTCGTCAGCATTGCTGCGGGTATCACCCTTGATAGCTTGAAGGAATGGTTGACCACGAGCGATAGCCGTACAGCTCACACTGTTCGCGTGATGCCCAACACCCCCGCCCTAGTCGGCGAGGGTGCTTCGGGTGCGTTCGCCAGCGCGGATGTCACATCGGAGGAGAAGGAGCTTGTCAATGTTATGCTCGGAAGCGTTAGCAAGGCTACCGAGTGGGTGGACCGCGAATCACTTCTTGATGTCGTCACTGGTTTGTCCGGTAAGTCTCCTACGCCAAAAGCCATACGGCATGTCATCGACGCGTATCAATCTAACCTAATCAGGATCTGGACCTGCCTACTTCTTTGCCATGGTTGAGCACCTGGTTGCAAGTGCAACTGCTCTAGGCCTCCCCGAAGAACAAGCCACTCGGTTGGCTACCCAGACATGTCTCGGTGCTGGCAAGATGTTGGTAGAGAGCCCCGACAGCCCGACTCAGCTGCGTAAGAACGTGACTAGCCCCAACGGCACCACACATGCTGCTCTCGTGACATTCGAGTCTCTCAACTTTAAGGAGATTGTCGACAAGTCTGTCCAGGCTGCCACTGCGCGGGCTGCGGAGCTTGGAAACACCCTCGCCAAGCCATAGAAAGGGCAACTCGGCAAAAATAAATAGTCAGAATTTGTGTAATGATATCCAAGATAGTCATGCGCAATGAAAGAAAGAAGCAAAATACAATTAGCCCCTATCTAGGTGGACTTAGTAGACTCCCTATTATTAGAGCTACGCCTCCAACCTGAAGTGGCCCGTGCGTATCGCCTTCCTCCAGAAACTTGGAACAGCTCGACAACCGGAGCTTCTTCTCAGTTCATAGTCATACTATGTATGTACAATAATGGTTTCTTTTTGGCCCTGGAAGGTGAGATATATTGTCGGTTATTTTAATTTCTTTCCGCTAACATTACCCAGGGCGATGACAACTCTGCGGCTTCCTTTGAGAAGACCCTATCCACGCTGTCGACCAAGATCGCCCAGGCCACTGCACGACTCGACCAGCAACGTCAGTCCTCTCGGCGCATCAAGGCTCTCTGGACGCTCTACTCGACATTTGCCTATCTATTTTACTCCATCTTTCTCGCCCTCATACTAGGATGGGAGAGCTGGGGGGTCAAGGAATATGCAGCTATCGCATGCGGGCCGGTTCTGTACGTCTGTCCTTAATCCGCACCTTCCAACGTCGCTAACATTTAGTTATTGTTCCCCAGGATCTACGGTGTGCGCACTCTTAGCTCCAAAATCTTCGAATACCGAATCTCCCGCATCCAACGCCGCCTTGACGACTTTCACAAGCAGCGCGAGGAGACAATCGAAAAGCTCAAGATCGCAACCAAGTACAACTCCACCCAGCAACTGCTGGAGAAGTACGGCGGCGAATCCCCCAAACCCCCTCCGGGCGCAAAGCTTCAGGACGAGAAATGCCAGCCTACCCAGCAGCAACAGCATGTGGCCCGCACCGGTCTCCCGCCGCCGCCCACTGCCAACATCCGCCGTCCTCCCTCCGTACCGCAAACCCCGAATGACCCGCCATTCCCCAGTTCTCCCTCTCCTCCTCTCGAACTAGCCCAAGGCCCGCAAACCCCACAGCAGCCCTCTTTCTCGCCTACTTTCCCTCCCCAAACACCCACCGACCAACCCGGCTTTGCACCCAACGCATTCACTCAGAACGGCGAATCCATCGAACAACCGCACTGGTATGACCGTCTCTTGGACGTTCTGCTGGGAGAAGATGAAACACAACCCCGCAACCGGATGGTCATGATCTGCACCGCGTGTCGGCTCGTGAACGGCCAGGCACCCCCTGGGATCAAAACACCGGAAGAGCTGGGCCGCTGGCGGTGCGGCAGCTGTGGAGCTTGGAATGGCGTGGAAAGCGAGGCAACACAGATCCTCACCAGTCTACGTCAAGATACTGTGCCAGCTGAGGGTACTTGGGAGCCTGTGTCGAAGGCGGAGACGGATACCCAATCCTCCGAGGGCACAGAAGAGGGTGTGATGGTGGCTTCCAGTGAGGAGGAACAAGTGGACTCACTTGGCTCTGATGCGGAGGAACAGACAGAAGAGGAACCTAAGCCTGCCCCTGTGCGGCGGTCTAAGCGCGGTGCAAAGGGAGACAAGGCACAGCAGTAGACCGTCTTTCGCTACTCTATTTATTTGGAACTTGTAACTGGCTACATTGCTTACGATTTTATCTAAGGTAGTCCCAATCCAACACTTGTCACATGGTATCTATGTATCTTAGCAAAATCCAAAATCATACAGATCATTCCGAGCACGCCAATCTTCAAGTCATTTGGTTCCGAGCTCATGTAGAAACAATCGGGTGCAACGTCAAGTGGTCAATAGCAACATTGGCAACCTTAACCTCGGCCTCTTCGGCAGAAGCACAACCTTCCACCAGAGCGATCTCAGTCTGGTTGACCACCGCCGAGCAACGATATGTAGCCACACCCTCAGACTCGACCCGCTTCCTCTTAAAAACCAACGTACCTGCTCCCTTCACCATGTTCTGCGCAATATTCCGAGGATGAACAACATTAACCCCATCCGCAATAACACGCTGGATATACCACACCAGACCAATACGTTCAACGAATGCGTGACACACATCCAGATCGCCCCCGCAGTCGATGAAAATCGCCCCAAGAACACTCTCGATGATATCCGACAAGAATTTATCCGCGCGCAGACGGGCGAACAATTCCCACGGGTATTGAGTTCCATGTTCCAGGGCATCGCGAATTTCACCACGGAGACCTTCGTGTCGCTCGAGACAAGCTTCCCGGGCGGATTTGATGTTAGGGCCATGGGAGCGGAGGAAGCGCCATAGGTGGATCTGATCATATTGTGGCACAAGGTTGATATCGCCGTTGGCAAATTGGGGAATGGGGGAAGGTTCGTCTGGTGCGCATAGTTCCATGCAGAAAAAGGCGAGGAGGTTGGCGTTAACGACGGAATGTTTGAGTAATGTCATCGGACCTTGATCCATTTCCACAGGGTGGGATGCTATCACTGCCATAACGACCATGTCGAGGACGGCATCGCCGAGGAACTCAAGACGTTGGTAAGATTGTGTTGATGTGTCGTACTCGCAGGATGCGTGGGTGAGTGCCTCCGTTAGAAGGGCGGGATCTTGGAAAGTGTACCCGATCAGACCAGCCAGACGATGATGGTTGATTAAGTTGCTCACGCCTTTCCCTTCTGGGAGGATGAGGGGTGAAATATCATTCGTGAAGAGATCAATCTCCGGCAAGAAGCGATGGAGACAGGCCTGCGCTTTGCGGATTCCACCGTCTACATAGGCTGCGCCAATGAGAGATTCCACAACATCTGCCAGGACCTTGGTTGACATATTCCTCTTAGCCGTTGATGGGTCCAGCTTGTTCCTGATCAACGGTGCAGCCCATTTCCGAGGGGTGAACCGGTTCGTTAGAATAAAGCAGTCAATGCCGGTGTCGAGAGCTGCGCGAGCAAGGCGAGTATTCTGGATGAGCTTGTCACGGCTCTCCGAGAGGTACCCCTCGTGCCAGTTGGTGTTCCTGAAAAAGAGCTGGCAACTAACAGTGAATTTGAGAACAGAGTCACCAAAGAACTCGTATCTCTGGTAGTTGGTACTGGCCTGTGCAATGGGAGCGCTGATAGCCGTAATGACATGGTCGATATTTTGGATTCCGACTCCTCTCAAAATGGTATCGTTCAATCGATGTGCGACCAAAGATGCCTCCAAGCGGTCCAGAATGGCAGAGATGAAAAGTCCAAAGAGACCCTGTTTTGCTGGGAGCTTGTCGATAATGCAAGCCGAAGCAGGTAGAATGTAGGACTTCTTTGGTGCATCTGCCTCTGCATCTTCAGCAATATTCAGGGCCCGCACCTGGAGGAGATTTCGTCGACGGGGAAGTGAGAAGCATTCGATTTCAATAGGTGACGATTTTGATACCTCGGTGGGAACAATCCATCTGCTGAATGTCCGCGGCTCGCTGAATTTGGATTGGTCGCGGACGATACCCGTAGGCGGCAAAGTTGGATCCCTCAAGTAGGCATCCATTGCAGGCTCTTTTCCTTCGTACACCGCAAGCCATTCTCCCAGGTGTTCATGTGGGATATCGGGGACGAAGAGAGCTACGAAGTCACGGTCCTCTCCCCGCTGGCGCGAGCTGGGAGCTTGTAGGTAGAGGGCAGTGATCCTTCTCATTTGATCCAGTCTCTCCGCCGTCGTCTCAAAAGTCGACATTTGCGGATCAAAATAAAGTTTCAAGGAGGTTTCAGGTTCCCAGTAGAGAGGAATAGGGTGCGGCGTCGGAGTCAATCTCGGCAAAATCAAGGAGACGGCCAGATCTTCATTGACAGAACCATTGCTGCATATCTTCAAACGTGTCTGGCACAGCTGACCCGAAGCCCAGCCTTGTGCAAGATCTACATAAGGGTCATACTGTTCCGCGGCTGGGATAATGGATGGGAGAGTTGTCTGTTCCGAGAATCTCAACTCTGGCTTTCGTGTCAATGGCAAGAGATTTTCGTTGACCAACCCATACGAATGCAAAGCTTTGTAGGCTTGGAATGCAGTCTCTTTTCTGGCTGCTCGCTCTGTCCGCCACCAGGATTTCCCCATTGTTCGTCGAACCGTCGGATGCACAGAATTTGGTAGTGTGACCGTACCTAAAAGCAATCCCACGCTGTTCTCTTCAAAAGAAAACATTGGTCGGTTATCGGAAAACTCATCAACTGGCAAGACCGCGCAAAAGTGATGTAAATGCTGCACTGCATCGTCCGCCGTCAACAAAGCACTGCCAACGGATGTCAGTAAATACCAAGAGAAGACATGGATACCACTTACCTAGTCTTTTCCACCCAAAGTCTCTCATTGACATCCTCCTCGGCGGCTTCGAGCTCATAAAGTTCCCGACGCTGTCGTTCTTCATCCTGATACGCTTTAATCATAACTTGCTCCAGTTCCTGCCATTTATGAAGGCTCAACAACTCATCCTCATTTGAGATCATGATGGCATATGTAGATTCTCTATGACGAGCACGCCCACGCCGCTGAACAAATGACTTGAGGTTTGCAGGCTTGTCAAAACAGATAACCAAACTGCACGCGCTTATGTCAATCCCTTCTTCCAGAACATCAGTGGAGACGATGAGGTTTTTGCGGCCAGCTCTGAACTCATCGAGAGTATTTCTTTGCATATCCCGATGAAGTAAGTCGCCAAGACAGCCCTTGCGGCTTCTATCACTCGCCCAACCAACATAAGCCGCACACTGGAAGCGATCTCTTGTTTTTGGATGGAGGGATAAAATTCGAGTCAACACACTGACAGTTGCTCTCTGCTTAGCAAAGAGTAGCCCGGAAAACCCAGGATCATCCATTTTTTCGAGGAAGTTGAGAAGCATTTCAAGTTTGATGGATACGTGATTACTCTCCTCGACTGAACCTAGTGTAGGCATTACCCGCAGCAGTTCCAGGAGGTAAATTCTCTCCATTTGGTCCAGATTTGACATCTCACTAGCATCTTGGACTGAACGCTGAAGTTGGTCAATTGAAGCACTGATGAAGAAGTCGGCAGCCCAACCTCCCAGTTCCTCATAGATGTGACGGCTGCGCGCCTGGAAGATCCTCAATTGCTCGCTACAGAATGTTTTACCTGTAGTGAGAGCCTTCGCCAGCTCCACAGTCTGTTCCTTTGACCGTAATGATTCGATCCAAGGATCATCCTCTATGTTATAGGCCCTGCAACAATCTATGAGAGATGATAGTAGAAGGCTTCCAAAGCCATACTGTGCTTCGTCAAAAGGTATGTAATTGACACGCTCTAGATGAGGGCGATGGGTATTTTCCAAAAGCTCAGTGCGGTGGACTCGTGGAGTCTTGCATACTGCATTCAAGTTAGACTCGATCGTTCTAGATGGAAGATGGTCAGTTACTGGTGAGGCTTATCACGTAGTAGAGGGACTGACTCAAGCTCATTCTGGCTCGAACGAACCACTGGGCTAGCAGTGAGGCCCAAGATCCGAGGTACGGCATTTGGCCCTGACCTCAGCAGGGTAGGATGGTAGTGATTTTGCATAATCTTGTTCGCCGGATGGCGTCTCGTGCAATGGTGAGCTGGATTACATGTTATATTAGTCTAGATTCTGGTATGCATTGGGATGTGTCACGTACCCTCATCAAAAATAAGGAGAGAAAGTCGGGACATGCGGATAAAACCATGGCTTAAAGCATCAGCAAGGACAGCATATGTTGAGACAACCACGCGGACATCCTTGAGCACTTTATCCCAGACACTCTGTTCAGTCCATCGATCGACATTGTCTAGACCGGTCAAAACCTTAGTTTTCACGGAGACGATCTGGCTAGTGATAACTTCATGTTGTTGAAGGCTCAATGCCACAGTCGGGGCAAGAAACCAGATAAGCTGTGACAGATGTGAGCCGAGAATAAAGATAAGCATTAACGAGTTCATTCACTTTGTCTGGAGAATTGTATTTCTCAAGCTCATCTATAATCCGAAGAATAGCACTAAAACAAAGGTCAGGAAAATGTGCCGATAAAGGAAGCGTCACCCCCAAACATGCATATGAGTCTTTCCACTCCCCGTGTCCATCTATCAATAGTCAGTAGATATCTTCTGAGTTCTCAAAGCTCGAGAAAACATACCGCGACAATGATATTCTCCTTGCGGCTAGCATCCAACATTTCGAGTTGGTAGCCACGAGACCGGTAGGCAGCACCATCACCACTCAGACCCGTGGAATCCATGATGAACAACAAGTCTAAAATAAGACTGTAAACAATAGCACGCTCAGTGTATTGCAGAATAAAAAAAAGGGAGATGAGAGGAAACTCAAGAGATAGGAAGCTGTTTGTTGGTGGGGGGAGCTACGGCATCCCGCAGTGGCCATCGCGCAGCTTCCGTCCAATGGCCATCGAGTCCTGTCCGATTCCCTTTTGGGCTTTGTATACTTCGTTTGTAACGTCAACAAGAGACTGAATCTACTAAGTTCTGTTCAAATTCCACACATCACGTTGCTTATTTTTCTTTTTTCTTCACTCTCCACCCACCCTCAAAACAGTCTCCATCAACTTCAACCTCTCATTTCATGTCATCTTCATCTTTATCAACTTCAAACTTCGTCTCCCATTTTCCATCACCTTCCCCCGTTATCCATCAAAACCAGTCTTCTTCTTGCATTTCAAGTCACAGAAGTCATCCAGCTGACCTGTCGTCTCCCGTTTCAAAGCTGCAATATTCGTCCGAACACCTTCAAGTCCAAACCATCTGTCAACCAAGATCCGTGCCGGTGCCATCTCTCTGCCCCCGAGCTTGCTACGATGGCGTGCCCTTCCAACAGAGATCTTCGAGACTGGCTGAAAGACTTGGTATATTGGCGTGAGAGATGCCACATCAACATTCATCAGGAGATGTTGAATAAATGCGACAACCCAACCGCCTGCCGCAAGCGCAGAATGCCAAACAGCGACAACGAAACTCAAGACTCCCTCCAATCCTCATCGCATTCTCCATCGGCCGGGACCGAAACAGCAACGAAGAGAAGCCCAGAAAGACCAGTTGAGGAATCCGATAACTCGGTTAGTTTCACAAGACTTTGGGCGGAGCTAGCAGCCGTCAAATTGCCTCCCAGATACTGGGACCTATTTCAGGCAGTTGCTACAATTGAGACCATGGATCGGAGGTGGTGTCATAACCATGTGGCTGTTAGAATGGTCCAACACAATATCTCGCCATCTGAAGCCACTGTTATCCGCGACTTTATGCAAACACTCAGCCCAAGGCTTAGCTTTTTAATTCTAGGTATTGACGGAGAAAGCGACCGCATGGTTCTTGAGAATGCTCTTGCTTTCAATTCAGCCACGGTATCATTTCAGCAGCGGGTTAATGTCCTTGAGGAGGGCCTCGTTAAGCAGGCCTACATGAAGTTTTACACCTACTTCCGAAAGCTCGCTCTCCTGGGAACTGAGCTCCAAGAGCCGTGCATCAAATTGGAACAAGAAGGAAGTGACAGTGGTCTCCCCGAGCAGGAGCCTCCACAGTACAGTGGGTTCTGAGGTAAGAATTTTAAGCCGTCACAGGCAAGTCCCCCAAACCTCGTGAGGCCATCTTCAAATGTGAGTGGATACCAGGACCGGGCTAACATCGAGAATCAGTCTTTTCCCACTCATTTGTAAGGGAAATGCGATCAATTGTTGTGTTGGTGTTTTATTTTGTAGTTCGTAGGATATTATTGAATTCAATCGCCTCTAGCGCAAAATGTGTCAACCTAGCTTTCCATGTGTAACATTTGATGTATAGCATTTGAAATAGGAAGGTGATCCACTGAAATTGCTTGGAAAACGCATTGGGGTAATCTTGGCGTGCATTTGACTTCCCTTTTCAGAACGCCTTTTGGGGCTTTTGCTTCGGATCCTGAAGGCTGAAGGTCCATTGCTAACTCACAAGGAAGGTAATCCATAGTTTGAAGATCTGGCTCATACATTCAATATTACCTTCCAGGTGAAGTTCGTCCTCGCTGTCTTCAACCATAGATCCCCTCGAATATATATAGTCGAACATAATATTGCTTTTTCTTTTGTAATCCATCACGCTCATAACCCGCACGTCGAGCAAATTCCCGTCCTAGACGACAATTCCAAACAAATATCTTATACCATCATCTAAAGTCATGTCACAAACTCTTGATCTGTCCCTATTGAAGGGGTCTCTTGAGCAAAGAGATGCAGTTTCAGCAGCTCTACTACACACACTTAAAACGCGTGGAGTAGCCAAGCTAAAGAACCATGGGCTCCCCGAAGATTTGATTACCAGGATGTTTGACTATGTAAGTTGGCTCAAAGGAAGGGGGGTCTATACCTCCACTGATCATCTTTGCTAGACCCGTCAATTCTTCTCTCTTTCACTGGAGGATAAGATGACCGCCAAACATCCACCTGCCGCAAACCCAAACCGTGGATACAGTTTTGTTGGCCAGGAATCAATTTCTTCTATTAGTGGCTATGACAAAGGCCTCCCCCAAGGGAAGTCAGTTCGGGATATCAAGGTGATCACTTCCTGCATGATAACCTTGATGAAAGCCATTCTAACGAGAACAGGAAACCCTCGACATGGGCTCCCCACACGACAGCCTTGTAGACAACATCTGGGTCGCCGACGAGAAACTTCCCGGCTTTCGCAAATTTATGGAGGATTTCTATGCCAGCTGCTTCGAGGTCGAATTGGAGATTCTTGATGCGTTGGCCAAGGCCCTTGAGATTTCGGCATCAGACCTCAAGCTATTACACAACAAGGCTGAGAATGAGTTCCGTCTGCTTCATTATCCAGCTGTACCGGCATCAGATCTAGCAGATGGAACCGCCACGCGAATTGCAGAACACACAGACTTTGGTACGATCACCATGTTGTTTCAAGATTCCACTGGTGGTTTGCAGGTCGAAGATCAACAGAATCTGGGGAATTTCCATGATGTTGAGTCCGGGGGTAAGTCTGAGATCATTTTGAACATCGGCGACTCGCTTCAGCGCCTGACCAATGACACATTCATGGCCGCATGTCACCGGGTTACCTATCCGCCCACCGTCAAAGTTGGATCTGACGAGATGATCCCCGAGCGCTATTCAGTTGCCTACTTCGCGAAGCCGAACCGTATCGCTTCCTTGTTTCCTTTGAACAAGTTCATCACACCTGCTACTCCGTGCAAATACGAGGACATCACGGCCTGGGACTACAATAATCTGCGAATCGCGAAGTTGTTCTCCTAAACATCCATTTAGTCAAGATACGGCATTTAATCCTACTTATTTGCTCATGTTACCCTTCAGGTTTGATGCCAATTCATAATTAAACCTCAGCCAGATGTGTATATGCAATGGTGCAGAATAATTTATGTCCTTTTCGAGTGAGCCTGCCTTGAATTTGTACTACAGTTCAGACTTTGACGCGACAGTGGTTATTGTTTGATTTCTACAATGCTTATTTGGAGTTCAAAGTAACATTCGAAAATGACTACCCAGAGTGATCCCAGAGAAGAGGGGCAATAATCGAACAGGGCAAGAAGTTCCGAGCCCTTGATCTTCGGTCTCTCGAATCCAAATATTGATTTTTGCGACCCAGAAGATTGTATTGGATATAAATACAAACTAGGCGGTAATAATTGTTTAGAAGGCTTGTCAGATAGGTTATATAAAAATCAATACTTTCAAGTCATTTGGTTGGGCCAGTTAGTTGATGTCTGTTGTTGATATCGGAATCACATTCCCATTTAGGATTTATCCCTAAGTAAGATGAGACTAAAAACGCATTACCAGAACTACAAATTCCCTGAGGAACAACATCCCTCAAGATGGAAGACGCCGTACAGTTAACCTTTATTCATGACAAGGAGGATATTCGATGGCTAAGTGCGGGAAACGCAGCCAGGCACCGCCACTCCATCTTCACAGGTCCGCCTTTGATTGAACTCCCATCGTCTGTATTCTAACAATGTTTGGCAGATGTTGAACGCCGAGATATGACCCTTCAGATTGTCTCCTCTGTGCCTCATCGGAATCCCGACCAGGCAATAGTTGATTTGGAGAGGTTGGAGTCGGATATCAGCTGCTCGAAACCATTCTCTCTTTTTCGGGGACCTTTTGGTGCTTTCAGATGGCCACAATCACTCCTGTCCAGTCCACTACCTCCCGATAGAGACGAGATACTGCCCTTTTCCAGTGACTGGTTTGAGCAGCTTGAGGAGGTGCCAAGAGAGGAAGATGTTTCGTTCAGTCTAGACGTCCTAGATGCTCTAAACCAAGATAACGGTGATGATTTGACGCTAGAAACGCCGAGTCTACAGCCGGCCCAGAGCATTAAGACAATCTTCCACGAACCGAGCCTACAAGTAGAGCTCAGTCCCTACTTATCCGTGGGAAATGTCGAGGGCTGGAGTCTCCTATCGCATTACAAAGACCGAATCATCCCATTGATATCCCCTTTGCGCCGTGGGGAGGAGACACCTTGGATGAGCCTGGTAGTACCATGCGCAATGGCAACTTTGGCAGACCTGATGCTGAAAGGGTCTTCCAACCATGCACGACTTGCCCTATTAAACGCCGTATGGAGCACAAGTGCCTTTCACTTGGGAAATAATTCAGTGCCTTGCCTTGAGCAATGGACATTTTCGGGAGGAGTCTACTTGACACGGGCTCAGTACCACTTCCAGCGATGCATGGAGGAAAGCTGTATCTCGGTCACAAAGATCAGCAAATATAAGGAGATCCTCATGGCAATACTGAGTCTTTCAAATGCCTTTGTATGACATCAATTTGAATACACTGTACACAGCTAACATTCTCTCTAATGCAGATGATAAAGGGAGACCCGGAAATGCGACGCGCCTATCTTATCCAAACGGAGAAATTTATTTGTATCAAGGGACTCAGCCAACCGGCGCTGTCAGCCAACAAAAGAGCACTGCATCACTGTTATGCTTATATGCGCATTATGGCTGAGACAACATGCATTGCCGATAGATTGAGCAACAATCTGACCGGGCCAAGCGGTGCTTCAAACGAAAACACAATATATGGAGGAGACTTCCGTCTCTACCCGAATCTAGTCTTTTCGACAACTACAATGACCATGGAAAAGGATCCAGGGATGGCCCAGCGTGACCTCCACCTTGCGATACCCGGTCGATGGAGCTCAACGTTGTTTCCCACACTATACGGAATCGATGAAATATTTCTCATGTTACTGTCTCAAGTAATTCGCCTTGCCAACGAGCGAGATTTATCAATGATGTCTGATGCAGCAGAAAATCGGCTCAGTCTCAAGGAATTTTGGACTCGGGCAAAGGGTCTGGAAAGGGCTATCGATCATTTGTTATCGACTGCAAATCCAAGCTGCGTTCAATCTTATGACGAGGCTCTCCCAGTGGTCACGACTGCAACAGCTCAAGCGATGTACATGGCATTGTCAATTTTCTTCCATCGCCGAATATACGAAATTGATCCTGCAATGCTCCAAGCCAATGTCAGTGCAATTCGGAGCTACCTGATCCAAATTCAACAAGAGGAAAGTGATCAGAAGGAGAGTAACAATGCTGCGCTGATATGGCCCGCTTTTATCACTGCTTGTGAGGCTGTTAGCCCTGAGTTGCAAGTTTTCTTCTCCTCGTGGTTTGATAATTGTGCTCGAACAACAGCCTTGGTTCATGCATCGGTGGCTAAGCAGATATTTGAGAAGATATGGACTAAAAGGCGCGATGTGAGCGTGTGTGAAGGAATATATAGCTGGCCAGATATTTTGCGAGATGGGGATATCAAATTTATGTGCATATGACGAGTTTACGTTCATTTTTTGTCTATATAATATGGCTGAGCAATATTAATTCAGGTCGTAGGTACTCTTTGTATAGCGGCCTCATACAAAAGGTACTTATATCCAGAAATTTGCATCGAACTAGTTGTATTAGGCCTGTGTAACCCAACTCCCGTTTGGTCATGCATTGGCCCGGTACATAGGGGCAGGCTGTTTGTACCCGTCAAAATGCTTACATGGAAGGTAGTCGCTCTTGATTGGTTGATGCCTCAAAATAACCGAAATGTTTACCATTACGACCTGCTAGAAAGCAACATACAAGAGACCTTGGGCGAACTAGAAGTTCGCAAGGCTCATGCCCAAGCCCGGGTAACTCACCAGCACACTGGCACGGCACCAAAATACGTGGCCAAGTTCGAGTTGGCAGACGGGCTCCGTTGGCCCGTTTCCGCGAGACAAGCATTCTTCTAAGGGGCTAAAGGCCGAGCCCCAGGAGCTTGATCGCTGCCTGAGCCTCCTGGCTGATTACTCATCATCCAACAAGCCCACGAAGCTGCGCGAATCCAAGTCCTGACAACAGACACCAAGGAGTTCGGAATGCCGTTTCGCCGAAGCTAAGTTGGGATACTGAGTCATGGCCCAAAATGCCTCATAATCGAGTGGATGGATAAAAGGTCCCATTCACCAGGCACTGTTTAGTTACTTGGATTTATACACCAATGTTTCCCTATCCATGTCACAGTCCACTAATTCCCCAAGGATGTTAAGTGGTTGCCTAATTCCGCTAGTAAAGTGAGAATAACAAGCAAGTACAATTCCTCGACTCTTAGGCTTTGTCACTACCATATAAACAAATTCAATGGCATTGGATCTGGGCCAAAACAGCATTTTCTTTGATTTCTACCCCGTCCTTCTTATAGAAGGGGAAGATTGTTAAAAGAACTCCGTGTGACGTTGAACGTGGAGTCCAGTCGATCGGTGGCAGGCAACTGGGCTTAGCAAAGTCTAGCAAGGGGCCTCTCCCCTATAAGAAGGATGTCTCGCGCTTAGCCCAGAACACTGTGTCATCATTTTATCCTCCTTCCACAAACCTGTCTATACCTATTTCTCTCTCTCAATGACTACAGGAATACTCCGTTGGCCGACCCTGGTCCTCGCAATTCTTTTTCTGACAATAATTGGTCAATCTCAAGCCACGCTGTGCGCTGCTATGTGTCAAAAGAGCCCACAGAGCTGTCCATATGGTGAAGTGAGATCTCTTATTCTCGCCCAACTTACTCTAGTTTCGATGATGTACTGACCGTGTCTTTTTACCCTTCCCCAGAGAGCCTCAGGCTTCGAGGTTCGTCTTCCAACTAACCAATCATTTGCAACCTGCACAATTTTGACTGGGTTTATATACAGGGTTGCTGGGGCTGCTGTCAGCCCGTCTAGTGCCACTGCACGATCTTAGGAATGAGCTGCCAGTGATCGACAAAAGCTATAACAGGAACCTGCAGTTTAACGAGCAGGACGAGTCTCTGGCATAACTCTTTTATCCATTGTTGGCTTCGAAATGTGTATGACTTGATGGGATATTTTCACGATCGCAAAGACTGGCTAGTGATTCTTTCACGAACCCTCTAACACGTTGCTGGTTTATTTCTCTTGTCTTCTTTTGCACGGTCCCTAGCTGGAGCTATGTCGTATGATTTCGTAACGGCCCTAATCAGTCGACCCATGCCCTTCGGGCATTAGGCTTCCACCGAGTAATTGAATTGGTTAACTATTAGTTACATAAGTACCTACTGGAGTATCCAATCAAGCTGGCAATGTAATTAGAATTGAGAATACTATTTCTATGTATACGGCCAGGATTGATGGATGGATACACTGTCACTGTGTCGGAGTTAATAGCATGAAGCGTAGCCTTGCAAAATTACATAGTTCCCTTATCTATTATTATTCACTCTTGATATTGACATTAGGGTTTGACTCGTGGTTCAACAACGTTTCATTTTCCGAACAGAATTAATTATTAGTTTGAATGACATCATTAGAAATGAGTGAGAGTGTCCCCCAACTGAGGATGTATACATATATATCAATTCTCAGCCTCGGTGCTCAACAAACCATGAATTAAATGGCTCATTGTCTCCTTTGAAGCACTCATAACGACGGCCTTCTTGCAACATCTTGCCTTCGCCGAAACCTAGCCTCCCAATTTGAACAGCCCCGTCGGCTGATGTTGTTGAGACATCCCGAACAACGCCAGACATCTCGTCTAGCTCTGGGCATTTCTCAGTATGGCGTCCAACTAGCATAGGGAAGACCTTATCGCCAGCAAAGGCGCCAAATCGTAGCATCACAAAGGAATCCAATCTTTCAGTCCATCGTGGGTAATAGCCAGCGTATAGTGACAAAGCTAACAGTGGTAGCAAGTAAAGTCCCATCAAGATGGAGACGACGATGATTCCCGCGGGAGAGATTGATGGAAGATCCATATCAGTGCCCAAATCTTGGTTGATATACCATATACCGCTCTGACTGGAAATGAATTCCTGATTGGCTAGATAAGCCGCAGCTGTGAAGGCACTCGAAATCGAATCCGTGCCTTCTTGAAACAGATGGATCCATTTCGCAATCTGTGACTCAGCAGAGTACCAGGTGCCATTTCCAGCGATCCTAGGAGTAATACACCCCGAATAGGAAGACCCGAAAGAGGAAGAGTTGAACAGATTGGCGAGTGGGGCGTTCGCGATACAGGTAAATCTCAAGTTTGACGACACCTCGTCCGTGATCTTGTCGTCTGCTTCAAGAGCTGCGGAAACTGCTACAAATGTGTCGACAAAAGACCCAGGGCCGAAGGTTGCCAGGGTGGCCGCTAACAACGGTCCTTTCTTCTCTGTTGAGATGGAACTCAGCGATGCATCTTTGAGAGCGCTGCTTGCTGTGTTTTCATCGCGGCGGCGCAAACTAGACCCTCCTGGGAATGTGTGAAGTGTATCTTGTTTAATACAATCCTGGCCACATAGATCCAGGGGATCTTGATCCAGTAAGGGGCCAGGGACACCCTTGTTCATATAGTTGGGCAATTCAAAGAAGCCGGCCGTAGTGTCCACGGTGATTCGATAAAGAACTTTGTTGCCCGCATCTTGACTAGAATAACCCCCCGAGGTGTACTCTTCTTGTGTCATATTGAGATAGAGGACCTCAGAAAAGTCCTGCCGGGTACGTCCCGCCCGCCAAGGTGAGCTTGTCATATCTCCTGGCATGCACGCAATGACACTCCAAGAATAAGTAGAGTACCACGAGTACGAAGATGAATACCCAGCATAAAATTTAACTGGGAGTGAATAGCCGGTATCGCAGGCGACCGGGATCTCAGACTCTTGTATGATCTGATATGTAGCCGTAGAGTTCACACGTGGGGCAAATTGACGAAGCAGTCCTGTATTGAAACCACTCGGAACCTGGGAATAGAACGTCTTAGGGGACATATCGTTGAGAGTCAAAAATTGTACTCCACTGTTGTTACTCCACAAGTTAGGTTGGTAGGCATCACCATTCGCTTTGTTGAGGGCATCGCGGACATTCAACACGTCCTTGCCGTCTGGTTCCGACTGTAAATACAGATCATCATTCGATATGAAGTCATAGACAGCGGCTCTCTGCTGGGGATAAGTCCGGACTTTGACAGGGGATGAATCGAGAAAGAGCGCCTGAATGGGATATGTGATGAGGCCAAACACCCAGATGAAGATTGCGGCGGCCAGTAGTATACTACCGTATTGCCTCCACCTCCCACAAATGAGTGCTCGATATAGCGAAAAGTCCATCCACCTGCGGTCAGCCAGCGTTGTGACTTGGCGTAGCCGAAGGCTCATGGAATCTTTTCGATTCTGCGCAAAGATTACAGCGGCACTAGCACACACTGTGGAAATCCAGGGAAGAGTAACGACTTGGATGAATGTCTGGATAATCCGCGCAGATCGATAGATCTGTCTGTCTTGGCGGAAATCTGCTTGGTTCCTATCGCCGTAACTCAAGTATGATTCTTTGATCGAGTATCCCCAGGACTTGGCTTTGACGGGGCCGGATGACAGTAGAACTGTCATGGTCCAGGCATAGATGGCGAGCGCCACATAGAAAATTGTGAAAAAAAATACCCAGGCCGATCGATGAAGCAATGTACTGTGCCCTCCTGATATTTGTCCCGTTGACCGAGCCTGGCTATATGATGGAAGTTCATCGTCATGCAGCGGAGAAGACTCGGAAGAGGAATCGTGTCCAGTGTGTTCAGGTGTCTCGTGCTGAGTGTAGCTCGGGAGTCGCCGCAAAGGGACCGAGCCGGATGTCTCCATCTTGGGGGATTTCACCGCGTGGAGATCTATCGGAAGGAAATAAAACTAAAACTAAATGAAAATACTAGCAAATGCTCTCCTTTTTATTCAGTAAACACTCTGCAACTAGAGGCTGGGCATAAGCTACTAACCGAGCGCCCTGCGAGCCCTGAGAGCCCTGAGCGCCCTATGGTTCCATTATTAGGTTCTAATTTAACAGTAAATGTGGCGCATGTTTAAAAATTTCTGTGCTATTGGTCAGATCAGGTTTGCCCAGCTAAAAGCACCACCTTTCCACGGGGTCTGAACAGGGAGCGCTCAAGCCGTGCGGCTCACTTCGCCCCTTTTACCCTGAAGTTTCATCTTTAAGAGCCCTATGGGATATGAAAGATTTTCTGTTCCATTCTGTCTTTGACCACATTTAACATGCCTAAATATGATTTTATTATCAGATTAATAAGGCTATAGATCTCTATTGAACCAGACTAAGCCTAGTATCGCGAAAACTATGCGTGAATTCGCGGCCCCCGACTTCGATGAAATGGAGGAAAATCGCTTTAACGCTGACCCGGTCAAAAACTTAGTCTTGAAGAGAAGGCTTTATATGAATATATCAATTGCTTTAACGTGGAGCTTCGATAGATCGCTGTCCCCGAATGTCTATTTACGACACATGATAGATGGATCAAGAGGTTTGTTTAGTTCTGGCCCTGGTAGTTCATTCCATTCCATTGAATTTTATATTTTTAATTCGACATTGTCCTTCGGGTCCGCATGTTTCATCTTATGTCCGTCTAAGAATAGGGTTACATCCATCAAATATCTGGATCATTGTACCTCGGCTGACTCCTATGAAGTTGTGTCGGCCATTTCACTCTGACACCCAATTCATAGGCAATATCCAACACCAGACTCGGATTACGCGCAAATTCGCGGGCGATGATGACGACATCTGCTTTCCCAGAGGCCACGACATCCTCAGCTGTCTTGCCATCCCGGATCATACCCACGCTTGCAGTAAGGAGCCCCTGAACTCTGTCCTTGATTTCTTGAGACAGATGTGCCTGATAGCCTGGACGAAGTGGAGGTAACTGTTGATCCGGCACTAGCCCGCCCGAGCTCACGTCTATCAGATCGACCCCAAGGGGCTGTAGCAATTGGCATAGTCGCACGGATTGTTCAGAGGTCCAGGACTCTCGATCGGGGATCCAGTCTGTGGCACTGATACGATAAAAGAGCAAAGTTGTGTATGGAATAGCGGCACGAATGCCCTGTACAACCTCCAATGCGAATCGCACACGATTTTCGAAGCTGCCACCGTACTCATCGGCGCGCTTGTTGGTGAGAGGCGAACAGAACTGATGAATGAGATAGCCATGGGCACCATGTATCTCGATCACATCAAAGCCAGCTTCTACGGCAAGCTTTGCAGCATTAACAAAATCGCCAATCGACTTCCGAATCATTTCCTTGGTCATGGCGGTAGGTATCGGCCAAATTCCATCATCTTTATAGGGGAGATTGGACGGAGAAATCAGGTCGTCTGGAAATCCATTTTCTTCTTTCTTTGCTGGCCGGTGGCCAAGCCACGGAGCAGTCACACTAGCCTTTCGGCCGCAGTGCTGCAATTGAACACCAGCCTTTTGTCCCTGGGAGTGAATGAAGTTGACTACGCGCCGGAATGACGGTACCTGGCTGGCTGTCCACAGCCCTGCATCTTCCATTGTGTTTCGACCTTCAGCTGAGACGGCCGTGGCCTCGCAAATTGTGAGTGATGCTCCTCGGGATGCGTAGGAACCTAGTTGGACCAAATGCCAGTCAGTCAACTCCCCCGTCTTGGGGCAGGAGTACTGGCACATAGGAGAGACCCAGATCCGGTTCTGAAATGTGGTCGAGCGGATGGTGATCGATTCGAAGATTCGGGGAACCGGTAGACTCTTATCATACATGGATAATAGAGACCCTGCCGGAGGCGACTGGACGGGTGTAAAGAAGCCATGGTCTCCCGACATGGGCTCATTGATAGCTAGCTCTTTACTTCCATTTGAGCCCGCCATTTTGGAATCAAATACAAACACAATTTAAATATAGGAGTGAACAGCCATTATCCATTTGATCTTCAGATTCTCTAGTTGAAGACCATTGGTTATAAAGATATTGATTTCTAATCGGTCAAGGGGAATTCCAATGTTATTCGTCGCAAAGCAAAGACCTCGATCTAGCTTCTTCGGTCCAGATCGGAGTGACTCCGGAGTGACTAAAATAGGAATAGGCGGAATGTTCGGCTACCAGGTAGTTTATTTAGCTAATTCGTTCATTTTCAACTTGACATCTCACTAATGGTAGTCTATAGGGTCTTCCTTGTAGCTTAATGCCTTTTAGCTGGCCTCTGGCCTCCTTGGAGAGTTTAGAGAAATTTCATGACTGTGTGAGAGATATATATTTCTGGTTAATGTAATTTTTCAATATCATGACAAGACGGGTTTTTGATTTTCTTGAAATTAATACAGAATTCTCAACGACTTAACGAGAAGCTATATAGAAGAAATAAGCGGGATAAGGATATAGAAGTATAGTTATGTCTGCGGTTCTCGCCAACCCCATGCGGGTGTTCGGTTACCACGGCTCGACGTAAACTCTTAAAACGTGAATGTGCCTTTTGTTATGGGTTCACATATAAAAGGCATATGGGGTTTATGATTCATTTTTTAACTTTAATGCCCAACAGAAATGATAAACATTGTCCATATATGGAAGCAGGCTCCATTTTATATCTGTTTGGAGTCGCACCACTTATCATCGGCATGTCTTCAGTGATATTAGTCTATAAGTTCAGGAATATAGGTAGATATAAGTGAATGAAAGATCTGTCCGAACAAACTCCTAGAAATTATGGTCGGCTGGGCTCTTAGGGAGCGAGTAGGAGCAAAAATAGAACCCCACAAAAGGGAGAGAAACAAGAGACAAAATCCTGGGGTGAAGAATGTGTATATATTTTGTACCCTTTGTATGGGTACGTCATACAAAAGATACCTAATCTATTCCCAACGATTTTGGAAGTTCGAGCTAATTATTATTAGTCAGAACCGAGGGCCAGACCGTATGTACAAATAACATTTCCTATATTAATGTTCCCCCAACATCTAGAAATGGCCATTTGGTCAGCATATTGAAGCGTGTAACACACGGATCCAGCGCGTCTCGGCGTATTCCGCCAATGAATTCTTAGTCAACTCATGAGGTCACCCCGTTATATTCTTCCCCGCACGCCCCAGATCCCCAATTGTATAGCCAATGATAAGGTGAAGAAATACAAATTGGCGTCATCTTTTATATAGATTTCCCTTTAAACTAGCAGGGCATGAAAGTCCGCCCCCAAAACAAAGCTGTTTAATACGCGACCCGTCATTCGGTCCCAAGGTGTAGCATTTAAATTGCGGGGGTGTCTCTTTCCCAACATCCGTCTCTTAAGAACTCTCTTCCTCCCCATTTTATTTATCATAACAAAACTTACATTATGGGTGAATGTCCTGTTGCACACAAGAAGAGCAATGTTGCTGGTGGTGGCACTCGGTATGGGTCCCTAGTTCTATCTCCCTCGGCACATTTTAGACCCCCACATCCCGCGATGGTTCAAAATACTGATCCTATGCTCCAGCAACACTGACTGGTGGCCAAATGCCTTGAAGTTGGGTATTCTCCGCCAACATACCGATGCCACCAACCCTCAAAGCAAGGACTTTGATTATGCCGCTGCTTTTAAGACCCTCGATTACTGGGGCCTCAAAAAGGACCTCCACGCCCTTATGACCGACTCCCAAGACTTCTGGCCTGCTGACTTTGGTCACTATGGTGGCCTTTTCATTCGAATGGCCTGGCATAGCTCAGGAACCTACAGAGTCTTTGATGGACGTGGTGGTGGTGGCCAGGGCCAGCAGCGTTTCGCACCATTGAACTCTTGGCCCGATAACGTCTCCCTCGGTAAGTTCTCATTAATGATTGAGGTGACATTTATATCATGCTGACATGTATCTTCTACTTCTAGATAAGGCACGCCGACTACTTTGGCTCATCAAGCAGAAGGTGAGTACTATACAAAGACTTAAATCTTTCTAGCTTTCTCTATACTAATCCGGTACTTAGTACGGCACCAAAATCTCATGGGCAGATCTTCTGCTTCTAACTGGCAACGTTGCCCTGGAATCTATGGGCTTCAAGACATTCGGATTTGCTGGAGGTCGTCCCGACGTCTGGGAAGCCGATGAGTCGGTGTACTGGGGAAGCGAGAACGTCTGGTTTACTAACGATGCTCGTTATGAGCCCGAGACCGAAGAGGAGAAGGCTAAGCAGAGCGATATCAAGACTCGTGATCTCGAGGACCCGCTGGCCGCGGTAGTCATGGGTTTGATCTATGTCAACCCTGAGGGCCCTAATAGCAACCCCGATCCTGTCGCTGCTGCCCGAGATATCCGTATCACATTCGCTCGTATGGCTATGAATGACGAAGAGACCGTCGCCTTGATCGCTGGTGGTCATACTTTCGGAAAAACACACGGTGCTGCCCCTGCTGATAATGTCGGCGAGGAGCCTGAAGCCGCTGGCATTGAGTCACAGGGTCTGGGCTGGAACAATAAATACGGCTCCGGAGTCGGCCCTAATGCTATCACCAGTGGACTGGAGGTGACCTGGACCAGCACTCCTACCAAGTGGAGTAACACCTTCTTGGAATATCTCTTCAAGTTCGACTGGGAACTGACCAAGAGTCCCGCTGGTGCTAACCAATGGGTCGCCAAGAATGCGGATGATATCGTTCCCGATGCCTTCGACTCAAGCAAGAAGCACAAGCCTCAGATGCTGACCACCGATCTTTCTCTGCGTTTCGATCCTGCTTACGAGAAGATCGCCCGTCGTTACCTTGAGCACCCTGACGAGTTTGCTGATGCATTCGGCCGCGCGTGGTTCAAGCTGCTGCACCGTGACATGGGCCCTCGCGCTCGTTGGCTGGGCCCTGAGATCCCCAAGGAGGTCTCCATCTGGGAGGATCCCATTCCTGCTCCCACATATGCTCTGATTGACAACGGCGACATCATTGCCCTGAAGAACGAGATTCTCGCAACCGGTATTGAGCCCTCCAAGTTGATTGCCACTGCCTGGGCATCGGCTTCTACCTTCCGCGGTGGCGACAAGCGTGGAGGCGCCAACGGTGCCCACATTCGTCTCGCTCCCCAGAAGGACTGGGATGTCAACAACCCAGCCCAGTTGCAAGAAGTCCTCAGTCTGTTGGAGAACATCCAAAGCCGCTTTAACAGTGCCCAGAATGGTGAGAAGCGCGTCTCGGTGGCTGATCTGATCGTGCTTGCTGGATCCGCTGCCCTCGAAAGATCCGCGGGTATCCCCGTTCCCTTCACTCCTGGCCGCAATGATGCCACCCAGGAGCAAACCGATGTCGATTCATTTGGCTGGCTCCGACCCTTTGCCGACGGCTTCCGTAACTACGGACACTCGACCCGCCGCGTGCGCACTGAGCAGCTCCTTATCGACAAGGCGCAGCAGTTGACCCTCTCTGCCCCTGAAGTGACCGTTCTGGTTGGTGGTCTGCGTTCTCTGAACGCTAACTGGGATGGATCGAACCACGGTGTCTTCACATCCCGCCCTGGCCAGCTGAGCAACGACTTCTTCGTCAACTTGCTCGATATGAACACTGTCTGGAAGCCAATTGGCGAGGACAGTGAGCAGTTTGAAGGTTTCGACCGCAAGACTGGCGCCAAGAAGTGGTCTGCTACCCGTGTTGACCTGATCTTCGGTCACCACGCTGAGCTCCGTGCTATCTCTGAGCTGTACGGCAGCGCCGATGCTCAGGATAAGTTTAAGAAGGACTTTGTTGCTGCTTGGGACAAGGTTATGAATTTGGACCGTTATGATATCCCTTGTTTCCCTGCGATCGGCCGTCCTCGTCTGTGAATAATTTGTCGATCACGATCTCGTTCTCTGCAGTGTTATTTAGCTGAATCATCAATGTACTTTGTCCTTCATTATGACTCCATCATTCAGATACTCAATGTATTGGCGAAAATTCACCCATTCCCGAAAGTTGCTCTGCTATGCTGCCGCATAGAGCCCTAGTTCTTTGACTTCCAGCCACCGGCCTAGAGATTGAGACGACAAGCGGATGCTTCTTCATCCAAGAGTGAGTCCGAAAAGATTTCCAAGTTTGACCAGTTTGACCGGTCCAGCGCACGGCCCAACTACCATTGGGAACTAGGCCGTGCGTTGGGCCGGGTACAGTAAGATCCATATCCATGGATATCAAATTCAAAAGTGGTGACCTGCATTGAAAAACCGGGATATTCCTTCAAGTGCCGTAATTCCGCTATGTCCGAAATGTGTAGATGCAAGTAGGATAGCTTATTAGGTTAGAGAAGGCTCAAAAGTAAGAGGTCTCGACGAGAGAAAGAAAGACCATGTAACATTCGATAAAGGTGGAAGGAGAGAGAAGGAAATAAAAAAGAGAAGAGAAAACTGCATCTCTATTTCAGATAGGTGCTGTCTCGATGCTGATATATGCCCCAAGCGTTCCAAAATCACTCCCTGATAATCCGGCCCTTTATCGACGAGGTTCAACAGGTCCACATTGGGTGGATCAAATAGGCGGTCCCTCAGTCGCAGTGGGCAATTTCTCTTCTTCATCTCATTGTAGGACTGGCTTGTTTTCTTCGCATACCGCAACTCATATCGCGGTTTTCCGACGATGGGGGTGGTGACTGGAAAATCCCTGACTACCCGAAACTGGATGTTGATCGGGAAGAAACTCGATGAGAATCAGGATATGAGAGTAGATATCACACATATTAAGATCAGATGTGTGCAATAAGGGGTATATGGGTATATGGCTTGGCAGAACCAATCTATTAATATGGTAGGGAACACGGAGTACTCCGTATATCCCACCTATGTAGCGTTTGGCTCTTGAACTTTTAGATAGGCTCGATCTGAGTGTCATTCCCTCTCACCGTTTTGGACATGTTGGATATTGGAGCAGTGAATGTAGACTTTGCTTTTGTAGTACCTGTACAACATATAGTAGACATGACTTCATTGTGCATAGTACCTTGCTCCTGCCCCTGATGTTAGATATTCCCAGCCTAGCGGGTGCCAAGCCTTCAATATTATCAACATCAATTCATTCCCATTCTCTTTCTCTCTCCTCCGGACTCCGAAAACTCCATGTGTCTTCAGATCATTACCAATATCTGAATTCATGTTAACAAGGCCTGGGCTCCTATCACGGAGCGCCACCAGCGAGAAAATGTGATCAGTGCACAAATTCTGGCTGGGTTTCTTTGTTTGAGATTCCGAGAATCCCTGTCTGGCGCGCCGATAGTCGACCATCCTTCAACGTGTCCAATAAACTCTCAACCCAATATCATAAGGGGGTCGGATATTTGGAGCTTTCTAGGATCTTCATGTTGCCAGAGATCATTTCTACCAATGGCAGGTTTTGAATTCATCTGCGATTAATAATTGTCCAATGAACCGGAATATCTGTCCCAGATCCCCGTGTGCTAACATCATAGACCGCATTTGCCGCATTTTTCTCTCATTTATGCGACGGAGGATGACCCTCTAGTGGTATGGTCCGCCGTAAACAACAGTCAACTTTATCCGGTATCCGGTCCCACCCCGTGCCCTAATATGAGGGGCTGAAGGGTCTACATTTTGATATTATCTGTCAGCCAGGTGGGACTTGTGTCCGAACTGTGATCAATATACCCTTTCTCTTTCCCACCGGTTGATTTATCCGCATGTCTCAACCCGTTCACACCCCATGGATAACCCAATCATCTCCCTCCCTCCGGATGTGAGCGCGGTTCTAAATATCAACTTCACGATCGTCCAGGTCGTGTCTATGTTCGCAATCGGAGCGTGGAATTCATTGGAAGTTGTGATTGGCATATTCGAGAGGTTCAAAAGGTATCGTGGGCTATACTTCTGGAGTATGCAAATTGCGGCCTGGGGAATATTGTTACATGCCCTACCAGCTCAAACTGTCTATACGGGAGTGGTATCTCCCATTATCATGTCAGCCCCGTTCCTCGTCGGCTGGATCTGCATGGTGACCGGGCAAGCGGTAGTGCTATATTCAAGACTACACCTCGTTGTGGCCGACATCCGCCATGTACAATGGGTACTATGGATGATCATAGCCAATTTTTTCGTCCTCCACGTTCCCATGTCAATCCTCTATTGTCTCAACCTTCGTCACAATTTACCATTTGACCACTCAGCGACAATCTACGACCGCATACAGGTAGTAGTATTCGCCATCCAGGACACAGTAATATGTGCCATCTACGCCCGCGAAGCACTCCGAGCACTTAAGCCCGTCTTCGAAGCCAAAGGCCGCCAAGGGCGAGGGATCATCTACCGAATCGTCTTCGCCAATATCTTCGGCATCGTGCTCAACGCTTTAATCCTTGCCGCCGAATTCAAACTGCACTACATCGCCATCAGCTTCAAAACAGTTGTCTATAGCATCAAACTGAAACTTGAATTCCACGCTCTCATGCAGCTCCGGGAGCTGACACGCACCTATCCATGCGCTCTATGCCAAGGAGTTCATGGTAGTCCTCGTGGCTCATCCGAAATCAATATCTTCGACATGTTCGTGCGTAATCCTCGGTCACAGGATACTGAGATGCAAACCGTCTCCGGTATTGCGGGGACCCCGAGCACAGCGGACACAGCGCATGGCGGCACATACCATTTCCACGAGGCAATGCGCCAGAGGATATCGACTGTGAATTCTGATGAGTCGCAGGCAAGTGCTCGGCCTCGGATCCACTCGTCTGATACGCATTCTACGGTTGAAATGACACTGATCGAGCGGCCGAAGTAGGAGCAAGTTTTGTTATCTTTGAGGGACATCACTTTGCATACACGATTTCATATAATACAAGATGCACTTCGACTCAGGATAGTCGAATCATCAGTCATCATTGGGCGGCCACCTTTTTCAATTTATACCCATGTCGTTATAGACATGTCTGTTGTTTTTGCTGCTGTTTTTGTTGCTATTGCTATCTGTTTTAATATGTACTTCTCCTGTCCTTTGAAAAGCTTACACTTTCATATAATATACTGATCAAATTTATATGTAACGTCCATCTCTTCGAACAATCTTGGAACGCATAGGGTATAACACAGCATCACGTGGTTATAGCGCCATGAAAGAATAGCATAAATGTGAATATGAAATGTCAAACAGGGTATCTGTACGAAGCATATTTCCCTGAAAGAAGTTGCGGGCTGAAAGAAGACCCAGGCGCAACACGTGTGTCGGGCTTGCTTATGCAGATGGAAAATATCACATACTAATGTAACAAAGAGACTCGTCATATCCGAAGCCATGACAGCCTGGTGTATGAATAATAACGGGGATTGTTCGAAAGAGGGGGCAATGAGGGCAATGAGGCCAATGCTCGCCGAGGTTCAAACGTGAACACGGGAAATGGACAATGAAATGGAAAATAAACGAAGTCTGAGATAGAGTGACAGGAGTGGATGGCTGAGTTTCCCAAACGAACACGGGTGACTGGTTGTCTTTGTTTTTGAGCTATCGAATTGCTTAGTGACAGGACCAACAGCCGTTCTCCCATTCGCCAGGCTTGTAGATCGAACTTCCCCGGATAGTGACCGTGCACGAGACAACGGTCGGATGATAGCGCTGGTAATAGTGGAAACTCTTCGCTGTTTTCTATACAGCCTTGACTAGTGCTTCCCCTGAACATCGAGGGTTCTTGTATAGCGCTAACGAGTTGATCAGCGAGGTTGAAAACTTTCTCATATATTTACCAAAACTTGCGAGTTGGATAACATTATATTGACATGGCCTTATTCGATATGGCCACACTTTATCAGCTAGAGAAGATACCGGAAGCTATCAATCTCGCGATCTGTCTTGTTCGATAGTTCATCCTGCAACTCAGCCCCCACGGTCATCTGTTCAGGTGAACCATACAACCTATCTCGTCGACGGTTCTCCCACGTGTAGTATGAAAATAAGCACAGAAGGAAGAAAAGACTCAAAATCAAGCCTGACATAGAAGCTTTGATGCCAGTCTATAGCATACAGTCGAAGCGTTAGTTGCGTATTTTGCAATAAAAATTCCAGCAGAAATAAAATCACCACTTACCGGGTATGATGGCTCCTCCGAGGCAAGGAAAAATTGAGGGCCCACGATATTTCCCACGCAATATGCGATAAAAAGTAATGAACTAACCACGCTCTTCTTCGAAAATCCGGCCACATTAGATGTAATGATACTCAACGACATGGGAAAATTTATCGCGTATACGACGGCTAATGTCAACCCAACCATCCGCCCAACTTGATCATCGGGGTCAAGCTTCCAGATGAGGATCAAGCCTATGATGGAAATAATTGTCATGAGACACATTCCTAATATACGGGAAGATGGAATAAATGTCACGGTGATCGAGGTGATCAGCAAAAACACGATCTGGGCGGCGCCCTGAGGCATTTGCATAATAAGGGCCTTGAGATCTGTGAACCCGAACCCGGCGGTGATAATCGAAGTAAACTAGAACAACATAAGCTTTGACATCTAGTGACAATGGGGCCAGTACTCACGCTTGTAAGACCACCGTTGGCCAGACTCGAGCAGAAGGAGTTCACAACCAGAAGCCACGTCTGGGGGTCTTTTAGGGCTTCAAGCGCCTGTGACCACTTGAACACGCCAGTATCCATGACTCCAGTTTTATTCGTTAATGTTCGCTGCACAGCAATAGCACGCTCGTCATGTTTCAAAAATATGGCCTTGGCAGGCGAGTCCGGCAGCATAGCAAACAAGACAAGACCATAACCTGAAGTGATGGCGCCGAGAATAAGGAACAAAAGTTTCCAGTGGGCAATTGCTGACGTATTAATTGTCCCAATACCGTAGGCAATCAATCCACCAATAAGTACAGCAACGAAGTTTCCGAAGAACCAGGCAGATTGTCTAGAGCTTGTTAGTAAGTCCTAGGTCCACCTCGATTTGGAAGTCTCACCGTACGGGCTGTTCCTCGCGTTTATAAAACATTCCCGTGAGCAATGTGAAGCCTGGGGCAATTGCCGCCTCACCTACCCCCAAGAAGAAACGGACGGCCATAAGTCCACTCCAATTCGAGCAAGCAGCATGGCACATTAGGACTCCGCCCCAGAGGAAGCTTATATAGTCAGTCTCATTGTCGGGGCCATGGATCGTTCAATTGGGAAACACATACACCGAGATTGCGATATATTTCCCAATGGGGAGTCGGACGACGATATATGAACTAGGCCTGTTGTCGGGTCAGTATTTGAGATGGGAGGTAGAGGAAGTTTGAATATATACCAACTCCAAGCAAAATACCCAAAATAGAAGATCGCAGATGCCCATGAATATTCTGATCCGTGCATGTTCTATAGCATTCTGTAAGCATATATTCTGTGACCCACGGCTATATAGGGATGAATACCAAATCCTCGCGTAAACCAAACAGGGTCGCCTGACTCAGAGCGAGCTTGTCGAGGAATTGGAGGAAATATGCGACTCCCATCAACGGCACCAGACTTCCTTGGATCAGCTACCTATACATAAAAGTATTACTCTGCCAGAATACTCACATAAGATCGAGCTTCCACAGCACTTTCCGTTCCTCTTCGGGTGTTGATTGAATAGCGAGCACTTGGCCAAGATCGAGGTCCCGACCAAGTGACTCACCTCCCTTCAAATCCTTCTCATCTAGGTTGTTGTCGTAAGATTGCATCGCGAAAATGACACAAATGCAAGTATTTCACTAAAGGAGACACATAGTGCCTTCTTATTCAAAAGCCCACGAATCCGGTATCGCTCTCGACTTCTTCGCCACAAAGCTCGCTTGAACTTGCTAGTCCTAAAGCCCGGTACTCTTCCGTAGTGGGCCCTATATCCTATCAAGGGGAAGAAAGTCATTTCTCTGCCAATTAAAACATATGGTTTAATTTTAGGTTATTATCAAAATTTCCCCGCGATGTTGATCCCGGAGAACAGGCGAGTCTGCCAATCGGGTAAATCAATCTCGGCACCCCACAGTACGGTGTCAGTCAATTAAAACCCCCTGGTTGCAATCAGCACGGAGCCGATCTGGGGGAAAATCCACTTCCCCCTCAGCGGATGTTAAGTACGGCAATTGACTGCGCCGTCGAGGATCCGCGTCTGATATAGGGGAGGGGTCCAAGCGATGTGGTCATCCATGAACACGAGGGTTCGAGATACGCTACGAATGCCGCTCTATTCCGCGATAATTACATGTATCAATGGTCTTTGTATTGACAGGGGAGATGTGTCGTCATACACTGCACTTCAATTTCGGAAGCTCTCACATGAAACACGAAATCACGCTAAATCCAGCCTATTATTCACAGTTCCAGGCCTTTCTCAAAGTCCGACTTGATGGCAGTGGCGAAACTTTTGTCGACTAACACTCTGCACGCCACCACGGCCATTCCCGCTGCACAGTGCAAACTGCGCTTGAACCCATCCTCGGATCCAGCCCCGGCAGTAAATTCTGGCGTGTGGTTAACACCATCTGCGTAAATATAGAATCCACCATGGAAGCCAGGTACTTCATATGAGACGTTGCCTAAATTGGAGTGAATAGTCAGCCTCTGACCATACCCATGGACTGTAATCAACCTCAACACTCACCCATATCAGTTGATCCTCCGCTAAGACCTCCTACCTGCCCTGCGGCATCGAAGATAGTACTGTGGCCCATGGCGTTCATAGCAGAGACGTAGCTGTCACAGATGGGCTTATTGATCTTCATATCCTTATACGCGGCCTCCCTGGCAAATGGTCAGCGAAGCGTATCACAATGGAAAGTCGCCGATTGTCATACCATTCATATTCAACCGTGCATCCAGTAGTAGTCCCAGCAGCCTCAAAGCATTTGATCACTTTCTCAGTCAATGGTTTGAGTGTTTTTACAGTCTCCGATCGAATATAGTATTCAACCGTCGTAGAGGCAGGAATAACATTGGGTCTATCTCCACCTCGCGATATAACCCCATGAATCTTTTGCGTAGGCAAGATCTGCTGTCGCAGCATTGAAATGTTCACATAGGCAGACACCACAGCATCTAGAGCATTGATGCCCTCCCATGGAGCAGCCGAAGCATGCGCCGGCTTGCCGGTGAAAGTCACCTCAACCTTGTCGTTTGCGAGATACTGCCCGGTGCAGGAACTCGAACTAATGAGGTCGGGGGCGCCGGAAAGCACCGGGAATGGATGGACCATGAAGCATGCATCCACGTCTTTGTATGCTCCCGCGTCGATGAGCAGGAGCTTTCCACCGCCACCCTCCTCGGCAGGAGTCCCTAGCAGCCGAACCGAATAGCCAATTTCATCCGAGTATAGAGTATTCATTGTTTCACAGGTAGCTAGGAAGGCGGCGATCGAACTCGTAGCGATCAAATTGTGTCCACACGCATGTCCCATTCCTGGAAGCGCATCGTATTCTGCATTGAAAGCCATGGTACGTCCGCCCTCGCCACGGTTGTAGATCACCTCGAGCGCCGTCTCAATGCCATAAGCCTTTCTATGAACCTGGTATCCATCCCCGAATGACTCGAAAAGTTCGCAGATATTGTCATGGGCGCTGTACTCCTTGAATGCAAGCTCGGGGTTGGACCAAATCTATCGAATGTTATTAAAGTCATAGTGTACTTGCCAAATGTAATACACACCTTCTGATTGATTTCACTAAGCTTGGATTCATAGTTATCCAAAGCCCCACAGACTTTGTGGATGATCTCTGCTTGTCCTTTTACTGGCAACATCTTCTTGAATGACAAAAAGATCCGAATTGGTCGCGAATTCTGCACTGGGTAGTGCAACCCTTTTACAGCCAAGAAACGACCTCGGGAATCCCATGCCGAACATCACCTCCGAAGATAAAAACATCAAAGACACATCCCAAGTGGGGGCGGGGGAAGCTTAGAGGATTCCGCAGTGGAGAAGCAAGACCATCAGTCTCATTCTATTATGCAATCTACACTCCAGCGCCCACTAACTTCCGTAAGTTGACCCCGTAAATAAACTTGCCGAATGAGCCTGGATAGGTCTCTGATCCAAAAAGACCCGCATTTCAACAATCTGCAGATCCGACTCGTCGCGGCCTTCCAAATCAAGGACATTGAACTCGCGGACTCGGACCGCGAACTGGTCAGGATCAGCGACAAAAGTTGTTTCGGATGTCGCTTCAAACATGACCGTGCGCTTCATTTGTATGTTCCCTGCTAGCGGGGCATAGAGCTGTCCTTTTTGGGCGATCTCTTCGTCTGGGGCGGTCCTCTTGTACGACGTTTCGACGGGCCCTATGTCCCTCCCAAGATCTATATCCCAGGCGAGATGGACCTGGTGATGGAATTTGCAGATATGACGGCTGCGCACTTCCATGAGCGGGACTGCCTGGCTTGCGGCCGTTGGTGGATCGCTGCCGATGAGGATGGGAGCGCTGGGTGTGAAGAAAGGGGTGACTTGATTTTCGGCGGGGGTGAGGGAATCTAGTGCTGGTAGGAATCGTTGGAGAAATTTAATACCTGGCGAAGCTGTGGGAGGGATGGACTCGTAAGGGCCATGGTGGATTGTGACGGTGCTTTCCATGCTGCATGGACTACGGGAGGATTGTGTTAGATCTAGATATTTTCCGGCTGATTTTGATCTCTGATGGTATGTCATGGCGACGTAATATTGTCATTGAAGTAGTTACATCATGAGCGTCGATAGACTGCATTAAATAATTATTGTGGCCAATGTAAATATGGCACACATGAAAACCGCAGTATGATGATTTGGCAGAATTTTGTGTAGTTTGGTTGGACCACATGATATATTGTACAGCCAGCAGGAATTGACAACAAGGCTATTCAAATCTTGCGCTGGGATGCAGAAATCAGCATGCATCAAATTGTTGATGCGCCGGAAGAGCTGCGCAAATTTGTGGTTGCGCGAGTGAGATGAAACCAAGAGATTTGGATTCAAATGAGCGCGATATGGTTGTTTTGAAGACTTGCTGAAGCGACATGGTTGTGAAGAGCAGACGAAGCAGGATGTATAACGGCATCGATTACTCCCGAAAGTCTTCGCCATATGTGACCAGTAGAAAGCCAGTGGGAAGAGTAAACAAAAGCCGGCGGGGTTGCGCCCCTGGAGGATTATTTAGGCATTTTGGTCTAAATGATAGAAAGTTCATGATCAACAGTCCGACCTCAGGGTGGATGCATGCTGTTGTCGGTCGACCGGGTAGATGGTCGAATTCTGCGCTCAGAACTGGGCAGACTCTCCACGGACATTGTATCCCAGCCCCTCCGTCCCTGTCGCGACTCCAGTGGGGCTGCATGAGTGACATCCGATGTAAATTGGGTAGGATCCACGAAGCCAGGGTATTCTTCATGATCGGACGAAGTGGGTTGCGATCGAGGATTCTGCACAATATTGACCAGCTTTCCGAGCACACCGAACTCGAGCTTCAACTTGATACTGTAGACCATGGCCTTCAATGTAGTCTGCAGGTTGAAATACCCAATGTATTCCACAACGAGTAGACAAACGTCGAGCAATATGATGACGAAATTGATGGCCAGCAATTCATACATGATTCGAGACCGTCGTCGGTCCTTGTCTGGCATCAGTCTGAGCAGCTTCACGGTCTCGGTGATGTAAATTCCCGAGATGAGAATCTCTTGCGCGCAGAACCAGGCCAGTTGCAACCGCTCCATGATATTATATCCGCGACTGGCTGGCGGAGTGGCAGCGTATGCGTTGCAGAAGGTAAGAACGGTCGTTGGTATCAGGAGAAGCATTGCGTCGATGATGATCAGCCAAAGAACAAACCGAAGCACTTTGGTGCTCTGAACCACCAAATGAAGCCGAGAGTATAGGACCACCGATTGGCCCGGGACCATGACGTAGAAGCCAATAGTGGTAATAGTCAAAGACAACCATAATGGTGCTAGGGAAAAAAAGCCCAGCAGATAGCCAATGGCGTGAGGGATCACCCCGAGGACAACCGAGAGCAAAAGCGTCCAAAAGTAGAGTCCACGATAATGAGTAAAGGTCAAAAACAACAATATGAACAATTCGAGGGCGTTGTATAATGCGATGGAGGTGAAGACAATCATCAATGTGCGCACTGCCACATTATTGCCATGATATCCACGCAGCCCCTCAGGAGAATCCGACATGTTTACGGAATCCGATATGTCTGGCATGGTCACCGGCTCAACCATCCTGGCTAGTTTATACATTCAATGGTGGAAAGGCCGTAGGGAGGGTATTTCATGGCTCGCTTGGTGAGAACCCCAGTACACTGTGCTTGAAATGTACCAGCTTCACAGCCATCATAATTGTGCTAGTCCGAGCAAATCATTTGCGCCGATGGTGTGTATGATTCCAAAGTATCGCGGTTTTCGGCTATTCGGACAAAAATGGGAGGGATTTCGGGAAGGGATTGAAATGGAGGATCGCAAGTTGGTCCAAAGGATGTGGAGGTGAATTTGGAGTTTCTGAGGACTTTTGAGGTCAAGGACTGAAGAGCTGGAAGCGAAGCCAAAGCAATAGCAGTATATAATAAGTTGAGTCGAGAGGGAGAAAAGAAATCCCCAGCGTATTTGCCCCCGGATGCCAAGCTAAGCCGAGAAAGGAACCCTTGTGAACCGCCACACCGGAACTTGGGCCTTTTTTTTCCAATTTTAGTTCTTTAGGCTTTGGAAAAATTAAGAGGATCTTTTCCCATTTGATTACCCAAGGTCTATTGTCGTATAACAGGGTTTAATTCAATTGGCGAACTTTCAAGGTGGCTGAAGTGGCTGAAGCTGTACGATACCGTCTAATATCCCGACAAATCTATGTACACCTTTGAAAAAAGAACGCCTCAATCTCTATGAATCTTCACAATTTTACGCTAACCTCCAGCCCCGGTATAGGGTGGGGAGTGGGTTCACTCACAATTGGCCAATCCTGCGGAGAATGACCTGGAACAACCGTGCGTTCGCTTTCATCTATGACGGTCTTTGGGACTCCCAACCCGTAATCTCTCTCTAATAGTTCAATCGGTATTATAATATGAAAAATATGCTCATGCGTTTTCGGCCCGTGCCCAAGATTCCCCCGGTATTCCAGATCTGTTTGCACAGGCCACAATGAATGCTATCCGGACTTCCCGCTATGGCTTTGCCTAAAGAAGCGAGTCAAGCGACTGGTCATTCCTGCTACAACCCTGGAACCTATTTCCGAACTGTCATCTTTCCGCTCCGCACTCAGCTTTAGAGCGAAACCTCCTATCTCTATACTGTCAATATTCTGCATTAGTCTTCTCTAGTCGCAATGTGAATCCCCATCGGCTTCTATCTTAATCGAACTTCTGTGGACTATTATCTATTTTCGAAATATCTAAACATCTAGTTTCTTGCGATACTTCGCTGTCGATTTGACGTTTCAACGACGTGTGATCTTTTCACAATTAGTGCAATGGGACCTGCTGCAGGCACTTCGCGAAAATTTGAGTGTTTGGGGTACTGGACTCTTATGAGTTGGGATTTCAGACCATCAACACAATACATTTGTTCTGATTGATGCCAGGGGGTACCATTCAAGCGATGGTGTGCAACAAAGAACGATGCTCATCCAAACCCCCTTGATTACCGATACCATGCCACCTTACCCTGACGTGCCATGAATTAGCGTATCCCTCAGCCGCATGCACAATCCCTGCAAATTTGACCTAATTAACGAAACCCCTAGGTTCAAATCTCCATTCAGCCATGTTCTAGATGTAAAAAGAAGCAATATTGCAGTCAATACTGCAGTCAGACCAGCACTATACCCCAGGAATTGATAGATGTACATTACCAGCTTATTATTGGCTCTAAGTGTTCCGCGTCATATATGTTTGCTTGCACTGCAAGGGGTTTTCAGCTGATCCATGGGTGAGGGGCCCGCGAGAACGTATATATATGACACGTTGACCTGCCAATTTCTTCAACTCTAGACACTACAAGGCTTCAACATGGAAACAAAAAGCAATTACGACTTTATCATCGTAGGAGGTAATCATGCACCAGACATACATACCGTCTCTCACACTCACACTTGAACAGGTGGTCCAGCTGGTTGCGCCCTGGCTGCAGGACTGGCTAAATCAGCCCAAAGACCTCAAGTCCTACTTCTTGAAGCTGGTGGGCGCAATGATGATAGAGCTTTGCGAGTAGACGGAAAGCGCTGGACGACATTCATGCAGGGAAGCATGAATTGGGGATACAAGACTACACATCAGGAACATTGCAATGGGCGCGAGCTCGACTATTCCCGTGGCAAGGGTCTGGGAGGCGGCTCGGCAATCAACTTCGGGGTCTACGCTGTAGGCACGCGGGACGACTACAATGAGTGGGCATCTAGAGTGGACGATGATACTTTTGGGTGGAAAGAGATGCAAACCCGCTTCAAAAAATTGGAGACTTTCAATGGTGCTGTCACTCTCTCGGAGAATCAGAAATATGCCAATCCCGTTGCTTCCGACCACGGCAATTCGGGCCCCCTGCGCGTCGGGTATGCAGATGATTGGGAAACGGACTTGTCACTCTCGCTAGATGCATTTGAAGCGGCTGGGCACAAGCTCAACTTGGATCACAACTCGGGTAACCCCCTCGGCATGGCCGCCACTATTAACTCCGCTAGCAAGGGAAAGCGCACTACGTCTGTTGACTTGCTTTTGGATGCTCCTGATAATCTTGTGATTGTCACAGACAGCCCAGTACAGCGGATTTTGTTGCAGAGCAAAAAGGCTATTGGAGTAGAGACTCGGACCAAGCAGTGTATGTTTCATTCTGAACGTTTCCTATTCACTTCATCTGACTTGGTTTACAGACTTCGCTTCCCGGGATGTGATTCTCTCTGCAGGCTCACTCGACACCCCGAAGATCTTAATGCATTCTGGAATCGGACCAGCTGCAGACCTTGAGAAGTTCAACATTCCAGTAGTCAACGATCTCCCCGCCGTTGGCCAGGGTCTCCGAGACCACTACTTTGTTCCTCTGATTCTTGCCCGTAACCCCGAGACAAATGACCGCAATTCGTTCTTCCAGGACCCTGCCGCCATGGAGACTGCAATGAAACAGTGGGAGGACAACAGCACCGGCCTGTGGACCCGATACAGCTGCCAGATCGGTTCTGGCTGGTTCAAATCAGACCGCATCACCTCCTCGCCCGAATTCAAAGCACTTCCAGCGTCCGTCCAAGAATTCATGAATCGTGAAACCATCCCCCACTACGAGTTGATCACCCACCTACCCATCCATTTCATGATGCCTGATATGTTCAAAGATTACAGCTATGTGGGTTTCTCGGCATTCATGATGAACGAGCAGTCCATCGGTGAAGTGCGCCTGCAGTCCTCCGATCCAGACGTCCCGCTGCTGTTCAACCCACGGTTTCTCGAGCATCCCTTCGATCGTCGCGCCTGTATCGAGATCTACCGACACTTGCTGGAAGTTAGTAGACAGGAGGCCTTTGCGAAGGACACTATCTCCACGCTGATCGGGCCCGCGTCTGAATCTGACGAGGACATCCTCCAGTTCTGGAAGAACTTCCTCTCTTCTAGCTGGCACATGACCGGCACAGTGAAGATGGGCAAGGCCGATGCCAGTGACACTGCTGTTGACACTCATTTCCGCGTGCGGGGCATGGACAACCTCCGTGTTGCTGATATGAGTGTCGTTCCTGTTCTCACTAACAACCACACCCAGACTACTGCTTACGTGACTGGTGCTACTTGTGCTGAGCTTATTATCAAGGAATATGGCCTGGATGGACAGTAAAGGATAAATAGTACGTAGATCATGGTATTGGCAGGTCAAGGTTATTCATAAATTTTGATCGGCCAATACTATTGCATTGTCGGTCTCTATCACATCAAAATTTTGTTTCTCAATCTATGCGGTTGCCCAAAAGTCCATGGACACACTCCAAGGCTGACTGCTCGCTTCATTGCATATGTCCTCGAGGTCATCAATAATGGAGCAATTCACTCAAAGTGACCCGACTTTGCCTTTGCCTGTGAGAAGGGACATGTAGCCACACCTCTCGCTTTGATTATCTCGATATCGGATCTCATCTCCGCCGCCCCATGCTCCTTCTGTGGATCCGGCCCGATCGTCATCAAGTCGTATCCTCCTGGTTGATACCGGTCTCCTCGCGCCCCAGGCACCTTTCCTCCCAGTGCTCTAACAAGCATCGCGCCGAGTCCCCATTTTGACAAGAAAGTCGGTTTAACATACCAAGGCTGCAGAGTCTTTCTCTGAAAGTTATATAGATGTGTTTCTTGGTTTGGCGTGTCCTGTACTAGCTTAACAGCACTGGACGAAGAGCGTGGAAGTGCAAGATATCGAAGAAATAGTTTTCGTCCTTCTCGGATGAGGGCCAGTAGGAACCAGAGGACTGGACCGGGGGACTCAAGACTGTATAAATTAGTAACCAAAGTGACTTGCATAGTTGAATGAGAGTCAAAATATACCAAAGGCTCGTTCTCATAACATCGTCCAAGTCATTACCCAGCATCTTCCGCACGCTTGTTCGTATGAACCCAGGGAGCGACGACAATGCGGAATCAACGTATACTCGCACGTATTGATCGTTCGTCGCCGTGGGCTTTGCCACTTCTTCTTCGTACTGGATTGTCCAGTCTCTCAATTCAATTGCAAAGTGCAGGCCATTTTGCCATCCATCGGCGTTTGAAGGAAGCACATCGAAGGGGATACCCATGTCTTCTCCCAGGTTTTTGTGAAAGATACCGAGAGCACATTTTTCAACATCAGTAAGCTTGCGCCATTCCTCTGTTTCAACAACATTCAGGATCTCGGCAAGTCCGTCTCCCAGAGTATGGAGAAGATCATTATCCGTGATTTTGTTGGCGCGACGGTAACGAGCATGTCTAAAAACGCCCCTGGTCAGTGGACAGAACAAACCACTTTATGTTTGCCTCGAAATAAAGGACAGAAAACCCCCGGAGTGCATCAAACATACAGAAAATTCATCCTGGCCACAGCTGATGAATATCGATCAGAATCCCTTGGTTTAGACTGCACCTCGCGCAACAGGATTTCCGTATCAACAGCGCGCTTTCCCGAATTACGCTTATTGTTTTGGCCTGTAACAGCGAAGAGTTTGGACATAGTCGGGATACCTCCAGCCTAAAGATACCTGAACTTAGCGGCATTGTCCACGGTTCTAATTGAACAGACGAAAACTTCGTATCGTACCTTCAATAGAGCAAGTTTGCGAGCTTTAGCAAAAGCATATGGAAACTCGAGCTCTTGTAACTGGCTTAGGATAGCGTGTGCTTCTTTGACTGTCATTTTTGACAAGTTTTTCTTGCCGGGTGCGAATGGGGCCTCAATCTTCGCCATGCGGCGGTATCGAAGAAGGCCAACCAATGCTATATAGCTGATGGAAGCAATAGCAATCGTCACCCGATATCTGCTCCATAGTGTACAGAGCAAGCCAGTGGCGTCCACCATTTCGTCAACGGACACTTGAAACGTTCGTTCTGTTTCACTGGTAAGCATTCGGTAGACAAGTAGGGTTTCCCATTTCTCAACTTGCCGTCTAAAGCTTGTATCTTTGAGTGAGATGAGGCTTATAAATTCCTTTGCCTATGCGGTTCTAGAGGAAGAATATATTCAGACGACGGAAAATAGGTATATATATCTTATGTGTGGCAAGGAAGGAGTACCGAGGCTCCTGGTTATGGTGGATCACTAACCCAACAAAAAGTCTCATGGTGAAATTCAAGAACATGAAATATTGATGGACTCTATATTGTTGGGCTCGGAATTCTCAAGCCAACCATGTTAAAAGCGTTGGAAACTTCTGATGGGACCTCGGAGGCATCACGATGATAATGTAATCATGAGGCTCCACCACACACATCCAGAGCTGCTCAGCTAGGCAAGATTAGGGCCTACCTATGTGCATAAAACATAGTCAAACCAAATGAATTGAGTATCTTCATTTGCTATGCACTCATTGCCAATAAATGATCTAATAGATGCAAATGATACATTAGACATCTATTTCCTAGTCTTTAGGTTTCTCACGGATGTCTGGTATGCTTCTTTGATGATATTACTTGATTAACCTCGCATTGATTCATACATTCATTGTCATTCTAAGATAAATTTCGCATCAAGGCTGAGCGAAAGGCAGTTTCAACATCAGATCGCCGGAAACCGGGTGCTCGTCCTAAGATAGCCACCCCGCGAAGGAGTCCTAGCATTGTGTTTAGAAACAGACTTTAACATGGTATCAGCGTAAAATCTCACCTATCAAGAAAGATTCAAGATTGAGTACGCAACGTGATTGTTGTTGAGGTAATGCCGAAACTATGACATCTGTGAAGCGTGAGTACAAGTATTTCTGGTAAATGAGATCAACTTACCAGTCTGCTGCTCGAAAAATGAGATGCGTTGAGTGTCCAATAAACCAGATTCAGGCTCACATTGGCTGGGGCTCGGTGCTAGATTATTCACGGTGGGAAACAAACTAGGTCCGTCCAAGTCCACACCTTGCTCTCTAAGATATCCTTCCACATCCCGGCAATCGAACCACTGACCGCCGAACCCAGAAAGCTCAAGATTACTCTGAGCCTGATGGACGGAATTCGAGTCACCGGAAATTCCAGGCATAGGTAGGGTACCGAGTATTCTTCGAGGGAGCCTCATCTTTGGGGGGTAGATGGGATTCCCTTTTTCATCTTTCGTTGTATAATGTGTTCCAGCTCCCCCAATACAATAAAATGGCAATGTAGAAATCTCCAGTGAGCTCCCTCGTCCAGAAGTGACAAGGTCCCTAAAGTAAGGGTGCATTTTTGCCCTATCCCTGAAACACGGGACAAGTCTGAATACTCGGAAGACTTCAAGCGGATCAGAGCGTGTATCATTAAATATTCGAAAGGCGTGCTCCAGGCTGGATCGTTTGAGTCTTCGAGTGAAGGAACTTTCCAGGAATGAATATGAATCGGGAACATTGGCTCCACCAAATCGATCGATGATTTGCACAATAGGTTGGTCATGATCCAATCCCCTCCATTCCTGCGTGGCAGGTGGGGACTGACAAAGGACCCTCTCCCCGTTTTCTTGATACGGGTTGACCTCGGTTTCCGGGGATGTATCAATGTATGTGGAGCTTGGCTCGGCAGTGGCTTGATGATGATCAGACATAGTACCATTGAGGAAATGGTCATCACACTGGATATTCTTGGGTGGTTGTGGAGTAGACTTCTTAGAGGCTTCTCTTGATGAATTGTTGTCGACGCTAGTTCCCTGAACAAAATCCTCGGACGAAGTCAGAAGACTCAGAATACTGTCAAAATCCCTAAGAAGTTCGCAATGTGTGTCTGATAGACTAGAGTGAAGAGTAACTCTGTAGTCTGCAAGCGACTCTGCGATTTTCTTCATCTTATGTTCGAGGAAGGCCACTTTTTTCTGTGACTGTTGAAGACTGGCTTCTTTCTTCAATCTATACGTTCTTTGAGCACGGCGGATTTGGCTTCGCCGATCCTGCGGGGGGCATCAGAATGTATCTTCCCCACTGTTTCTTATTAATTCCATGGAGACTAAATACCTCGGACAGTACAGCTTCGGGTGCATCGAGCCTGCGCCTTCCCGCACTCCTTGGCGGACGCTTTTGACCCATAACTGGCTTGGTTATCGATTCTGGCATTGTGATTCATCCAATATAGCTGCGTTGTAGATCAAGCCGAGGGAGATATTATTCTTAGGCCCGAAAAAGCTTTGTGGCAGGCGTTGAGCAATGAAGTGAGCATATTCTCGGTCCCTATACGTTGAATGGGCGAAGTGCTGATAATGTAATCCGCCTCGGTCCCCACCCGTGGCGTAGTTGGGATGGATTGGCCAATTGGGTCAGAATGTTGGGGTTCAATTAAATAGCTAATGTCTCTCGCTGATTGTTGAATTTCAAAAAAGATGAAGAGGAAAGAAAGAGTAGCTGACACGATGGACAATGGAGATTCGCAGTCTTTTTCCCCCGAGTTATTGCTGATGTGACCTGACATTTTGAATTCCAAGGCATTACTGAATCTCTAGTCTACATGGTTATAATTATTCACATCATTGTAGATATACTTGGTTATGCCAGTAGGAAATATCTAAGCTGCATGGTCGTAGGTATCTGAATCTTGCGTTTAAGAAAAACATGGAAGCTCTATCAGACTACGTCATATGGATACAACGGATCTAACTAGACTGGTAGGTACATGTAGGTGTCTGGGAGCTTTGCCTCAAAGGACTATCCCACATAGCTTCATTTCAATGGGTATGTTTAGACAATGTTTAAAAACACCGAAGGGTATCAGTATACTACGGAGTACAGCTCACCAAAACCCCATAGCACGGAGCAGCTCACAAGTGTCAGATCGGACTAAAGGTTTACTCCATGAGCAGACAGGAATCCCCGCAGGCGAAGTCCCGCTGGGTGGGTATGTATATCCGCGAGTTGTGATCAATCCTTTGAACAAGTGAGCAGATATATCGAATTGAAGTATGAAACAAATGCGGGAATAACAATGAATTTCCCCCATCAGTCTGCCACAATGGAAGCAAGAAATCTAAAAACACCACCGGTTCGCGAAACCGAAATCAAGAGTATGGAATCACTCACTGCGCCGCGCACCATTACGCAAAGGGTAAACATGACATAACAGTAAAGGAAAAAGACGCAGGAGATCCAGCCAAACAGGCGAGCTAGAAATATGGCATGTGTCGTTAAGCATAACGTAACACCGAAGCTGAATAACGCACGATCAAAGAAAAGACATAGACGCGGGTATCGAAAGGTGATCGCAAAACACGGGCAATCAAGACGGCGATGAAAACGACATGGCGATTAGTTGACCATAGGAAGACCGTGGGTAACCTCCTGCTTGTTCACACCGTCATTTCCATCCTGGTTATCATCTGTGCGCACCCGCTTATTCTGCTGGAAACTGTTGTTGTTCAAGAAGCTCGTGTCGTCAGGGTGCTTACGCATGCCGAGTGTGGCGGCAGCGATGCGGTTCAGAGAGTTCATGTCATCAGAGACAGAACTGGCGTGCTGGCCCTGGGGACCGGGGGTGGGCACGGAGCCCGATGGGCTGGAGTTCTGAACTCCGGCAGAGGCAAGCGCCATCTCAGTGGTGCGGGGCTGGCTCAAATCGATGTTGGCCGGCAGGTCGGGGACTTCACCCTGGGCTTCGAGAAGACGCGATTGCAAGTTGATAATGTACTCGCGTAGCTGGTAGTTCTCGCCCACCAGGGACTTGACCTGTTCCTTAAGGGGGTCAATGTTCTTAACTTCTTCCTCCAGCTTGCGGATGTAGGTTTCCTTGCGCTGGCGGAATGCGCGCTGTTATGATGATTAGCGAAGTACTCTGTGTACGATATCAAAAGGACATACCTGGGCAGCACGGTTCTGGGCAGCGCGCTTGGAAGTGGACAGCTCACGCTTGCCATAGCTCTTGGAGCCGCCGTCAGATGGTGGAGAGCCCTGGGGTTGGGTAGGGGTTTGGGGAGCGCCGAGCATGGCGCCAGAGATAGCAGGGTCAATGTTCGCCTGGTCACGGGGGCTAGCATTGTTAGGCTGCAAGTGCTGTTGCTGGCCTGGAGCACCCTGTGGGCGACCACCCAGGTGGTGCTGAGCAGCTAAAAGCTGGTCATGAAGTACTATAGAATCATGTATTAGCAATGGGTCACAATCACGTGCAACGCGCACCCCTATTTCGCCCCGGTGAGATGAGGGACGTGATCGGGGTTAGGTAGTTTTCAGCCTCAACCCCACGCATCCATGAATCTCCAAAAGTAAAGGCTATCAAACTTCAAGAGAGCTGTAAACTGCAATCACGTACCCTGATCCGCATGGTCCTATAGTCAAATGTTAGTATGAATCCACAGAAAATAACAATGGTGACGCGGGGAGACTGGATGGAGACTCGACGCGTCAAAATGTTGAGCCCCGTTCCCGACACGCGGATAACACGACATGACTGTCTTGTATCCAAAGTATCGAGGAAGTACTCGACGCGGGACCTTGGGCATATAGATCTGATGACAAACGCGTTCGAGATGGCCTGCTTACCTGAGCAGAAGTCTGCATGCTTGGATGCGGCGCTGGCGCCAGTGCAGGCTGCATTGATTAAGAAGAAAGGGTATTGGTGATGAAATTGGGCAGTGACTTTGCACAGCTCACTCAGTTTCCACAAGATTTGAGAGCAAAGAGAGCTGCTTTGCTGATAACAAAATACAGCCAAAATGAGGTAAGCAGTTACAGATCCGATGCTGTAAGCAAAATGATGCCCAGGTGGAGGAGGAGGATTACTTAAGGATTCTGAGTCAGAGGATTTGGGGCGATCGTCGATTTATGTAAGGAGTTGGTAAGCGAATTGTTCGCATTAGGCAGGCGGTGACGCAGGCGGTGGCTTTTACCCCGGAATTTATGTAACCTTTTTTGCCGCCAAACTGATTTTGATACTGCATAGGCTGGTTGTGATTGGGTTACACCACAATCTATGATTACTCGTCATCCTTCACCAATCACATTCTGTCATTGTACCCATGAACATGTACATAAGTACCTCAGTAGGTTTCTTGCTGACTGCATTCCGCCTGCATCCGCTCTCGGAACGGGTTTACCTGTTCCCGACCGAGTCAGCATGACATCATACTCATCGCGTATCCCAACATTGCTGCCTGAGGCAGGACTTGTTTCACGAACAGGCACCAGGAACTAGACAATCTACTCAATTGCGGACAAGGTAAGGCGTAAATCGAACCAATATCACTGATGACTACATATGTATCTGCACATCGCGTACTAAACTAAACTTTCTATATTCCCGTATCCTACCCCAAAACACAGTCAGCCACTCATACCCCAGCCCCTATATCCTAACTCTGTACAATTCTCAAGCACTACTGTTGCTTCTTTACGGTACTGTTGCTAGGCTGTGCCTGGATAATCCCAGCGCCAATTTTCGCTGACTCTGTCCAGCCCCGCTGGTGCATCCAGAAACGGGCTGCCGGGTCTGCACCATGCAAGGACGTACGCCGAGCATCATCTTCAAGAGCCGTGCGTGAGATACCGGTTGACTCAGCCATAAAGGTGATATCGTCCTCATCCTTCTCCTCGTCCGCCTCGGCATTGGTTGTTGACTCGAGATAGCGCTTCCGCATGATGTAACGCTCAGCGCGCTCCTTGCGGGAATTGGGAGGCTCAATCCTAGCCATACCAGCCCGCACAGCATACCGCACAATAAGATACAGGTGCTCCGAAAAGAAGATCGTCAAAAGCAGAGCCCAGCCTTTGATATCTGTCGGCTCGCCATTGGGCCCGTGCTGTGCGTTGCCACTGAACATGTATACCAGCGCAGCGCTGGTGATGCTTCCAACCCAGGAGAGGAATCCCAGGCTATCGAGCCAGGGCCCAATCGTGTCGGTCCGCAATGGCACAGGTCTACGGAACTCCATGCAGATCTTGAAGAAGTCTGATCGCAACTCGATCCAGTTGTTCACAAAGAATGAGAGGGGAACAAGCGGCCATGTGGGAGAGAAAAGAGCCAAGTATCCAAATTGAATGCACATCTCACGGAGATCATCAGTCACATCGTACTCGGAAAGCTCGACTTCGTTACGAACACGCGTGAGGAACTGCACTTCCTCGGCCGGATCATCGAAGGACACGACGGGTCTTTCTGGCGATTCTTTGTCGCCGTTTCGGTCCATCTTGCCATTGCGCTCCCTGTTGTACTTTTTATATTTGCGGAGTGCGTACTGCTTAATATAGGGCACGATAGTCTCCATGGCGAAGCCAACGATCTGGGCAGTGACAGTGAAATAAACAACCTGGTTTCGCAAGCGAGCAGGGTCGATCTGGAAGAGCGATTGTTTTGCGACTGCATGTTCCTTCGATACGAAAGGCCGAACTGTCAAGTGGAAGACATCGAGGTAGGGGACAATTCGGCTAGCAAATGGCACGTAGACGAAGGCCGTCAGGAAAATTGGCATATAAGACGTGATGAAGTTGATAACAAAGACTTTTTGGGTCAATGCAAAATCATACGCATCCTTTGTCTCATGGTTCTCATAGTCATTAAGCTTCGTTGCGATAGACGTCAAAACAGCGCTCATAGTTGGCACAAGCGCTGATACAAGAATGGTTGGGATGAAAACCTAAAGGGTAAGCTTTGGTAACAGAGAATGGGAAGGGTTAACTTACCAAGTATGTCTTAAATGGACCATTGTAAAGCTCCGAGATAAAGATCTCAATAGCAAAACAAGTCGCAATGATAGCACCCAGACCAATTGCTGCAAGCAAGGCGAACGGGATTTGAAGCAGCTGCCGTTGCATGCGCTTAGTTGCCGGGAAGACACCGCGCATCTCACCGGTACCCTCATCACAAACCTCCTTTTCTGCCTTGAACTCTCGTCGTTTGGTCCGAACGGCTGAGACATTCTTGGTCTGCCACCTGCAGCTCAGATCAACTTCCTGACGCTTCCAGTATTCCACAAAGATGATACACCAAAGACAGTTGACGATAGTATAGATAATCGAATATCCGCCGAGGAGGAACCAACAGGAGAATCCAAAGACAGCTGGGAAAATCAAAAATCGGAAGTATGACTGCAGGAACGCGAAGTAAAATCCAACCTGCCATCCATGTTAGCCAGGCCAAAGAACAACAACCACTTATTACACATACACTTTCTCCAAACTTGTTCCGGATCTGATCTAAGTCATCATCAGAGAGGAAGGTCTTGGAGCTCCAGTCTCGTATCCACTTTTTATTTGTATCGACATCGTGAAGGGGGAATATAGCGGTGACGTTCTTCCATTCGCCATGGTTGGGTGTGATAGCGGCACCGCCCTCTTCCTTGGGAAGTGTTATCATCTGGTTGATCACCCGTAGGCGCTCAGCCTCGGTCTGGGGCTCGGTCGAGTTGGAAGGTGTGGGCTCAGCATTTCGGATACCATATAGCCAGTCGCGTACTCTGTGGAAATACAAAGTCAAGATTAGCACATCGGCGCTTATAGAAAACAACATTCATCACTCACCGCGACCGATAGACCGCCCGTTTCAGCCGCTTTTCCGAAGCTTTAACAAAAACAAGCAAAGACGACTCATCGCCTTGTCGTACTTCTAACTGTAGACCAACTTGGGCCAGTGCTTGGAGTAGTTTTTCTAGCTGCACAATTGCCTGCGATCGGTCTGCAATTGTTAGAATGTGCCCCGCCACGTATTAGCCCCGGAGAGCTCTCTCCTTCACTCACCTACGTCGCCGAAGCTGTAACGGATAACATAGTCCACATGGAGATTGTACTCCTGGACATTATCTGGAATTGTCGCCATCGCTGAGGTGTTGAAAGGAGAAAGAATGTGGAACAGACAAATCGAGGTGATCTGCGGGTCGATGCCGTCACCTGGCGCTAAAGGGCTTAGGGGCGAAGCCATCAAGGATCAGACTGCATTTACGCAAATCGGAGACGCCTTCTATATATTTAATTACATGAATGACGTGGAATTGGGATTCTTGTACTTGGATATATTTCACTTTCCTCTCTTCAAGTACAACATTGAGCCATATATATAGCTGTGATGATAGATATGTGCTAAACGTACATGTATAGCCCACTTTCGCTCTCAATCTGCAATGGGCTCTACAATGTAAATAACTCCCTCTAGAGCGATCCTAATCCCTTTGTAGTACTAAACAATCCCCCTCTACGCACCCTCCGCTAAACGAGTCAACGCATCCCCCTCAACCATCATCTTCATCCACTCATCCATACCGCGCGCACCGACCTGCTCATAGAACTTAATACTAGGCTCGTTCCAGGTGAGCACACTCCACTCCAAGCGCCGGCCCGACACCTCAAGCACCTGCTTAGCAAGGTACTTGAGCAACTTGAAGCCGTATCCGTGACCCCGCGCGCTGGGCTGCACATACAGATCCTCGAGGTAGATACCAGGGGCAGATCTCCAGGTTGAGTAGTTGTAAAAGTACAGTGCCATGCCGACGGGGGTCGGGTTCGGGGTGTCGGTGGTAGGCGGCGGGGTAATGAGAGCTGTGTAGACGGCGCCGCGTTTGGGCGGGGTATCGGGGAAGGAGAGGGTTGCTAGGAGGGATTCTTCCGTGGCTTCGACTTCATGAAGGGCCTTTTCGTATTCGGCTAGTTCGCAGATGAATTGGAGGATGAGGGGGACATCTACCTGGTGTTAGTCGGAGTCTGTGCTACACGCGCTCAGAGGGGTCAATGCACTTGCCCTCGGGGGTCGCGAGACGAATGGTAGGTTGCTCGACCATGGTGTTGGTGAGAGGACGGACGTAATCCATGGCGAAATGCAGAACTTAAGAAGTCTTTATTGTTCGGACTTTTGTACTTTCTAGTATATGCGCGCCTCTATTTTTTGCTAAGCCTCGCGACAACCCCGGGATTTACTATACCGGATTAGGCAATATTGCCGATTTTTCTTTTATAGTACGAGTTTGACTCTTGTTCAGTAGGATTTTCAACTTGTTTCGATCGATAATATGCTATATCTCGGTGCTTTCTTGACACGAGGATACCAGTGGATTAGACCGTGTTTTTGTTTACGTTGAGAGAGGAACATAGTATTATCTCTACAGATGATATTGTACAGAGCAAGGGACTCAGATATGCAATCCACGCCCATGGGTATAAACGCCAATTATTTGGACATGATGGCTGACATCCACTTTTGCTCATCGGTTCTGTGTCTGTTAGTGACCATTGTTAAATAGAGGGTTCGGTAGGAAACTCACCGATCGAAATGGAGCAGCATTCCTAAAACAGGGATCAGCTGCTTCTGATAGTTCTTGTCCCTCTGTTCCAAAAATTGGAGAAGGACATTCTTCAAGTACATGTAGTCAATGGAGGCGTTGCTGGGTGGGCCGGTAAGAGACTCGCTCCTGCCAGGAGATACGACTGCCCGGCGAGAGCCTGAATCCAAAGATGACCGCGAGGACTGTCGAGATGGGGAGGCACGCAGCCGAACGTCCTCTCCGAGTGTCTTGTGGGATCTTCGAAGCTTCTCCAGTCGGCTATTTGTCTCTTCCACTGACCGACGAAGCTCTGCCTTGTCCTTTTCGAGATCGCGAACTTGCTTCTCGCTTTCGTCGAGGGCATCGCGTAGACCAGCCATGGCTTGTCGAATCTCTGTCACTTCCTGTGATGACTTTTCAGATACAGACTCGAGCTCGTCACGACGGCGGCGCCACTCCTTTTGGGACTGTTCCAGCTCCTCCTTGTCTTGCTCTGCTGTGCGCAGAGCGCGCTCAGCTTCGCGGACCTTACCCTTGAGTTCTTCCACCTCGCGAGCGCGGCGTCGACCTTGGGTGCTAGCCTCATCTTCGACACGGTCTCGCTCTTCAATAGCAGCCTCCATGCGTTCCTTGAAGTCTCGCACCTTGGACTCCGAACGACCCTCAATGTCATTGAGCAGACGGCGCATGGTCTCACCTTCGCGGGTTCGCTCGCTCAGCAGACGGTGAGCATCAGCCAATTCTTCATCCAAGCTCTCGCATCGCTCACGGGCCTCCTTCATTTGCATTGCAACTTCCGTGGTCTGGTCACGCATGCTGTTCATCAGGCTCTGGGCGCTGCTGTGTTGAGCTGTCTTTAGCTGGATCTCATCTCGGAGGCTTCCGAGTTCCTTGTTTAGCTGAGAAATCTGTTCATCCATCTCCCGCATCTTAGCGCGAGTACTCTTCAACGCGTCTTGGGCCTTGGTGAGGTCGCCAGTAGTTTTGTCTCTGGCATTGATGGCGTCTTGCTTTTTGCTCTCGGCAGAACGCAGGTTAGATTGGGCAACAGTAAGGTTCTCCTCGGCCTTCAATCGGCTGTCGGTCTCCTGTCGGATCTTCTTGTTGAGAGTGCCCACTTCTGTGTCACGCTCAGAGATCTTCGATTTGGAGGCCTTCAGCTCAGCACGCAAATCCTCATGCTTGCCCTCAAGGGCCTTCAAGTCAGAATTCTTGCTAGTGAGGGTTTCCTTTAGGGTCTTCAACTCCGAAGACTCGGCACGTAGACTACGCAGCTCGGGTTGAACCTTCTGGAGAGTTTCACGAAGGTCTGTAAGGTCTTTGAACCGAGTGGCAGCCAGCTGCTGGGCGGCGGAAAGATCGGTCTCCAAAGTAGCAGAGCGGACCTTGAGGTTGTCGAATTCCTCTTTGAGCGAGGTGTGCACCTTCTCTGAGTCAGCTGAGGTGGACGCGTTGCTAGTGCGTAGTTCTGCCAAGTCCTTTTCCAGCTTGTTGATAGTTTCTTCAAGAGAAGTCTTCTCTGCTGAAAGCTCCTTGATCTTGTCCTTGGCTGCCACATGCTCCTGGCCGATGTTGACAAGGTCATCGCGTAGGGACTCGATCTCCTCCTTCAAATTGTCCTCGCCTTTCAGCTTGGAACTGAGACGGTCAATAGCGGCCTCCTTTTCGAACAATTGCTGGGTGAGAGATTCGATCTTTTGTTTGAGTTCATCCAGCTCTTTGGTAGCTGTGGCAGGCGCCTCTGGGGGCGATTGCTCTGCAGGAGCTGCATCAACCGGCTTAGAAGGTTCCTCCGCCTTGCCACCCTTCTTCTTCTTCTTGTTCTTCTTCTTTCCTCCACTACCACCAGTAGCTTGAGCAGGCTGTGTTTCTTCTTCGACAGGAGCAGGAGCAGGGACACTAGACGTGGGCTCTTCCTTGACCGGTGCCAGGGCCTCAACGACCTCATTGAAATCGGCCAATTCTCCAGCGAAGACTTTCTCCTTAGCAGATACCCAGGTCGCGTTTTCTTTCAAGTTCCCATCCACAAAGTCGAAAATGTCTTGTAGTTTGGCGGAACTTTTGCTCTTCTCGTCGATGTCACTCTTCAGCTTCAAAACGGTAGATTCGGTGTCCTGAAGCTGAGATCGGAGACCGTCAACCAAGCCCTGGAGCACAACGAGCTTCTTTTCGTTGGATTTCTTTTCCTCCTTGGTCATCTCCAACTGAGCAGCAAGGTCCGAATCAGGCTCGGCCTTTTCGGAGGCCTGTTTCTGGAGCTTGTCAATTTCCTCGCTCTTCTCCTTGAGCTGCGACTTGAGCTTCTCAACCTCGGATGTGGTTGATTTGAGAGAGGTTTCCGCGGTTGCTAGCTTTGCCTTCAGGTCATCAACATCAGCCTTCTTGGAGGTTTGCAGGGTCTTGATCTCTAAATCCAGGTTGTCCTTGGTTTCGCGCAGCTCGACGAGCTCGCGGGTGGCTGTCTCCAAATTCTGCACCATGCCTTCAGTCGACTCGCGGGTGACAGACATATCGCGCTTCAGATTTTCGACCTCGGTTTTAAGGTTCTCGACCTCTTCTTGCTTCACCTTAAGCTCGCCCTCCAACCGGGGAACTTCAGTATCGAACGAGAAGAAATCTTCGCTGGCCTGTTCCTCGGTTCCGTCTGTCCCCTTGGGTGTCTCGGTCTGGGGTTTCTCCTTTTTGAGACCAGTAACCTCATCCAAAGCCTCCTTGGTAGCCTGTTGTGCTTCTTCGAACTTCTTTCTGAAATCCTCTCGTTCTTCGGTGACGCGCTTCAGCTCTTCCATGACCATGTCGCTTTTCAAGGCTGATTGGTTGAGGTATTCCGTGAAAGCTTTGGGTTCGCCAATCGAGGTGAGCGGGGTGTTCTCGCGCAGGGCAGCTTCGAAGGGTTCGATGGATAGGACGCGCGAGTGGGCGGTACGGTAAGCCTTGAGCAATTCTAATATGTTCAATTAGTCTTGCGCCCTACAGTCTGGTTAGGCAGGTGCAGGTGCGTACCATGGTATCGGGACTCCAGCTTATCAAGTCGTCGGAGTTTCGCGCGGACATCAGGTGGAAGCACGGCCGGGGTCTCCTTGGTCTCTGTCTCTTGTCCTTTCTCTTTCTCGGCCGTCTCCGCCGGTTTGCCTTCGGCCATCTCGTTCTCTCCCTCGTTGGGGGCGCTTACTTCCGAGGTAGCCTCTGGTGTATCTGTTTGAGGAGTACCGGACCTGCTGGATTCATCGTCGTCACCGATGGTAAATTCAGCCTCAAACTCCTTGGGGTCAGGTCCTCGCACGGGGGTGCCGGTGTTGCGTCTTGGAAGGGAGCGTCGACTCGGGGACTGATTGCGTCCAGGCGGACGGCGAGCTGAGTTGGAGCGCTCGATGCTATCTTGGGCGGACTTTTGTCGGGCTTGTTCCTCTGCGATGCGAGAGTCGATGGCGTCGCGGAGGCGCTGTGAGGGTGTTAGGATGCAAGGCACACACACATAATCAAAGGGACTGGTACCTGAAACATTGCCGCGGTTCTAAGAACCCAGACAACAATAGACTCTAAATACACAAAACCACTAGCAAAGGTGTTTACCAAAAACAAAAAGAATAGCAGTTGGCCGCAAAGGGAAGTGAGGGGGAGCATTGGTTTGGAAGAGTGGCCAAGGCGGAACTGCCATGTGGAAGGTCACCTTCGGCTGTTTACTTTGATACGAAGACCTTGGATTATATTTCTATTTTATTTTTCATATAACAATTTAATTGCATTCTCGGGTAGAATTGAGTCTAGTGTATTTTGATTAGATTGTTATTTTTCTTTATTGATTCTGATCTTTGAAACTGCAACGTTGCCTATATGTTTGCTGTACAGCTAATTGGGACAAAGGGTATAGAGAACAAACGGGATCTAAAGCAAATAATTTGGTCCAAGCGAGATTTGCTTTGTTAATTAGTTACATATAGTTGTCGAATTGAAGCTGCGTTGCTACTCACGTGTACTATACATATTCTACACGTAAATATAGTGTCGAGTTCATATGTTACCAAGTCATGAAAAGACAGAAAGATACTAATAGAGACAATATTTAGCCCCCCTTGTACATATTGTTTCAAATCTAAAGCTTCCAACTTATATGGTGGACACTGCCCAGGTGGCTTAGAAGCAATCAATTACATCACTGTGGATTGACTGATAACCAGGATATTTCAATAGAATAGAATATTATGTACATAAAAGATCATAGAAGAGAATAAGAGAATACATGTAACACTAAAATAGTAATAGAATAACATAATAATAAGAATAAAGAGGAATTAATAGGAATAAAGAGGTAAGTAATCTCACATTCTTGGACGTAAACTTGCATGTGACGCGGGACTAGTATTCACCTGCATCTCCTTGTTCCTCTTACCCACCTCACATACGTGATGCTTTCAATCTTCAGGCCTAACGGGGCCCACGGTTGGGTTCTACTTTGTAGTCTAAGTCAAATCTGAGTTAGTCGCAATCTTAGAACCAGGTGGAACACAAAGCGGAGCTCTCCCCCCAATCTTCCTTAACATGGCTGGCCTGGCCCCGTCACTCGGCCTCAGCCTAACGGCTCAAACTTCAACATTTAATCTTGCTACCTCCTTCTCACCCCCACCGTTCCCTACAGCTCCCTCAACTATGGCGGGGTGGATCGGATGGGTGTTTACCTTTGTATTCCAAACCGTCCCAAGCGTTCTCTACTCGGTAATTGCATTCTCGACAATTACACTGCCAACATGGCTCTTCACGCTCTTCTCCATGAGCTTGACCTTCACCATGAATTTCACCACCATGTAAGTCTTGGTCTTGACCTGATCCTTAAATTGTTGCTGATCAATTCTTAGAATGTTAATCTTCCTTGTCCTGGTATCGACCGTCAGCTGGTTCATCCGTTACCGGTACATGAACATGTACAGCCGCCTACCCCCAGAGCCTCAACGCAAAGAAGCCCAAGTCGATTTGTTCCCCGATATCCAGGAAGGAGATTCAAAACCAGGGCTTGCCAACTATCTCGATGAATTCCTCAGTGCCATCAAAGTCTTTGGCTACCTTGAACGGCCCGTCTTCCATGAGCTGACCCGGACGATGCAGACCAGAAAGCTGATTGCGGGAGAGACGCTTATGTTGGAGGAGGAGAAGGGCTTCTGTATGGTTGTGGATGGGCTGGTTCAGATCTTCGTGAAATCAGCACGCGACGGGAAGTCAGGCTCGCAAGAGAATCTCCAAATGGATGACTACTCAGACGAGGAGGACCGAAACATACACAACCAACAGGGCTATCAGCTCCTCACCGAGGTTAAGAACGGTGCTTCGATGTCCTCTCTGTTCTCTATTCTCCAACTGTTTACTGAAGATATTGAGCTCCGCAACTCACGAAGTCACAGCTCCAGTATATCCAGTCCTAGTCTTGCCCAGACTTATGTGCCTGATACCTTCGCTGTCAGCCCCGGGTCTACCGTGAGAGAGGCCGGGAACTTGAGCACTACACCCAATGGATCTGGTGATACATTGCCCCCAGTGCCTCCGCTGAACATTGGAGAGAGCCATGCCATGCCCCGACAGGACTCTGGCGAGATTCCGCAGCCGGAGACCAAACAAAAGGCCCATAAAAAGCGTCGCAAGTCGGTACACCCAGATATCGTGGCACGGGCTACAGTGGACACTACGATTGCTATCATCCCAGCGAGCGCATTCCGCCGTCTGACCAGAGTCTACCCACGGGCGACCTCGCATATTGTCCAGGTTATCCTGACCCGTCTTCAGCGGGTCACGTTCGCTACAGCGCATTCTTATCTGGGTCTTACCAGCGAGGTTCTAGGCATAGAACGGCAAATGTCTAAATACACCTCTTGGGACCTTCCGAATAATCTTCGCGGAACTGCTTTGGATCGTCTGAAGGACAAATTCATGCGGGAGCGAGATAGATTGGGACCGGAGGAAATTGGAAAAGGCATTGCTCTTCACAATCCTTCTGTCAGCCGCAGAGGACGCTCGAGCAGTACCCTCAGAAAAGAGGCCTTTTTACAAGCAAAGATCGCCAGTGAGCGCCCTCTCGTACCCTTAAGCCCACAAAGGCCACCATCGGCATTCATTGACAGGGACTCGGCAGGTGTCAGCCCCGGTGATCTGCTATCAACAATACAACTGTCCCGGTTTGGACCGCGACATGACCATTTAGCACCTCGCATCCAGACCCCTCTTACTGAGCGGGAGCAACCTCAATTTGTATCCGCTGCGGCAATGAATGGCCTGCCCTCAACTTTCCAGCGGAACGAGTCAGTTGACGAGGACGGTCTTTTCCGCGAGTCGATCTTGGACTGTATCATGAAGGGCATTGGTCTCACCGAAGGCACAAGCGATAGTCTACGCAAGAGCAGTCACTCTGGGGAGGCGTCACCGAGACTTCTATCCTACGATAACCGCCGCCAGAAGGCAGTCTTCTCCAACGCCTTTGGCTTCATGGATCCCTACGAAGGGTCTGGTGACGGCGAGAGCGAATCCATGATGTCCTCGATGTCAGTGACTAGCGCAGGGGGAACTTCGCCTGTCGTAAACCTACGGGAAGACCTCCGCCATGATATTGAAGTAGTCTACTTCCCACAAGGCTCGGTTCTGGTGGAACAGGGTGAGCGCCATCCAGGCCTCTACTACGTCATTGATGGATTCTTGGACGTGGGTATTCCGGCGAATGAACGCGATGACACCCTTATTGGGTCCTCTCATGGATCTGCCTCGCAAGCGCAAGAGGGACTGTTCCCGAAGCTGAGACGAACAACGACAGCATCGTCACGCACCGCCTCTGGTGCAGCAGGCACCAATGACCCTCGACGGAAGACCCAGTCCCGTAAATCACTATACCTGATCAAACCTGGTGGAATTCAAGGGTATGTAGGTGCTCTCGCATCGTATCGCTCGTACACCGATGTTGTGGCCAAGACGGATGTTTACGTTGGATTCCTTCCCCGTGCTTCCCTCGAGAGAATCGCAGACAGACATCCAGCTGCCCTGTTAACGCTGGCGAAGCGATTGACCAGACTGCTGCCCCGTTTGCTGCTCCACATTGATTTCGCGCTAGAGTGGGTGCAGGTCAGCGCAGGACAGGTGATTTATCACCAAGGGGATGAAAGCGATGCTATTTATCTTGTTCTGAATGGTCGTTTGAGATCTGTCGTTGAGGGATCAAACGGCAAGATTACTGTCATGGGCGAACATGGGCAGGGTGAGAGTGTTGGCGAACTTGAGGTCATGACTGAATCTACAAGACCATCTACCTTGCATGCTATCCGGGAAACGGAACTGGCCAAGTTTCCCCGGTCTCTCTTTAACAGTCTTGCCCAGGAACATCCTGGAATTACCATTCAGGTCTCTAAACTCATTGCCCAGCGAATGCGTGATTTGGTCGAGCATCCGCTGTCTGAAAAGGGGATTGAACAAGGACAGGCTGGCGGTGTTCAGACTGCAACCTCAACAGTCAATCTTCGCACCGTGGCAATTCTTCCCGTCATGGCTGGTGTCCCGGTTGTGGAATTTGGACATAGGCTCTTGCAGGCGTTGCACCAAGTTGGTGTGACCAGAGGTGTCACATCACTCAACCAAGCGACTATTCTGAATCACTTGGGTCGCCATGCCTTCAGTAAAATGGGCAAGCTTAAGCTTTCCCAATACCTCGCCGACCTTGAGGAGAAATTCGGAATGGTCTTGTACATCGCTGACACCAACGTGAATGCCCCGTGGACTCAGACTTGCATCGCGCAAGCTGACTCTATTCTGTTGGTGGGTCTCGCAGAGTCTTCGCCTAGAATTGGTGAATATGAGCGCTTCCTGTTGGGTATGAAGACTACTGCTCGCAAAGAACTGGTTCTTTTGCATGCGGAACGATACTGTGCACCTGGACTCACTCGGGAATGGCTCAAGAACCGGGTGTGGATCAACGGCGGCCATCACCATATTCAAATGGCCTTCCGCTCGACCACCGACCCTGCGCACCAGCCAACCAAGAAGTTTGGTACTGTATTGAAACAGCGCGTGCAAATTCTCCAAGCCGAGATCCAAAAGTATACGTCCCGGCGTGCACAACAAACCCCACTCTATTCCCCGCAAACCCCTTTCAAGGGTGATTTCCATCGGCTGGCTCGGCGTTTGTGCGGCAAGTCTGTGGGTCTTGTACTGGGAGGAGGTGGAGCGCGTGGAATTTCGCACGTTGGTGTCATTAAAGCGCTCGAGGAGGCCGGAATCCCAATTGATATCATCGGTGGCACATCAATCGGTTCTTTCATTGGAGCTTTGTACGCGCGTGATGCTGATGTTGTCCCCATGTACGGGCGAGCCAAGAAGTTCTCCGGCCGCATGGGAAGTATGTGGCGGTTTGCATTGGACCTGACCTATCCCACTGTTTCCTACACCACGGGTCACGAGTTCAACCGCGGGATCTTCAAGACCTTTGGAGACAGCCAAATCGAAGATTTCTGGCTGGAGTTCTACTGCAACACAACCAATATCAGCCGATCCCGAATTGAATATCACTCGTCTGGTTATGTCTGGCGGTACGTTCGGGCCTCAATGACGTTGGCCGGCCTGATGCCTCCTATCTGTGACGAAGGCAGCATGCTCCTGGACGGTGGCTACATCGACAATCTCACTGTGGCACACATGAAAAGTCTTGGAGCGGATGTCATCTTCGCAGTTGACGTTGGGTCTATTGATGACACCACCCCCCAGGGATTCGGAGACTCATTGTCAGGATTCTGGTCAGTGTTCAACCGCTGGAACCCCTTCTCCTCACTCCCGAACCCACCTACACTTTCCGAAATCCAAGCACGACTGGCCTATGTCTCATCGTTCGACAATCTCGAGCGCGCAAAGAATATGACTGGCTGTCTATACATGCGTCCTCCTATCGACCCATATGGAACCCTAGAGTTCGGCAAATTCGATGAGATCTACCAAGTCGGCTACGCATATGGAAAGGAGTTCCTCGAGCGTTTGAAGGCCGAGGGCTCACTACCTATCCCGGAGGAAACCGAGGAAAAGCGCAAGCTCCAGCGGACCATGGCTCCTCGCCGAGCTAGTATCTAACCGTTCCAATATTATCCTTCAACCCAGCCCTCCATAGGATTTTGAGTCAACGAAGCAACGACGTGACCTTTGGTGTGCAGCATTCAACGCTGCATACCACTTGCTCTGCTTAGTGCTAGCACCGTTTCTTGCGCAATAAGCCGATTGTGTGGCTGCTCTTATTCAACCTGTGCATTCAATACATGCTGTAAATAGTCAGATAGAAAATAGAGATACAGTTTTGCTAGCAGTCATATGACAGTAACTTCTAAGGTTCTTTGGTATTTTGCAATCAGATTAGTGTTTGTTATTTCTGCCCTTCGCATAGAACAAACACCAGGAGAAACCCGAGATGGGATATATAAAATGATGCTACGGAGTCAAGGGAGGCCACTTTAGGCAGTCACACTGAGCACTTTGTACATATCTAATTGAGAAATGGAAAAGGGATCACCAGACAGATCACCTCCACAAGGTTTCAAAATAATTAATCGATTAAGTTATTAAGAAAAATGAGCACACCGAAACAAAGGTATCCTCCAGTCAGCGTGGATGTACACAGTCAGTACGTACAGTCCATCAGATATCAACTTCGCCCGTTTCCCATCCTGGCTCATAGTAACATATGTTCAATCCAACCCCTGTCAAAATCCAAGCCCTTCAAGATAAAAACCAAGAGACTACATGGAGAAACAATCGTCCAAGTAGAAGGTATAGTTAGCCCAAAGAGGTTTCCGAAAATCCCAGTAAATGATATATCCACAACCATTGAGCATGTCAAGAGATAGTAGATATATATTTGTCCAGGAAGCCAACCGAGACACCGATTAGACAGTGCCAGCAGGAGCTGCAGGCGCATCCATAGGTGGACGGGCCCCATGATTGGCCTTGTCCTCAGTGGCGGTGCGGTGGGAAGTGCTATTTTCCTTACGATAGGCCCAGAGGGCGAGGACTTCGAGGAGCATGCCGAAGAAGGTGAAGATGCTGTGATGATATTAGTGATCAATTGATAGAAGCTGTCGGGTATGAGCTTCATACAAAGCTAGGAAGATAAAAGATTCATTGGCCCACTTGCGCTTGCAGCCGATGCCTGTGGGGATAGCGCTGCGGCAATGGCCTCTATTGTAGTCTTGTGCGGCGAAGATGAAGGCAGTCAACCAACTAGAATTGGTTAGAGACGTCTATTTGAGTAAGTGATTGGATTTTGACATACAGGTAGGAGAATACGACGTCGATAGCGAGCACGAATTTGCTCAACGACGAGGGTAGGAATGGCGAAATGAAAGCTGGGATGAAGAAGACGACTGAGATGACGGCCTAAGATTATGGTTAGAGATTATGACAAATGGAAGAAAGCGCTAATAGCCTACGATAACTTCCTGGTAGATGGTGGACAGGCCACGGGGACCGTGGTGGATGAAGTATGAGGTCAGACCCATAACGATGACAGCGCTCGACCACTGCAGGACGCGAGTGAGCAGCTGTAGTGGACGAACAATTGTTGTTGGGAGGACCATTGTGTGTAGTAAAAATTAAGAAGTATATAAAACGTGTAAGGGAGTGCAATTAAAAAAAAAGTTACTCACCTTCCATGGCGGAAGAGCAGACGTTGGGTTTTATATCTCGGGATCATGTCAACATCACCGGTTCCATAATAAAAACAGAAAACACAAAGCTCTAGAGCTAAAAGGAAGAATTCCCCAGGTGCGTCATGATGGTCTCTGCATGAAGTCAGAACCAAACATGCCTGGGCCAGATCCCAATTCGGCACTTTTTAGGTTTCAAAGAGGCAATTGGAGATTGTATCTACCTCGTCATTTGTGTAGCTATTTGAGACTATATTGTGCAGAACGTTCAATTTCAGTTTTATACAAAGGCCAATGTGGCAATGGCATTGTCATGTTCCCGCAACGAGATAGCTCCAAATCGTTTCCAAGGTTTACGAGAATCCACATAACGTCAAGCAAACGGAAAAAGCCCCAATCGGCAGCTTGCGGAAGATGATTCAACGTCTAGTTTAATCTCGTGATGTGATAGTTACCAAGTGCCAATCAGAAGTACAGTCTATTGCACCACCAGCGCATACCCACCGAAGCAGAAGAACGAGATAATCTGCAGCACCAAATAGCGGGGATTCTCCTTGTATTGACTATATAACTACTCCGTAGTGCCTTCAGCCTTATTATTAGCCTTACTAAACCTTTGTTCTATGCATTCCCCGTTATCTAGGGATAGTGGCATCCCTTGGCTCAAATACCTGTACTTGGACTTGGATCAGCGAGCTTTATAATATTCGAGACATAACTAGTCTTCTACTGTTTGATGATTGCTACAATAAGCGATTTCAGTGATGGCCACGCCAAATTGTTGTGTGACTAGTGCAATAGCTCGTGTTCGTTCGTACAACATCGTTGTCCTCGACTGACCATGTCGTGGATGGACTGGTCTACAAGAATGTTCCGACATAGCCGAGAACAAATAGAAGAGCGATTCCCTTTTATTGGTCAGTGGAAGCTATTCCATTTGGTCTATGGCTACAGTTTCCATTGACCTCAAACGGGCATAACGTTAAGTACCCCAGAAGCCATGCATATACATGTCTCAGACCTCCAACTTTAAACATGGCCCATTGATAGATGCAAGGAGCATGTTTAAATCTAGGGAATGGATACATCGGGTCACTTGCCATAAAGAGGCATATGTATAGATAGCTGATGTTTATTTGACAGACCGCAGAGATACTCAGCAGGCTACCATTGTTGTCTCCGCCGTAATCCTAAATTGGACAAAACAGGCTTGATCCTTCTTCCAGGGATATCGCTAGAGAATAGAGCTAATATGGTAATATAGTCTACGGCAGCTTACCTAGTTTTGCAGCGTATTCAGTTTCATCCCTTTAACCATATTCACAACCCCCGCTTGCCCTGGCGTAGTCGCTTGCACCTATGACTCGAAATTTTTCTGCTCTGGACATTGTTCTTGAGGAGAGTGATGGGCCAGGAGACGGGAAAGAGAAAAAGAGACAAAAGACTGGGGAGACGGTGAGAGAGTTTAAGAGAGAATTGTGAGGTGAGCTATTTAAGAGAAACATATACAAGGCAGGATTTGATAAGAGCGATAATTATAAAAGAGAAAGACGGGTGGCTGCCCAAGGCAAGACAAGCAAGCTCTATTAATATAGTGGTAGTTATTCATATGGAGGGCTGAACATGTCATATTTCGCTTACTACCGCCAGACTCTGCAATAACATCTCTTAAGTATCAAATAAACATGCCCTATACCGCGCCGGATAAGCAGACCATTCGACTCCAGTGCGCCCAAGCAGGTGTTTTCGGAACTTGCTTTTTTTACCCTTACCATGTAGCATTGCCAAGTTCATGCTCCTTGATATATTCGCTGCCCTTCTCCATGTACTCTTGCCGTGTGACCGAGGATCGGGCGAGGTCACCACCGGAAGCCCACTGCGCCGCACCCTTCCAAGCATCAAAGACAGGGTCCGATGCCTTGCGTACATTCAGTCTAGCATCGATGGGTAGGAACCCGCGGACTTCCTTACGGAAACGTTCATCGAAACCAGTGAACAATGTATTTCCTCCAGTCAGGAACACATCCTTCAAAAGAAGGGACTGGTCTGCTGGGTTGGAATAGCGTTGGTTAATGATATCGGCCACGATCTCGATCAGGCCAGCCTGATCGAGGCCAGCAATGGACGGCTTGAACACAACCTCAGGCACACGGATACGCTCCACGTTCAGGTGGAGCTGGTGCGCCTCCCGCTGGCTTTCTGGGTCAAAAGGCCAGGGCCCGCGAAGGAACGCGTGCACAAGACTCTTTGTCCAGTCGGACTGTGCGGCGAAAGTGTTGTTCTCGTTGAATTCGGGATCGTACTCGAGGAGCTCCTTCTCCACAGAGTTGAGCATACCGTTGAGATCCTCCTCCTCTTCATCGTCACTGCCCTCGCCAACAGCTACAGTGCGGTAAACACCCCAGTCCTCATCATTGGCACCGAAGTCATCGTCATCTCCACCACGACGGCGTTTCTTAGGACCGTCGGAGGCTAGATTGGCCAGCGTCTTCATACGCATCTGACTGGCGAGAGATTTGCGATTTCCCAGATCAGCCGTGAAGCGGTCACGGTCTTTGATTCTTTGTAGAATGCTCTGAGAGATATTAGCACGGAAATATAAAATGTCATGACTGGCGAACATACCTGGCGATTGTTGCGACGCTTTGCAATCCAGTTCTCGAAATCGTTCTCACGTGTCTCGCGGTCCAAACGCTCCTCTTCCTCGATACGAGCCCTTTCGCGCTCCTTCTCTTCCTTGGCACGCAGTCTGGCATCGACGTTGGACTTCATGAGACGCTGGTGCCTCTTTTCTTTCAGTCCAGCCTCATCCAATTGGTCGTCTGGAATATCAAGCATAGGGAATGTCATTTCCTCAGGCTGCTCCTCGGTTTCTTCGATGCCTAGATCCTTGTTGCGCGAGCGTTTGATAGATTTCTCTAGCTCACGAATCAATTTCTCAAGCGCAGCCTCGTCTTTCAAATCCTCTGCTTCTAGGATGCGACGAATCTCCTTCTTAGTCTCGTTGGATAGATTATATTGCAGATCTTTCCAGTACTCCAGCTCTTGCTCCTTCTTCACTAGTTTCTCAAGTCGCATCCTTGCGGCCTGTTCTTGAAGCCGGCGACCGCTCTCCTTCTTGCGCTCCGCAATCCGCGCGAGCTCTTCCTCCGTCTTCTCCTGAACAATATGCTCTGTGAACGGGTACTGAATGACGCGGTCACGGTCCTCGAGTCCTGTCCAGTCGAGGAACCCACTCAACTCGCGATCGTAGTCTTGTGAGACGTAACAGTGCTTATGAACCATTTCCTCCATCTGTGCGTCCGTCAAACGAGTCGGGAAGGTCGGGTATTTCAGCTTCATGAGCTTCATCAGGTATTCAGCGCTCTGCAGGCCACCCCAGTTGAGACGAGTGCTGTTGGAGAGCATGGGTTTCGAGTTCATGACCGGAATGACATGAGTAGACGTATGCGAGGAATCCACAATCAACCCATCCGTTCCACCATTATAGCGATAGGAGAAAAGGGAATCGATACCGTAGGCCACCGACGGCGCAGAGTAGCACTCGAAGAGGATTTCGTTCATCACTGAAGGAGTGTCAGCAACCACCATACTAGCCCTAGAAGCACTGGATACTCACTCTTCCTTGAATATGGCATATTGGCGATTGGCTCCGTCATTAAGATCGGGCGACCGACGCTCCCATTTGCGCCGTCCACGCCCAGCTTGATGAACAGATAGTCTAACACGCCTTCCATGACATCCCAGTTACCGACAACACTGGAACCGGGATCAAAACCATTGCGCAACTGTCCTCTCGTAGTCGCATCGACGTAGGCATCATATCCGATAAATTGGCACTGGCGATTGAGCTTGCGATCACGGTATCGGCTCATGACCGGAGGTATGGCGAATCGGGGGTTTTTGTCAAAAGACCAACCAGCCTTGACGAGGTGGGCACCTGCGTAGAAACCACATTTGTTAGGAGGGTTGAATTGTAAACTATCTGGAATTGCTTACCATTGTCAATAACGATGGCACTGGTGCCGGGATGGGCCTGGCTCTGCTGATATCCCTCAGGCTGCGGAGGGTGATAGCCCTTGAATGGAAAGTCTTGTACACCGTGTAGTTGTGGAGGAGGCTTCTCAGCTCTTTGCTCAGTGGCATTGGCTGCAATGCGAGCTGGTAGGAGGCGCTGCACGGAGGTAATCGTCATGGCGGGCTGCGCTCCGGAAACCAGGAGCTATTGGGATCGGATATTGTAGGCGAGTAAGGCTCACTGCATAGGAAATGAGGTTGGGGTGGGAAGAAACCAATAAACCTGCGGAAAGGGCAGCGGATTGACAAAGAGGCAAACGATACAAACGCGGTTGATGAGGTTTGGCGGAGTCGGACCGCCAAGGACGGAGGCTATCACTATCGCTTCTATGGAGTACAGGGATGGACGATTACAACCATCTACATATGGGCCTATGGAATTTAGAATCTCATATCATTGACTAATTGCAGGCTCGTCCACACATTTCTTCGTTACTGGAAATTGCTTATCCTCAGGATTGCTTAGGATGGCTCTTGGAGGTTCTCCGTGGCTATAGGGCGTTAGCAGAGAATTTCAAGTTTGATATGTGGGAATAGAGTAAGGTATACCTTCGAGGTGGAAGAGAACATTAGACTGGTAGTTCTTGAACATCTGCGCCACAAGCTCAACATTCATGTTCTGGATGTTAACTTCCTGTGATCGAGAGTCAATACTATGATCATATAAATGAAAGAGGGTCAACCCTACCTGGAGGCCCTTATTCATGACCATTATGGCTTCATTGAGCTTCTCCTGTATGAGAATGAGCAAAGTATAACCCCCGGATGTGGTTCAATCATGACATACAACATTGGTGATGATGCGAGAGAGCAGCACTGTCTGCTGATGCTCATGTGGGCTTTCCTAAGGAGATATCAGCATCTGGGATCTTTCAGGGAGTGGAAAATTGAAAGCATGGAAGATAAACCACATACCATGGCTGAATAGTGAGTAGCGTTATGTTGATGTTGGACGTGAATGTGTTTATTTGGACTTAATCTGGATGTGGTCACGTGCGGCTATACAGACTTCACGGGCCGGGGATACTTGCATTGCTTCAATGTTTCTACGTTGGACCTGACCTTGTCCGTTTCCCCCTTTAAATACTCTATATTATATAACCAAGCTCTGCCACTCAGGAATCTAATATTGTTTGATCATTCCCATCCTCACCCCTGTCTTCACAACACACAGCCAAGCTTCGCAAGAGCTTCCGCCTCGACGTCGCAATTGACCATACCGGTGCCCTGAACCATACTCAATACCATGCCTCCACCAAATGCCGCCAATGATGAAGCTCACCAGCAGCTGTTGAACACTCTAGACATTTCACATGTCCCCAAGCCCTTCCGCAACCCACACTGGAAACCGTCCCAGCGGCGCAACAAGAACCTCAAGCAGATTATCTCAGAGGCCTCCCGGAAGGAGGCATCCGTGATGGCAACCCAAGCCAACTCCGGCGCGACTACGCCGGGTGCCCCGGGTGTTGTCACTGATGGCACACAAACCCCCGCGGAAGGGGCTGCACCCAACCTGTCCCAGGCCACCCAGAACCTCTCGACTCTCGTCTTGGAGAAGAGCGCCCGGGCGACATTCCCGACTGGACCTGCCGTCACCTACACAAACATCGAATCGGCACCATCATTCAACCCTGCCTACCACCATCACTACTGCGATATCACGGGCCTGAACGGACCGTACACCGACCCCAAGACCCGGCTGAGGTATCACGATAAGGAGATCTTCAAGGTGATCCGGACTCTGGCACAGGGTGTTCCCGAAAACTACCTGGAAGCGCGCGGGGCGCACACCATCTTGAAGTAAAAGAGTGGCGGAAGCCTGCTTTATTCAATTCCCAAACGAACAATCATGCGAGAATGGGTATGTCATACGAGAACGAATTTGAATAGTAAGAACTTTATTAATCAATTCAACTAGACACAAATACGAATCGCCAAGAAGCGTTATGTACGACCAACACAGTCAAGCCCTTTCCACCCCACCATGCCCCTTTCGAGACAGGCTCAAGAAAACGCTCCGGCTTATTCGTGATCAATGAATCGTTCTTCGCCTTGTGCATAAGCACTCGACTATTACCGAAACCCCATGGAACAGGGCACCAGTTACAGAATCCGAAGAGACTGTCGTCGCGGCGTGGCATGTACAGAATACCTGTTAGGGAACATTCTGGAATAGGGGATAGCCCTATCTATGTATGAGCTATGCTCGTGGTTCACTCGGTATATCTGAATACCAGTAAATTTAGACTGAAAATATCGAGAAAATCACTGCAATTGGAATCACATCATTAATGACCCAATTGCCAATAAACTTGACGAAAACTGTGAAGGAAGAGGACAGGTGGAATGATCGGCGCGCACTATAAGAACTTTAGAGTTACCGCCTACCATTCTTGACTTGGCGTCAATTACATGGCAGAATGGTGATTTTTGAGTTGTTTTCTGTTTACGTGCCTTTTGGGACTTTGTTACCTTTTGATCTGTTGTCGAGGACTTTCGCAGCCGTCAGGATACTTTGCAACACTAGACTCGCTATCGCCCGCTTTGGACGCCACCAGTATCTCCGCTTTGTCTCCGCCGTACCTGGCCTCTTGCCCTACCGATTCCACAACCACCGAAGACCACTTGTTTCTCAGATCGCAAAGCGTCGCGTGTTCTAAAATACTACGTCGAGAATATTTGCGCAACCCTCGATCCAATATATCATCATCAACAGTCCAATCCGAATTAAGCAAATATGCCTAGCATGTGGTTAACAGAGAACCAGAGTCAGTCGCATTCGTCCTACAAGCTGTGATGTCCACTGCCATGACAGTGAATGTGTAGCAATTAGCGAGCATAGGCTAATCTATATAACAGAGATCGGCGTGATCTTCTGCTCAGCCGGTATGAGATTGGCGATCCCAAGGCACCAAGTATTTGGACCGCGAACTAATCAATTTTGCTGCTGATTAGGAGGCTTGTTCCTCTTTGGAGGGGTGGTGATGTTCTTTGACCGGTCATTGTATGTCCATCCCGACGTTCCGCATTCTTTTGGAGGAGAATAAATGCTAATGCCCGTTTAATAGACTTGCAATGGGAAATGTACGCCGAAACATCTAAATCAATCCGCTACACTTAATTAACAAAACCAGGTCCTCTTTCTCATCGGATTGACCCTGATCATTGGTGTCCAGAAAACTATGGTCTTCTTCACGCGCCCGGCCAAACTCAAGGGTACTGCCGCTTTCGCCGTTGGTATCATCCTCATTCTCTTCCGCTGGCCCTTGACTGGGTTCTTGATAGAACTATACGGCTTGTTCATCTTGTTTGGTGACTTCCTTGTCACGATCGGTCAATTTGCTGGCAACATCCCTGTGGTAGGGCCCTACATCCAGCGTGGACTGGAGGTGCTTGCTGGCGGGAGGAGCAATGCTGAGCTTCCTGTATGAGCATACACAAACAGGGACTTAACCATGAGGTTCCCTGGTGGCGTCTCAACCATCAAATAAGCGGACTTCATCGTGTACGCTTGCGGGATATTAGATGCACCTCCATGTTTGGAGGTGTCCAAGTACGCTGTGCTATACATGTGACACGGGATGATACGATCCAACTACGCTTCAGATTTATGTAATTAATAATGACCCTTATTGATCTTCCAGCGTTGACTCAACGGCTGGTGATCAGTTAATATGCATGTTAGAATAGACAAGTTACATTGTGCATCATACAATCTGGTTCGTATCCTCATACTGTGCATTGGAAACCATGTCTAGATCGACATGGCCCCATCGAGGGAAAGAAACCCAGTCACAAAAGCCAGAAAGAAGCATAAGCGAAACATCACGCTGGGCTCAAGAAAGAAATAGTCGAATGGTCCTTTATTTCTTATTCTTCACCAACCCCTCAACTCATCACATCATTTAGTTATCATTGCATATTTTCTAATTTACCGGGGGTTGTTGAGGTAGTCGACGAGGTTCTCGACAACGGTGGCCGCGTTGGTGGTCTGGACGGACTCGTTGTGGTGGGCGATGATGGTGCAAGAGGAGGCACGGGCAATAATGACACCCTCCTTACCCTGTATTACAGACCAGAGAGATTAGCACAGATCCGAATGTTATGTATTGAGATAATTCCCGAGGTGCTCGGGTGCTCGGGTCCGGGTATGTTTACCTTCTTGCCGTATACACTGCGCTCGTCAGCCCTGATGGTGACGAACTTCTCACCGCAGACAGAGAAGCCACTGGCAAAAGCCTGGTCGCTGGAAGTGTAAGCGGTGATCAGGGAGTTGATCTCCTCCTGGGAAAGCTGTAACCAATAACGTTAGCGACTGTGTCCAACTCTATGACCCCACCCCGCACGGGGAATAAACAACAGGCGAGCTTACCGCGAAGCCGGGCGAGGCAGCCTCGACACCAGAGAAGTCAGCGGCGAGAATACCAGCCTTGTCGAATTGACCCGAGCCCATCAGGCTGTGAGAAATAAGCTTGTCAGTACATGTATCGGATAGACACGGAGGGATGATTTGGGTTGGTAGGATCGAGGGGTATATCAGGGGTTCGAGGAGGGTTGATGTACCTGGAGTCGACATAGCCTAGTCCAAGGAGAAATATGTTAGCGGACTTGAAGCAAGGGATGAACTGCAGTTCAAGGGTCATACTTTGCCAGATTGCTGAGTGCTCGCCCATGATGACTGTAAAGAAGTAGAGAGAATAACGCTAAATGTATTAGAGAGGTCAAGAAGAGAAGCAGAAAATTCACACACCTGAATATACAGAAAAAAGGAGAGCTGAGAGAAGGAGAGAAAGTTGGTGGGGGGAAGAAGTTGTGGCGGTCGGGAGAGGACCCCGCCATATGACGATCCTACCGTTTGCAACTTGAGATTCAAGCTTATAGCTTATTTATTTTATTTGAATAGACGTATTACTTTGACTGTATTTATTATGTAGGATAGTAATATATCATGATATTTGTGTAGAGTGTAGAGTGTAGAGTGTGGGTGTGTATAAGATATCCGATATTCTCTTATACCAAGTAGCGGTGGGGAGATCTCTATAAAATAGCAAGCTCAAACATTTCAAATTTCGTGTCTATTCAAACCCATGAGAGATATGTATGACATACATATAACATTCCGCTTTCAGTCCAGTCCAGTCAGCCCATCTGTACCGTCGATCACGGTGCCTGAGTGCCTGAATCTAAGGGGTTTGAATCCTGATGCTGATCTGACCGCTATTTAGGATATCTGGAGATTCATCTTTCGTCTCGTCTCGTCTTATCTACACTATGCAAACCCAGACATACTATTGGAGCCAGAGACAGGCTTGGCATCCCATTGCATTGGTGACTCATGCGAAGTCTCGGAGAATTCATGACATGACCGTGCGTACAATGTGGACATCTAATATGCTTCAGAGGCAAATGCCCCTGATTCAAGGGTAAAACGCAGAGTAAAACGCCCAGTCTCAAATTTGACCGGATGAAACACGCCTCCTGCATGGCTTGGCCCCTTTCAACGTGGTAGCGAGCTAATCAATCCGCAACCGATGCGCTCATTCGTCCCACGGGAAATAAGCATCGCACACGGGCTTGATGTTAGCGCTGAGACGCCCCTCAAATTCCAAAACAGAATTACTTTTCGAAGTTTCGGGCTGGTTTCTCATGTTTTGTTGGTTCCCAGACTAGCAGTGGGAGCACCTATAGCAGATTTAGGATGGTGCTGAGAATTAATTTGGCCCGTCTCATTTACATCGTTGACTCCACTCAATCTATTCCTTTACTTTCATTAATATACCGGGTGACCCTGTTACCCTTCTGTTACCCTTCTGTTTCGTTTGTTTCTCTTTGGTTTTCTAGTTAGCCTTCTGGAAAGGCTATCTCTCTTCTTTTTCAATCTGGCATTTTGTTTTTAATATCATTCTCTGACATATTTTGGGGGGTTTCTTTTTACACTTTTCTATCGCATGTCGGCTAGATTCCAATATTCTAAGAGATGGCAAGGGGTATGACAGGAGTCCAGTCTCACACGCAATATGAGGAGACCATCTCCTTTCCAGTTTTGACCTATACCGATGCGTTGCCGCGGAACGACCTTCAATCTCTTGAGGCCTCACAGCGTCCAATTCAGCCAATGATTGAAAAGTGGGATTTCAGTCAGCCCTCTACGGGAGATGGCTGGTTCAGAAAGCCACCCCCGGGCCAAGGCGCAACCTTCGACTTTCGCCTAACAGCGCCACCAGATGAAGCCATTCAATCTACTCGATCAGGTCGTACCCAGACTGAGCAACACATGATTGGCATTGCGCTGGGCAGTCCCGGCATGTTGAACAAAGACGAGGCTCTACCGCCCCCAAGATTTGATACATCTATATTTGCAGAAAGAGATTCAGCCAATAAGCCCAGCAAGTGGAAGAAGATTGGTGGGTTCTTCAAGGCAAAGAATGCGTTTACATCGCCCCCAGAAGCCCCACAAGAGAGCACCTTCAAGCCACAAATCAACAATGATAAACTACCAGAGAAACCACACAAAGCAAGACTGAGAAAGAACTCGACAGAGGAATGGCCGAAGCTTGAGGTCGATCCCAGGCAGATGCCTATGCCTGGTCGAAGCGATCAACGTCCACTGCGAAGTAGGAACTTCTCACTCAGCAACAAGGCACCCAAGGAGGAACCAAGTACCCGGGGCCTCTTATTGAGTGTCGACATCCCAGATATTCAGATGGAGCGGTACAGTGTCATGTTCAGCAATGTCGTCAACAAGAACCAAAAACCCTCACTGCTGGCCAGGAGGGCCAAGACATTGGATAATCTTCGCGTACCAGATGCAAATGTATGGACTTTTATCGATAAGAAACCAGTATGAGACTAACTGATGACTGATCTAGGGTTTCCTGAAATCACCTGCACCACCCCCAATGCCCCAACGCCGGGCAACATCACCAGCGCGATCAAGCTTCACCTTGTTCCCATCTTCGCAGCCTTCAAAAGGGGCCCAGGTACTCGGCACACAGAATTTCTCTCGTGGACCGAGCCCACTTATTAGAGCAAATACACTCCCTATCGAAAGTCCATCGAAGATGCCTCCGCCAAAGCTCCATCATGGTTCAAATATGGGCAGCATCTCATCATTCGAGTCGCCCGTAATTCCAAAGCTTTTCTCTGAGCGCTCCAATACCCCACGGTCCTCTAGTAGCTATGACAAGCCTCTTCCTGCTATCAAGCCGGAGCCACAGACTACCCAATTACAGAAGAGTGCTCAGCCAGAAAGGAAAAGCCCATCCCCGCAGAAGACTCGGCCACAACAGAGCGTCCAATCGCACAATACTGTTGCAACAAAACCGGTTCAGCCCTGGGTCAATCCACGGCAGAGAAAGGATTCGCTGCCGCGAGCCATAGAGAAACAGCCCCAGGCTACTTCACCACAAAGCAAGACACAACATCAGCCCAATACGACATCGAACCACCACAGGACTAACGATTCAGTGCGACCGCGCCTCAGAGTCCAAACTGAAGGCCGACCACCACCACCCGCAAAGGACACACTCTCTAGCAGTACATCTCGAAGCCCTCCTTCAGCATTAAACCCGACCCAGACCAAGATCGACCGAATCATGTCCCCATTATCAGCATCAACTGGTCCTAAATCCGGCGTATCACCATCAGAGTCCACGCGGATGCCATTCACTGATCCAGTTGAGACCATTGGTACCGTTGAAAAGGAGCCTGCACCCGAGCCTCGACGTCCTATCCCAAAGATTGAGGTCTCCATAGCACGCTCTGTCTCTGTCTCGCGGGCGAAGCGCCAGGTTCTGGTTCCCATTGGCATGAGGATCAATGACTTAGACCCGGAGGAGCGGGTTGTCCACCGAAGACCTCTGACGCCGCAGATTACCGATGCTCACCGGGGCCATCGGCCTGGTGTCTCGCAGGAGTTGCGGATAGAATGTCTGTGACATTCAACTGCGCCATTCTTTCATTCATTTTTTTCTTAGCTTTTTTGTTTCATACCTAATTCCCCTTTGCCACTTCTCATGCCCTGTCCATATGTATCTTTCGTTCTCTACATATGGTCTTGATACTTTTACAATGTCATAATCCATGCCTTGACTGGCTCATATTATTCATGGTCGTTTTATTTTTAGGCTGCTATACTTCGCATGGAGTTACTTGTTACAGTAAGTGTAAATTAACAGAGCGCCTAGGCCAATCAGTCTAAGATTTTGCTCAATAACAGCTCCAAATCACGAATTTGTCAATTCGTTGTTTCGCTTTGAGGTATGAGTCATGAGGCTAGCATGCACCCGTTGTTTATTTCGGGTTCGACCTGCAGCATCCTGATAGGCATTTAAGTAGAACAGACAAATCCATCGAATATTTGCTAGACGATCGACAAAATGAACATCCCAAAACTGGCCTCCGCCTACACACCGGCCCAATTAACCAAGTATCTGGACTACATCGCGCTACCAAATCAATATGCACAATATCTCAACGACCCAGAAACATTTCCCAAGACTGAAGAAGCCTTGAAAGATATCTTCCGATGTCAGATCACTCGATTCCCATACGACAACCTGACATGTCACTATTCCACTACCCAACTAGCAGAGATCCAACCCGACAGAATCTACACCAAAGTCATTGGACGCGACGACACAGCCCCCTCCTGTCGAGGAGGCTACTGCCTGGAAGTGAGCATTTTCTTCCACCACGTGCTGCGTGGCCTAGGATTCTCAGTGTACATGACGGGTGTTCGGAACCGGGAGCGGATTGATGGTATACCGCAAGGGCAATTCAAAGGATGGTAAGAGGATCATCCAAGATCACAACCCCAGTGACTACGAGTACGCATACCACAAAAGAAAGACAGCTAAATCGTGAATCAAGGACACACATCGTCAACATCGTCCATCTACCCAGCGGCGTAGGGTACCATCTGGACGCGGCATTCGGCGGAGACGGGCCAACAAGTCCCCTACCGCTGATCTCGGGTCAGATAACGAAGAACCTGGGGTCCCAGGAAGTGCGACTCATTTACGACAATATGCCAAAACAGACGCGCAAAGAGCAGAAGGTCTGGATATACGAGTATCGCAACGGTGCGGATAAGCCGTGGAATTCATTCTATTCGTTTGCAGAGCTGGAGTTTTTTCAGGAAGATTTCGAAGTGATCAATCGATTTACGAGCTGGGAGGCTGTGGAAAAACGCAGTTTCGTAGTGGTCAAGTTCATTCGAAATGGGGAGACAGCGGGATTGCCGTTGTTGGAGGGAGAGGTTTGGGAGAAAACGGATGATATTTTTATTGCTGGGAAGATTATGATGGCTAACAATGTCGTCAAGTTGAATATGGGCGGTAGGACGAGGATTATTGATTCATTTGAAAGTGAGGAGGGAAGGTTTGAAGCGCTGAAGAAGTGGTTTTCTATTTATTTGTGAATTTCTTCGTGCCGAGCTGGATCACTATAAAAACATATACAAATAAGCACACAATTAACAGCAAGAAACAAAATATATATATATATATATGGAATGCAAGCGGTAAGATTCACTCACGCACATAATGTACTGCAGAATGTATGTCATGTTGACATGTACCTAAACACAGCGCCTGATTTTGTTAGTTTGGATGTTTCAGCAGACTGCAGAATTGGGAAAAATTACCTTAGCCACTCGGCCACACTTGCGCAATTAGGCAGTTTCCAACTCGGGGATTATTCTGTAAGCCCTACGACGTCGCTATATTGTAGAACACTTATTGTATTGTTACAGCCCAACATGGAAAATGGTTAGATTGCTTTTTTAAAAAAAACTTCTTTACATACATTTGTCGGTCAATAACTTGAGCATACGCTTTTAGTCCTTGGTAGGAACACTGGACTCTGCCACAGTTTGCGTCTCGAAGCCAGCATCCAAATTCACCTCGACATTGGAGACAGTCCATGCCATTCCAACATATGAGTCACTGATGACTCTGATATTCACCCGAGCTGTGTTGGCACTCGTGGATTGCGCGAGGATGCCTTCGGGGAATTTAACATTGGAGCGAACAGTCAAGAGGCCGCTCTTGTTATCGTTGGCAGGTCCTCCGCGACTGGAACCAGCACCGTAATTGCCCTTGCCCTTGCCGTTGCCGTTGCCATTGCCATTGCGCTTGGATACTGGTGGCCAAGACACACGCTTCAAACCGAGTAATTCACCATCCGTGCCATTGGGCAGAGCACTGCAAATAATCAAGAAGAAGCCCTCGGTTTGTGGCTTGGGGAAACGAGGGGCGAACACCTTGCATTCGGGTGTTGTGGGCTGGTTACGACGTGTCAGAGACACAGCAACACCCTTAGCAGAAACACTCGCAACCGAGATCGACAGCTGGGGCAGCTGGGACGTAATGCGAGGAAAGTTGGATGGAAGGTTTAATTTCTTGACCAGAGTAGCAATTGCACCAGCAGGCTGTGACGAGAGCGACACAAGAGTTCCCGGGAGACCACTGGGGGGCTTCTCGGTCGGAACGCCTGGCAGAATCGACAACGGGTGGTCTTCAGGCCAGCGCGCTGACTTGATGCATTGGAGGAGAGTCATCAGCATCTGACACGCGGGAAGATACCCGAGTTCAGCCATGACGTCGATTGAGGCCTGGATGACACGAATGCCTTGATCGAGCACAGATGTTTGATCACCAACATAATCAGTGATGGGAAGATCAATCCGCGACATGTAGGCCTGCAGCAGGAGGAACGCCTTGGTATGGGGATCCCAGAGGGGTGCGTCGCCCATGCATTCAATAGAAAGCGGCAAGTTCTGGGCCAACTCAGCATTGATCAGATCTTCGTTGTGTCTGACAGGCAGCTCGTCGAATTCGGTTGCGGAACACATCCAACTCAAGACATCCTGGAAGGTCGGATCACGCTTGGCATGGGACACGAGGAACCGGATCGTCTTGTGAGAGAGGTAGTAGTAACTCATGATCTTGCCGAAGGGAGTGGAGTCGACCTCTCCGGTGGCCGAGTCCACGAGAACACAGGACGATTCGGCAAGATCATTCAGCGACTTTCCAACCAATTCAACCATGAAATCTTGCGCTGTGGCTTGAGCTGCCATGGTGTTTTGCTCCTCGGCAGAGATCTCGAGGCCGTAGTATGAGGGGTTCTTGTGCAATCGACGGAAGAAGAACGTCCAGGTCAAGTAGTCCAGTGCATCTTGTTGCGTTCCAATAGTTCCAGCAGATACCTCAGCGCCAAGATGGTTGTCAAGAACCTTGTGCAGGGTCGACTCGACGGGGAAACCAGTGTGGAGGAAGTGCTTGTAGAAAGCCTTCTTGGAGTCCTGGGTGAAGATGCGCGCAATACCGGAGGTATCGAACTGTGGGCGACCAGCACGACCGAGCATTTGCAGAACATCAGTCAAGTCCATGTCCCGATAACCCTCGATCTTAGCATCGAAGAACTGTGTGCCTTTGACCACCACAAGATGCGCTGGAAGGTTGACACCCCACGCAAGAGTACTAGTCGCCACAAGAACTTGAATCTTGTTGTTGGCAAAGAGTTCTTCTGCTAGCTGGCGATCAGATTCAACCAGACCAGCATGATGCAAGCCAATACCAAAGTTAAGAGCTTCCTTTAGAGCATCATCTTTCACTCGCGCGAGGTTCAACTCCAGATCATCTTCAGACATTCGCACAAATCGACGAGGATTGTCCTCCATACCGCAGTAATTGATCAAATCTTTAGCAGTCAGACGAGTTTGTCGGCGAGAAGCAACGAAGACAATGACAGGCTTCTCCGGTGAGTGATTCTTGATCGCGAGGAAAGTTGGGCGATTCATCGACTGCATCAAGGGACAGAAACCACGCTGTTCAGGGAACCCATCGATGAAAATCTCGAGGGGAACCGGGCGAACTGAATGACGGAAGTTATACAGACCTTCTTTGACACCAAGCCAGTTAGCCAGATCAGAAGCATTGGCACAAGCAGTGGACATGCCCATCAGTCGAACGGATCCTTTCGACTGGGAAGCGATGTAGTTCATTCGGGAAACAATGATTTCCAAAATGGGACCTCGGTCACCACCGAGCAAGTGAATCTCGTCAATAATCACGAGGCTCACTTTCCTGACGTAGTCACGGGTCTGCCAACTACGTGAGATACCGTCCCATTTCTCGGGTGTGGTGATAATGATGTCGGCATCCCGAATAGTACGTGTGTCAGGTGTATTGTCACCAGTCAACTCAACAAGTTTCAACCCCATCTGGCGAGTGAGGCGCTTACGCCAATCTTGAACTCGTTCACGGACCAATGCCTTCATCGGCGCAATATAGACAACCTTGGAGCCGGGCTTCTCACGGAAAGCCCACCACATTGCCAGCTCAGCTGCAACAGTCTTTCCACTACCAGTTGGAGAACCAAGGAGAACGTTGGCTGGTGTGTGGTAAAGGAGATGGAAAATCTGTGTTTGCATAGGGTTGAAGAATTGGAAGCGTTGCCCATACACTTCCTCAAGAATGGGATTCTTAAGAGCCGATATAGGAAGTGGCTGGAGATTGAGTAGATCAGTATACACGCTTTCAGTGTCCGGGCGAATGAGGTGCTGGAAAGAAACCGGGCTAACGGTCTCAGCACCCAGCCAGCGATCAGAGATCAGACGGATGTAGATTTGGCTAGGAAGGGGATCAGACAGCGGAATGGTGAAGTTGAGCTCATGATCAGCGTAAAGCTTCTTCCGGCTTAGGATGAAGTATTCGTGGTGATAGATTTCTGATGTTTCCGAGTTCTCGACCCAGACCCAGAACGATTCGGATGCTCCGTGGTGACGGTCATTCCATGTAAACTCCGGGTAGATAGAAAGCCGAATACGAAGCACGTCGCGGTTAAGCGGCGCAATCTCGGTCTCGACACTAAGAGTTGGGAAATTGTCCAGGAGCTTGGACAGTGTGTGGCCCATGCGATGGTTATGAACAAGCTGACCAATCTCGGCAGGCTCCATTTCTTTCATCGACTCGATGGAAGTAGTTGGAAGCTTCTCGTCAAGGTTGCGTAGGATCGGCTGGGGCAAATCGAACTGACGGAAGGGGTGATCAAAGGGCCAGATCTGTTTCTCAATGGATTTGCAAAGAGACAACAGGACTTGACATTGATAGCCCCAGCGACGATTCAACGCAATCATAAAGAGAGCACGGCAGATACGTGCCGCATTTTGGGCAACATATCCAGTATCGGAGGCTAAAGCAAAGTCCTCAATCTTGGCGCGAGAGATATAGGCTTGCAACAAGAGATTTGTCTTCGCATGTGGAGTGTCGTTTCCTCCGGCAACTTCGGTCTGCGCGACTTCCTCACGCAGTCGCTGAAGCTCCTTCGACTCACTGTCTCTAGATTGGATGTTGTCGAATTCTCCGCTCATACTGATCATCTTGAGTACATCTGCCTCACCAGATCGGGGACGCATCATATCGTTGAAAATCTCGACACTGGTTTGTAATACATAGTACTGACTCGCGATGCGACCAACATCCTTAGCTTTGAGATCTTCGGTCTTGTCGTTGAAGATGATCATCTGACTCTTCTGTAGCACCCGTGCTGCTTGTATGATCAACTGCCTCCGCCGTTGGACCAACATTGGGTCATCGCGTAGCTCAGCAAACTCGATTCCGTAGTTCCTCGGCTCACGTTTCATGCGCACATAGAGGTACGAGTAGCCAAGCCATTGCACAGCCTCTGGAACAGATGTGACAGTTCCAAGCGAGATTTCAGCATTCAAGTTATCCACAAGTCGGCTAGAGAAGCGCGATTCAATAGGCTGCTGCGCAGTCACAGCAGATAGGTAGTGGGGCAACTTGTCATGAGTAGTACAGATAAATCCAATACCGGTGTCCTGGAATTGTGGACGACCGGCACGACCAAAGATTTGCATGACGTCGAGAATGCTCAGGTCAATGAATTTACCCTCTTGTGGGTTATACAACTGGGTACCTTTGATAACAACTGCAGCTGCGGGGAGGTTGACACCCCAGGCCAAGGTGGCAGTACAGCAAAGCACCTTGATTAGACCTTCTGAAAACATTCGCTCCATCAGATTGCGGTCGCTTCGAGACATTCCGGCATGATGCGTTCCAAATCCGCTAGCGAAGAGGTCCCGTAGTTCACGCGCACGCGCATGTTTCATGTCACGAAGGGCATTGGAATAGTTTTCGTGATCATGGCAGCTGAATAAATCCTCTCGTCCCTCCTCCGCAGCTAGCTGCATGAGCATCCTGGCAGTCATTACAGTATCCTTGCGCGAGTGGACGAAGACCATGACTTGGTGGCCTCTCTCCATCATGTCGCGAACCTTCTCATAGGCAACAGAGTCAATATTGTCACGAGATTGTTTGGAGCCGGGTTTTCCTTTGACACCGATGAAATGTTGCTCAAGAGGCACAGGTCGGAATGATTGATCGAAGAAGAACA